GATGCTGAAGCTGAAACTCCAATACTTTGGCCACCTGATGTGAAGAACTGACTCACTGGTAAAGACCCTGATGCTGGGAAAGGCTGAAGGTGGGAGGAGAAGGGGACGACAGAGGATGAGATGGCTGGATGCCATCACTGACTCGATGGACACGAGTTTGAGTAAGCTCCAGGAGCTGGTGATGGACAGGGAAGCCTGCTGTGCTTCAGTCCATGGGGTCACAGAGTCGGGCATGCCTGAGTAACTGAACTGAGACTATAGCCTGCCGGGCTCCTCTGTCTATGGAATTCTCCAGCCAAGAATCCTGGAGTGGGTTCTACTTCCTTTTCAGTAAAGCTTTAGGGATGAACGAAAATGACCTCTGGGGTCCTGCTCATCAAGGGAGGGTGAGAAAAGATCAAGTATTCATAATTCCCAGGGACCAACATGCCACCTTGTTACTTTCTGCTCCTGTTATCCAGGGCCTGACACAGTGTGAACCATTAATGATGACTTGTCAAACACATTTGAAAAATGAGTAACCATTGTAAGCAGGCAAATTCATGAGAAACTCAGCTGAAATAATTTTGCTCCCTATCTGTTTTCCTTTCCTTTCCTTTTTTTAAACAAAGGTTATGTTGTTTATTTCCATTTCTGACACAAACCAGTACTCCGTAAATGTGTGCTTTTCTTTCTTCTTTCTTTATATTTTTGGCCACATAGCATGCAGGATTTTAGTTCCTCAACCAGGGATTGAACACTAGTTCCCTGCAGTGGAAGGGTGGAATCTTAACCACTGAACCACCAGGGAAGTTCCTCTATAAGCTTTTAAAGTGTGCATCCATCCTGGAATGTGTCTATCCTCATCTTCCCTCCTCTGCCTGCCTCAACATACCACATTGCCTCCTGCCACCAGCTTTCTTGGTAATGCTTTAGCTAAGACTGGAAAAAATTTTGTGCAAACTTTGTAAGTAGATTACACTGTTTCAGTGATTTTGTTCACATCTTGAGTGGGTATTTATGTAACCGTAAATCAGCAAATGCCTTGCCTACCACATTAAAAAAAATACACCTGCAAAACAGATTATAATGTAGCTCATTTATAAACTTCCAGCATGAAGACTGATGAGAAGAATTTTGCCAAATTTCAGGCCAAAAACAGCAGACATGTACTGAAATTCTCTGTAGGTTTAACGTGGGACTTTCAACATGTAATAGCTAGAGTGAACAGAGGAACTGATGTTATTTAAGAAAAAATCAGTTCTCTCACACCCTAAAATATGTGGTGATGACTTGCAAATGTTTTTCTTCAATTTTCTTTGAGAGTGGTAGGGTTCCCTGTCTGTTGAACATACTTCAGCTCTCTTGTTAATTTCTTCAATGTTAGAGTGTCTTTGCTTTAAGAAATATAAAGAATCATGGCTCTATTAGTATCTTGCTAGAATATATACAAATTTTAAAACTTTAGACAGAAACTTTGAGCAGAACACAGAAATAATCAGTACTACATTCATTATTTCTAAGCCACAGGATCAGAATTTGTTTTTTCTTTTTCTGTAGTCTTTACTTATATTTTGAAAGAACTTTTCATAAAGGAGTTGAAATATAACAAGTTTAGGCTGTGAATTACATATCTCATCACCAGATAATACAGGGCCTTGAGAAAACTGCTTGAGGGTTTCAATTTTAAATTAAAAAAAAACAACACTAAGACAGATTGTGAGGATGTAATATTGTAAATATCATCTCCACATAGCTTTTGGTGACTGATAATAAAAATACTTTTAAAAGAAAGCTTCATATCTAAAGAGTTTTATAAAATTGTTTAAAAAGAATACTAAAAATACTTGACAAAGATAACATAAAAAATAGAGAAACAGGGATTATAGGAGAAATATTTTTAAGGACCTTTGTTTTGCCCAGTATTGGGGGAGGGCAAGAAGGGTACAAATTTCTCTGGGTGGCATAAAGATCAGGGGGCTGGAATAGATAATCAAAATGCCCCCAGAGGGACTTCCCTGGTGGTCCAGTGGCTAGGATTTCGTGATCCCAGAGCAGGGGGCCCGGGTTCTATCCCTGGTCCAGGAACTAGATCCCACATGCTGCAACTAAGACCCAGCGCAGATAAATAAAGTAAGGGTTAAAAAAAAATGTCCACAGGATGCCTCTGGCCACTGGATTTCTACCATGGCTTGAGATAAGAGGAGCAGAGGAGAGAAGCTTGACTATGTCAGGGTTTCAAATAGAGCTGCAGGAAATTGTCTCAGCAGACGAAGAAGCAAGAATGGCAGAGAGGGAAGGTGCTGGAGAACCTCCGAGCACATTCATGCTGTAGGTTTTAGGCTTTAAGTTTCTCTGGAGCACTGGGGCCTCACTGCTGAGGGCCTGGAGACCAAAAAGCACAAGGTACGGGTGCACAAATGGAGATCAAGAGGAACGATTTCATTCTCACAGCATCTCTCAAGTTGCTGTGGGCCGTCTTGTGCATCTCATGCCGACTGTTAGAAACACAACACGCCCAAAACAATACGATGGACCAACCTCCTCGTCCACAATGCTCAGGCACGCGTTTATGAGGGTGGGTCAGGGTTGGGTCGAAGGGTGATCTAGGACACACACAAGGGTGCTGTTGCTAAAGCTCACCCTCTGCCCCCAAGCAGGGGTACTGGCCTGGCCATGTTGGAAATGCATTCCTGGCGAGCCCCCTTTAAAGGGCCTTGGCACAAGTATAGAAAAGTGTGGATCCCAGAGTCGCATAGGTTAGGCTAAGGATCCTCAGAACACAAGAAAATAATTAAAGTGCAGTACGTAATACAAATGTGTTAAGATAATCCATTGAATGGTATCAGAGCTTGAATATACATCCAATCAACTGTGAAATTCATCTATAAAGCCAAGTTCTAGAAGCAATTTGATAAAAATATTGATATTCCCATTAACGTAAGAGGAAGCAAAAACAAGAAAAGGACATGCCGATTATCTTTTATTCTCAATTCTGAAATTTACAAGGCTCTAAAAGCTGAAATCTTTTTCTCATTTGGCAATACAACCTGAAGAACATTTATCCTGCTTATTGTCAATACATATTTCGCTGTAAAAACATCAATGTGTTTGATTATGAGAATCCAGCTATCTTCTATTAAGCCAGACATTTAAGAATTTTGCAAAACCATTAAAAAATAAACATATAAAGATCAGGATGGGATACGGATGCAATAGGATTGAACATCTGCTGTTAATGTCTGAAACTGATGAGGGTGTGGGAAGACTGCTATTACACTAGGCTCCTTACTTCTGTGCATATTTTTTAAATAAATAAAAGTTAACAAACAGAAAGGTAATAAAGTAAATATAAAATTAACATTTAAGCCATTATAAAAATGAAACAAATTCAAAGGACTTAGAAAATTTACAAGAACTGCCCTATACCATAACCAGTATTCTCAGTCATGTTCATTTAGAATAAGTACTGCTCTACTTGTCATAAAATATATCCCTTAAAGGTGGATATCTTTTATTATCATTTCCTCTTATTGCTATGTTTTTTTCTACCAATCCCTCCCTCCAGTATAACTGACAATTGAGTAAAATAAATTTGTCTTGCAACTCTTTAAAATTTATTTGCTCTCATTTTGGGGGGCTTCCTTCCACATGCTAAAGGTAGAAATGGGCAAAAGAGGGTTATTAAGAAAAAAAAAGGAAAAGAAAAAAACACGAAAATACTTGAAATCTGCAACTGGTTGCAATCCAAGTAAGAAAGAAGTATATAAAAGGGAAAGATGTCTGAGAGCATGAAGATGTGAGAAAAAGCTTCGTGTAGGCGAGTTGACTTCCCAACAAGCAGAAAGAAGAAATGATATAAGGAAACCCCAGAGCAAACCTTCCTGGATGTTTTAATATTAATTCATCATTAAAAATGATTTTCTTGTTACTAGTTTCCTTTCTCAGGCTGCAGTATCAATGAGTTCATCAAGTTCTGGAGATAGGACAAAGAGGAAAAGAGGCAGAGAAAAGTAGGAGGAGAAGGAGGAAGGTAACACAGATTGTAATTTATCAGATCTGGAAAATGAGGGGAAAGAAGGTAAGGCAAGGAAAAAAAAAATAGGAGCTTACATTCTTAGTCATTATCATCAACTGCAAAGAACATTAGCATTCAAAGCAAAGCTCTAACTAAAGAGACTGTCTCTCCTACATTCAACTGGTAATCATATAAATATTACTACTTGGCTGATGTCCTGTACCTATGAAGTGAAAAAAATTTAAACTAACTCACTGTGATGAAAATTCTGTTTCTTAAAGGAAAATTTTCTTCCTGCTTAAACAAAGAAGGAAAAGCTACTATCCAGAGGTAGGGAAATAGCTTTACCCTGAGTTGTCTTTGCCAATTCAGTTGTTCGTGGAACTTTCATTGTGAAGAGCTCTTGGGTAGACTGGTCTGTTTCTGCTGGGGAAAACACAGTAAGATGAATGGCTTTAAATAAATATCATTAATGAACAAGTAAAAAAATAAATAACAAAAAAACCCACACTCTTTTCTTCCCCATGCAATGATAAAAGGGTAAATTGAATTTATAATTATGCCCAGTGATCATCTTATTTTAAAGTTACTGGTACATTTTAATAACTCTGATTTCTTATATTTACTGTCTCCTTGCACTATTATATTAATGATTATTATAAGGATCTCCAAAAGCTTTTAGTTCAGGGTCACTGTTTAATGATATTGGACATGCTATTGTCTTGGATATGCCTCCTGTCTTATGTATCATTGCCTTCATGTTTCCTTCTATTTCACAAGCTTCACAAGTTATTTAGGTGAGCTGGAAAAAATAGGTCATAGAAAATAATGTGCATTTATACCACATAAGAATAAATATTCTATTTATCTTACATGAAAAGCAAAGTTTATTGACATACAGACACATTACTCCTAACAAAATAAACACCCCTATATTATCTTGAAATAATTACAACATTATACTGACAGAGCAAATTATACTGTTCACTTTGTCACATACTGGATCCAAGGAAATATTTGGTGAAAATAATATGTTTTCATCTTATTTTCTGCCTGTTTTATAATCTAGATTCTGCTCATAGATAATTGTGGTAGTTGGCCCAATAAACTAAGATAAAGTAAAAAAAAAAAAAAGCAAAAAACCCAGAAGTGGAATTTAGATAATTAACATATTCAGCAGTGGTTCTTGATAAGTACTTTTGACTTCCTCTCATGGGTAATGCTGACTTTGAGGGCCTATGCTATAATAGATAAATATTTGGTAATTAGGATATATTCGCTCATTCAGTTTTGAGTATTTTCCTTCAAAAAGGATTCCTTTTTAAAATGGGATCAGTAACTTTATTTCACACACAGAGAATGGGTTTACCTGAAAAGGGATGAAAGGAGGAAAGTAAAGCCACTGATTTAAACATAGCCATGTGGGGTGTGGTGGCAGGGCGGAGGAGCCAGCAAACACAGCTGGGAATTCTTGCTTTCCTGTTCACATTCAGCCAAGTCGCGGGCAAACTCGGGTTTCCCACACAGTGAAGACATTGACGCTGAACTCCTCGAAAGCATGGCCAGCTCATCCCTGCCAGTCTTCCTGACTCATCCATCCACCTGTGTTTCTTCAGGCTACCCACTTCATCAGATGAGTCTGGCTACCATTCTCTGTATGTGCCTCTTCCCCATCTCTCTTTTACCTGAAGAGCCCTTCATACCTTTCACTCTCATTCCAACTGGAAGACCTAGCATACATGTCACTTCCTCTGTGAAGCCTTCCCTGATACCCCCAGGCAGTTTTCTTGTTCAGTGTCCCGCTCATTTCTCTATGATCTTATTGTAATGTATAATATGAGAGTGAATTCCAGGAGCTCTGACAACTGAGAACGTAGGTTACAATTTGGCTCTGATGTTAGCTCTTTCTATGCCTCAATTTTCTAATCTGTAAAATGGGACAGTAGAATCTACATCTCACACTTGTAATGTGTCTTAAAATAAAAATAATATGTGTGGAACACTGGGTAGCACAGAGGAAGCACAATTATTGCTAAATCCTGTCTTTCTATTAGATGGTGATCTCTCCAAGGTAAGGACTTACCTTTAAAGCGGTTGTATTTTGGGATTCCCATTGCTTAGCATTGCACTTAACACTATAAGATATTCAGATTTCAAAAATAAAAGTTTTCTTCCCAAATACAGTTTCAAATATGGAAGAAGCAACAAGAAAGTATAGCATTGATATACACTGGGAAGATTTTTTTTAATTTATTCTTTAATTGAAGGGAAATTGCTTTACAAGATTGTACTGGTTTCTGCCACACAACAACACAAACCAGCCATAATTATACATATATCGGGAAGATTCTTTTTCCAAAAAAGTAACTGAGATTTTGTTAAGATGTTTTAAAACATTCTCATCTTGTATTGGAAATCAGCATAAATATGAGGACAAATATACAATTAATGTAAAAGAGTCAAGTGAAATGGATATCTTTTACGGTGATAAAAAGAAACCCTCTATTGTTTGGAATACCATGAACAGGACGTACATATGGCCACTTTAAGGGCAATTCCTAAAATGTAAAGTCCCCATTGGACTGAATATCAAAGCAAAATTTACCAAGACTGGTTTGTAGCTCCTCTTGACTAGTACTTGGTGAAATCATAGGAATCAGAGGGCTGCCTCGCGTCTCTAAAGGAGCTGAAAAGACAAGTGAGTCCCAAGGCCGTCAATCTTTAGATTCAAAAGCCAGCAACCAGCCAAGATAATATTGCATGAGATTCTGTTACTTGCAATACAAAAAGGAAAACATTAAGTGGGTCATGGAAAAGAAAGTTAAGTGTGCATGGAACCTGTGGAATATCAGAATAATGGTACTCAACTGTGTTTTTTTTTTCCCCCCACCAGGATAGATAATAAACAACATTCAGTGCTTGACACACTCCATGACCCTGCCTGGTTAAGATGGGTATGGGTTAGACACAGTTCTAGGTCTGTCAGCTGCGTCTCTCCCCTCCAAGAGAGCACACGGGATCACCCAGAGGAGAGGATATCATCACTGTAGCAACCATCTGGAGTCCGTTCAAATTTATTTTTAAAAATAAACCAGTGGCAAATTTTAGTATTTTGATCTATACAATAATTACTGGCCAGAGCCTTCCACAGCATGCTAGTGTGTTGTTAAGGCCACAGTTGAGAACCATTAAGCCAGCAGAAATGTGAATTATATGGGCATGAGTAAGGTGGGATCGTTTTGAACACAGATAAATGAGGTAGGTGAGGATGAAGGTGGTAATGAGCTGTCTTAAGTTGGTCTTCAGAGCAAACCTTTAAAACAGTGAAACCACTGCCTTTCTATTCTGAAAAGGGTAAAAAACAATGAGAATGAAACAATGAAGAGGATTGAGAAGGGAGGATGTTTCAATGTGATTGTTTGAGAAAGGCCTGCAATCTTGATGGCAGCCAGGAAAATAATTAGAGTGGGTCAAATGGAAAAACCATTACCTAGAGTTGTCTCTGGCAGATGGATTGTAAAGGTAACAGGTTGCAGAACTAGGCCAAAAGCAAACCAAAGAAATATATTTATGAGAATTACTACCTGGAGTAAACCTAGTTTTTGTGTTTCTACAATGCACCCATCTGAACATTTAAACATTCTCTTAGAGAATCAGAATAAATATAAGAAAATTCAGGTGACACCCAGGGAACTTAGTTTAGCTAAAACTTTAAAGTTTTCATTCACTGTCACTATGAGGAAAATTTGGGTAGGCACCCATATTTTAAATTTAAAAGTACACCCACATTTGGATGTAGTTATATTTACATCCTGAAAAAAGGTGAAAATGGTTGACGCAATTAATAATTATATCTTATAACTTTAGCATGATTTCCTATTCAATAAAAACACTTTCAGGGAAAATAAACTAATTAGACCCTATTCCCTCATGGGGGAAATAGGTCAAGCATATTGTATGATTAAATCTTTCTCTAAAGAAATACACATTTTCTATGTAAAATTTTCTCTGAGCTTCTTCTACATATCACCCTCATTACAAAAATATATTTGCCTCAAGAATGTTTTTTAAAAAATACACTTCCTAACTGGGAGAATAAAATAGTTCATTTACCAGGTTCGCTCTGAGAGACTTCGGGGACTGGTTTATGGGGAAGGACCACATCTCTTGGAACTGAAAGAAAAAGATTATACATCACTGTGCATTCTAAATGCCATACCTGGAGTGAAACTCAACCCACAGACATAAAACCCTGGGAAGCATGAATGAAGTAAAGATATTTCACAATGGCTAAAACACTAAGGCAAGAAAAGGACTGTCTTTCCAAAATGGAAGATGTCAGTGTATTCAGGAAGGTTCTAGAAGCAGTAAAACAAAGTTGGTCATGGTTCATTTTGAAGATTCCACGGAGGGGGGAAAAAAAGGAAGAAAAAAACTGATTTAATTAAACATAAGAAGGTTATCTCCCTAAGTTATCTTCAAAATAAGAAGTCAGCTTTTGTCTGAAATGGCTAGCTGCCATTTGATATTCCTGCTAAAATTCCACCAACAGAAATAGGAAACATTATTTTAAAGAAATGGGCTGAAAATTGGGGGAAACAGCAAGAAAAGCAAAGCTCTTGAGGATCTAAAAAGAGAACAAAACTTTATTCTAAAAGGCATGATAGTTATTGGGAAAAAATAGAGCAAAAGGAATCAGCCACTTGTTAGAAGACACCACATGTAAAGGTGATAACAGTGCTTGTTAAGCAGTAAATGTTAGATAAATTTTGCCATTTTTGTCATTCTTAGTGATGTGGCTTCTAGTATAAGTATTAGGGACTCCTGGCATGAAAACAAGGGAGACAAATGTATGCTAAACTATAAGTCTACTCATATTCAGTTCTGATCTATGGTATGTTTTTAATACCTGTGTCCAGTTCTACTCTGGAAAAATAAAATGGTAGGCTGGGAATTGATGCCTTATCTCTCATTGGGGAAAATATCAGGTTGACTTGCCTATTGTTAATACCAGATTTCTATGGCAAATCTCCTTTCAGGAACAATATAATGTATTTCTTTGACTCAGTTTCCCCACAAGGAAGTCCGTGTCAACCCTACTCACTCATTGAAAAGTTTTCCTACCACACTAAATTCATAAATACCCTTAGCCATGCAGTGTAACTTTCTTGCATCTTATATAGCGCTGGAGGGGAAAAAAAAATAGGATTCAGGCTAGAATTCTCCCTCTGAGAAAGATGAAGAAAAAACTTTTGCATCACAAGGTGGACAAGCACACCTTTACCATTCGTGCAGAAAAAAGATCATATTAAATGGACATTCATTTTCTTTTATGGCTTTTGGAGATTATATTTAATGTGAATGTCACATCTGTTCTTAGTCTAGGCCACTGAGTAAGTACTGGTGAAATCACAGTTGTGGAATTCGGTCCATTGGAAAGAATGTGACTCTATTAGAACTTCTATGAGCTAAAAGATAACGACCAGGAGAACTTGAAATGTGGATTTTTGTTTGTTTTAAAAAGGTTAACTTCAGAAAAGATAAGTGGTGGACAAAGTTAAAGAAAACCTGTCATAATGGTGAACATTTCACCACTGCTATGTAGTCTTCTTAAAGATTCAAGTAGTAAAACATGAAGAATTTCCAGCCATAAATCAAACTAACTGTTTATCCGTAGGGTGAGGGAGAAGGCACTCTGATGTGGCTCTGAGAAGGTCATGGCCATACAAAGCAGCCTGTGGTTTATAAACATCCTAATTGGCTCCAGTGCTAGACTGCACAGAGAGGAGGTGGGATTAAGGAAGGGAAAAGCTGAGAAGAAATGTGCTACCAATAAATCCACCATATTGTAAACACATTACCTGCTGCCTGCTTGAGTTTCCTGAGGAATTCAGACAAGCATAATGTGGATTCCTGCTGCTGCCACTGGCGCTTTTTAACCATGAAGTGATGATTTAATAACTGCCATACCAGGCGTTCTAAAGCAGGTGAAATCAGTGGAAAGGAAAGAACTAGAAATATTTACAGGAAAGGGATGGGAATCACTCTCTTATTTGGTCAATGGCAGCTCCAAGAAATGCAATGTGTTTTGTTTTTTTTTTTCTTTTTCCCTATGTGGCATTCTGCTTTATATTAAATTGAATAAGAGCATGATTCTAAAAACCTAAATCTTCCATGCTGGGGGAAACTTATGAGTGTACATCATGACAATTTAACTGAGAAGGCAGTTTTGATTTCCTTATTAAAATATTTACCATTATTATATTTTAGACCCACTTGTTTTAGCCAATTTATCATTTATATTAACAAACAAATTAACTTACCAGTTATATGTATTAACTACCTTTTTGAATAAAGGCCATCTCTTCAAAGAAAAATTCAACTGCCAGAAAACAACTGTGAGTGGATGTGTCTGGTATGGACAAAGGTGAATGAACATGCAAGAGTGTTCTGCCAGAGTAGATGGGAGAACGCAGGCGTTGCTCTCTGATGGAGATGCACGAAGGAATTCAGTAAGGTTTACCTTCGCAACAGCCGACAAGGATATTCTCACAGACAAGTGATACACGCAGACCACACACCTCCTTCGTGTTCAGACTCCCACTTCCTTTACTCTAACCCTGTACCTGGAGGCGCAGTCTGAGAGGCAGCAGGATTCCTGCCTCCCAGAGACCACTTTCAGGGCTTTACTTGTGCTCCTGGGTCACCTTCCCTCGGGTCTCCTCTGGGACCTTCCGCTTTCTATCATTCCTATTATCTTCTATTTTTCTCCATTAGTCCATCTTTTCATTTATCTATGAATTCTTCCCTCTCCACCCATAAAACAACTCAAGTCTTCCAACATCCTAAAATCAATAGCCAGTTTCTTGACATGGCTTCCCCTTCAAACAAGCCCTTTCTCACTCTCATTCCTCTCAACTAAGAACTCTGCCTCTCCTTGCTGCTTTCTTAACTGCATCTTCTCCATCCACTGTAGATGGCCTTCCCTTTCACGGATCTCCTGCACCCATGGATCCATGAGGCCTCATCCATAGTTTTGAATATCACAGTGTTCTAAAGACCAAAAAGCTTTTATTTTTTATTTTTTTGCTTAGCCTCTTTGACAGCAACACCTGATTAGAACTGATCTAAGTCAATTTACGGTTTTTATTTATCCTAGGTAGTGTGACTGCTCATATTTCTCACTGCAGACTTATGAATATGCTTGTAATCTATAGTATCTGTGCTGTTTTACCTTTCCAAAGTCTGAAAATTGCTGAATTCTGAAGCACTGGCCCACAGGTTTCAGGTGTAGGCTTCTAGACCTGCACTGTCAAGTCCAGTGGCTCTTCTGACCTCCTCCTCCTCCTCACTGTTACTCATGGCCATCCTTCCCTGCCTGGCCTCCTGAGTTCCTCTTTCCTGGTACTCTCTGGTCGTTTGACAGAAACTTCTGCTGGCTCCTCCTTCCTCTATCCACTATTTAAACGTAACCATGTCCTCTAAGACTTTGATCGCTGATCTCTTATTTTCTTAGTCTGTACCTTCTCCTGGATGATATCATTCCCTCAAAATTTAAGAACCTTCTATACATAGTAGACACATAGACACATGGCTTCCAAATCTACATCTTAAATATTGACTTCTGTTTAGAAAGCCAAAAATTCATTTCAACCACCAATCCAACTGGCCCTCCAAACCTAGCACCTTATTCCTCCCTCTGTGTTCCCTGCCTTAGTTAATGCTTTTAGCATCTACCACCTGCATAAGCTAGCTTCCCTGGTAGCTCAGTTGGTTAAGAATCCATCTGCAATGCAGGAGACCCAGGTTCGATTCCTGGGTGGGGAAGATCTGGAGAAGGAAATGGCAACCCACTCCAGTAATCTTGCCAGGAGAATCCCCATGGACAGAGGAGCCTGGAAGTCTACATTCCACGGTGTTGCCAAGAGTCAGACACGACTTAGTGACTAACCACCACCACCTGCCTAAGCTGGAAATCACAGTGCCCTCCTTCTCTCCATGACACATTCAGTCATTGTCCACATTCTAGCAATTCCATCTCCAAAAGACATTTTAGCATTCACCCCTTCTTTCCTAACTGAAAAAATGCTGCAAAGTAGAGTCTGCCAAGAGCATTTGCAGGGTTGGATAGCTTGCTGAAATCTAGATTTTTTTTCCCCTCCTGGCTTGCTTCCAATGACTGAAGTCTATCCAAATATTTCTGTGGTGACAGAAGTTGCCACATAGCCAAGACAGCCCTTGGTACAGAAACAAATCTATAAAGAAGGCACAGCTCTGCTGAACCAGGCATCAGAGTGAGTCCTCTGCCCTGAATTTGAAAGCGTTTCTCCAAGACAGATCAAAAGAAAAGCCAGTACTGTTCTGGCTCTGGACATGCCGCGTGGGCTCAATGTGTCTAGATTCCTCATTAAATACTGTAGTTAATTTGACTGAGTGACTGGATATTCTCTAAAGGGCTAGCTGGATGAAAGCTGTGTTATGCTTAGGCACCTGCGGAATAGAAGAGCTATACAGAGAATCCAAGACTGACTTATTTGGTACAAGTCTAAAAATTCAATTTGTCACTTCTGACATCACTTAGAATAAATTGAGACAAACATCATGTTAAAACATAACTATGCCCCGATTTCAGTACTACATTTTACATTTTTACAGAGCATCTGTCTCGGACTGCAAGGAGATCCAACCAGTTCCTTCCCAAAGGAGATCAGTCCTGGGTGTTCATTGGAAGGACTGATGCTGAAGCTGAAACTCCAAAACTTTGGCCATCTGATGTGAAGAGCTGACTCATTTGAAAAGACCCTGATGCTGGGAAAGATTGAGGGCAGGAGGAGAAGGGGATGACAGAGGATGAGATGGTTGGATGGCATCACCGACTCGATGGACATGGGTTTTGGTGGACTCTGGGAGTTGGTGATGGACAGGGAGGCCTGGCGTGTTGCGGTTCATGGGGTCACAAAGAGTCAGACATGACTGAGCAACTGAATTGAACTGAACTGTCTCTCTAGGATATACCAGTACACATTACGTTTACATGTAACTTACCCTGTTTTCTGAGGAGCCAGTAAACAAAGTCATGGGCTCGTTAGGAAGCAAACCTGAGACTAGATACAACCCCCAAACTGTTTGAATCCAGTCTTTTAAACACTTGGGAGAAAACTGAAAAGCAGTAATGATTGCCTTATGTTTCCTCCTGTGGGACACAGTGGCAAGACCAACACCAGGTTTAGAGACATGGGTCACACTCAGGTTTAGAGACTCTTGGAACTGGAGAGTCAATAAAATAAGCCTAAGGAAGGCTCCTTGGGGAGCGTTTGTGCCGCTATTCCAAGCTCAAACTTACGAGTTAGAGTGTCTGTGAAAAATAAGGTATTGATGAAAGTAAGGTAAATATTATTTAAAAAGAAGAAAAGTTTAACTATTAGATATATTACTTTAATGAGATTATGTCATATCAGAACCAATAGTATTACTTTTTCTAATGAAGAGGAAAAGTAATAAAATCACTCACATATACTGTTGTTATTGCTAATGACTCCATCTCCGTTAACATATTTTTTCCATAGTTGAAAACAAGAAGTTGGCCTTTTGCCAGTGGGAAGATAAGCTTTTTTCTTACTGGTGTTTATAATATGACTTTTGCTTTTAGCAGTACAAATTTACATTCTGGACTTCAGGGCAAAAAGGCTCTTTGTGGACTATCACTACTTGCAACCACCTAACCATCCCACAGCAGCAGAAACATTCTCTACTTACATAACCAGGAAACCAAGAAAGCAAGGGAATTCACTTGCTTCTAAAATGCCATCAGTCCAAGCTATGGCTCAGAAAGCTTTGGTTCTAGGAATGTTCTATAAGCTTCTAGGACCACCTAAGAATTTATAATAATTGAACTTTTTTTTTTTTTTTTTTAAAGGGGGCAAAACCTGTAGTATTTCTCAGATACTCAGGCTAAAAATTTGGCTTGGCTCATTAGTGAACCAACAATGAACTACTTAGTGAAGCTAACAGTGGCTTCTTATGATCACTTGGGGATCTAGAGAAATGTCTGTGTCCTTGCAGTCCCCACCTTGACTTCTCCCACAGATGCAAGATAATTCCCCCCTAAACAGGCAAAAAGCCTTCTCAAATGATAGGCAATAAATAGATCTGCAGCTAAAGAAATCATTTAGCGTGTGTGTGAAACAAATTTCTTAAGCAACTGCTCCATGAATTGGGAAAGCAGAATTAAAAACAGTCAACAAAAAACCTCAAACAAAGGAAAAAAAAGTCCTCAATGCTGAATTGTGTCAAATTTCTGAACCCAATAAAATGGCTAAACATCATTTTCTCCATTTGCAAAACATCATTTTATCATTTTTGTGGAAAAATCCCAATTCTTTATCTTATTTTGGTGAAATGTGAGCATCGCATAGTTAACATTAGCAGGTTATATTTTAGAAGTCAGAAAAGAAAGAAGCATTCTACCCTTAATTCTAAAAGGTTATTTTTTATAAGTCAGAAAAAAAGAGAAGTCTTCTACCCTTAGCATAATTCTCTGCCTTTGAATTATATCAATGTTTACATAAATAATGGAGCACATATGTAACTCTTATGAACACTTTGAAATGATTATATCATGCACGGCACAACATGGTATCTGAACATAAATGAAATATGGACTTCATATCCATTCTTCCTCATGCTTCATTGCAGCAGAATGTGACAGTAGAATGCATTTGACTTAAACATGAAATAAAGCATTTACCAGGTGGCGTATAGGACACTTCTGGACTTGGTGATGTCTTTGGCTTCAGAGTAACATGCTGGAATACCTTAGGAGCTGAAAGAGAGAGCTTGGACCATGAGTCATTTGGTTTCAGCATCTCCCAGTCAAGCTTAGCACATAAGATCTGACAAAGCATAAACCTGATTATTGCTTTTAAAAAAGTATTGAAATAGGAGTTATATGGAAAAATAAACCTTAAGCTCTAAGAGTAAATCAGTTAGAATTTCAGATACTTTAAGAAAAATGAAATCTGAGAAATAGCAAAATTTGAATAAGCATAAGGGTAGGATGAAGAAACTTTGGAAATCTTTCAGAAGAGATAGCAATTAAATTAATGAGAGTACTCTTCTTCTCTGGATGTTTGCTTGACTTCTTAAACCCATCTTCATGCTTTTCTGCGAAGAATGAGTTCTGTAAAGTCAAAGTGGGACCCCAAAAAGCATGTATGAAAGCAACTTAAAGTCAGGTCAGCAACAGCAGAAAGAGAATGGGCAACAGAACGGAATGGCTGGGCTCATGTTCTGCCTCTCGCAATTCTCAGGCTCTAAATAAACCTTTAAATGACATGTTTACAAACTCAGCCTGTCTTTCCACAGCTGTTCCTTTGGAGTAACAAGGTGCTAATGTAATAGATTTTTGTTTTGTTTTGTTTTAGTCCTGGGGGAGCGGGGGAAGAAAGGCCTACTTTATTTGTATAGTTCATTTTACAACTTCAAAAATGCTTCCATAAAGATTATGCCCTTTGATTCTCACCATAATGCTGAGAGGAAGGAATGATCAGCTTCACTTTGAAGCCAGGTTGGAGACTATTGCCTGGGGTCACATGGCCATTAAGCACCAGCCAAGACTTGAACTGAACCCCATGGTTCAGACATGATCGCTAGGTCCCAACTCTTGGGTTTCCTATATCCCAGCTCTTCAGGTCACATTTTTAACTTGCTCATTTTTTAGGTGGACATAATAAACCTGTCCTAACTCAAAGGGTGACTGTGAGAATTAAGTGTGAATGTCAAAATGATGTGAAAGCTATACTCCTATAAACATTTCTTTCCACTTTTGGAGAAACTTTACAAATTTGACATCGAAAGATCTGAGTATATTTTGCTTTTCACATTGTTTGCCCCCTCAAAAATTAGGAGCAATTTTGATAGTTATTTCTAGATATAAAATTATTAATAACAGGATTGTTCACTATTACTTATGAACACAGGAATCTAAAAATCAAACCTATATTTAATGATAAAATATTCTTGATTTCTTCCAAGTTTTTGATCCCACTATGTCTTCAAATGCCAAATATAGTAAATTTAAATTTTGCTATCTAATTTATCAACATAATTTAAATATAAATAAGGCAGCATGCCCAATCACAGAATTTCATTCTGAAAATCGTGATAGATAAACAACTGCATTGCTCTTTAGGTTGTACATGCTATGTTGGATGATGGCCTTATAGCCCAACAATAATAATTTGCATGTGGTGTTGCACATATGAACAGAACATTCTCTCATTCAAATGGCCTTTTGCAACAGCTAGCCAGATGTAAGGGGGAAAGTACTATGAGAGTTTAAACATTTGTCGTTCAACTATTGAGTGATACACATATATACATATGAAACATCCTTGAAAGACTATAAAAACCTAGGGTATTGCTGGGATCTATTAAGTAAAGCTCATATTCTCCTGGGTAAGAGAGATCCTAATTTCACCCACTTTTAAGAGGAATATGTAGAATGAACAATTTTCTAAACCGTCCATTTATATTAGGCCACCCTGACAAAGTTGGAAGTATTTGGATGGCAGCTACTTTCCAGGGGAGATGCTGATGGACTGGAGTTTGCTCGGTTGGGACAGAATCAGGATGCTCTCTTACAGTCTGCAGCCACTCCAGGTTTCAGAGTTTGAATGGAACTACTAGGTGTATGCATCTATCCATTCTGAAGTTGCTTATCTTGTCAAGAAAGGTTAGCTAAAGGTCTAAATCAAAATCAAACAAGGTTGAAACTTAGAGTGTCATAATTGGAAACTAGAGCAAGGTCCTGATTTACTACATCGATTTTTGTAAGTACAGAGTACAGCTCAAAAAGATAAAATAATGAATGCCTTCCTTCTTAGTTCTTATCTCCTTTACTTTTTATAATGTTGCTAACCAGGGCTTTATAGCCTCAATGTTTTAACTTTCAATACATCTTATTTTTCATCTCTTCTCTTACTTTCCAACATTCATTGTTTTATGCTTTCTTATCTCTTTCCATTTCTCCTTTTCCTACATTTATTCTATTCTTCATATTCACATAAAAGGTTGAGAGCTTCCTTTCATCACTTTATCTGTTGATTTCTTAAAATTAGTTTCCTATCCACAAATTTAATATACTTGCTTTAAAAATTCTTATTCTATTTATTTTTATTCACTAATTCCAATTAATTACCCCAGCATTTCTTATATATTAATATTTCAAATTTATTTCCTGTTATTTTTAAATTTCTTATTCTTTCAGATGATTGTTGCCTTGATACATTCATATACTTATGTATCACACCCATATTATTTTTTAGCAAAGTTTTAGTCATTAAATAAAAACACATTTTAAAATACATTAAAGCAGATTGAAAATCTTTAGCTAGATGTGGTACCCAGGACTTTCTTTTAAGGAGTTTTACTTTAAAGAAAAAATAATGGGCAAAATTTCTCTCAAAAATATAATGGAAAATGTTAATATCTCTCAGGTATTCGGGATCATTCCCAAATCTAACAGTTCTTTCTTTTTTCTTTCAGTAGGGATACTGAGATGTGCTAAAGACTCTGTGGTGGTAGTTAAGAGCTATTACCTGGATCAAGCATAATTTTGATGCTGCTAATATTTTCCTTTCCCCAGATCATTGGTGATAGCTAGGGTTCCTTTCCAGTACACTGGGTAGGTGCACTTCATATACTTTTTGGAAATGGGCCATGTATAAACAAATTTAAATATAGATAATTGGCCTAGGCTGTAAGTACCTTGACCACAGAAGGCCGAAATTTTGTTTCACATTCCCAGTGTGTAGCACATTGCTTGCACATAGTCAGCATGCAATAAGTATTTGTTGAGTGGCTAACTGATGAACTAGTTAATCAGCCACTTAAGGATCAAGGGTGAGACAGTTTTAAATGAGGAAGGAAGAGTGACAGGAGGACGAGTGGCAGAGACTAGGCATGACTGGCTGTGTGCTTAGAGTGGGCGTCACTGCTGGAAATGTCTGAAAAACTGACGGAGTCCAGAGGCTGGATGAGGAGGAGAATAAAAATGGATGTAAAATGCTGAGAATCTGCAACTGATATAAATGAGAAACCAAAAGCAGGGAAATATGAGCTTTCTTTGAGGTATGTGAGGTTTATGGTAGCCTGAAACGGAGATCTGCCAAGGCCGTCGCAGGAAACGAACAAGATCTTGGTTGAGAAGTCAGGGCTAATCACTCAAGTGAGAACTTCCATACTATTAAAAAAAAATAGTTTATGATGACTCTTGTTTAGCTCCTTTCCAAAACTCATAGCAAAACAACCAAAGCCATATTATGTAAATATTTTATAGGAGAAGATACATATTAAAAATCTTCATGACCTAATGTTAAATAAAATTGACTGAGAGGCCAAAAAATAATTAGGGGACTGGTGGGTGAAGGACATTCAAGGACCACGGAAGGGTTTCTCAAACTAGGAGAAGCAAAGGGAGTAGGCAGGCTATTTTTTTTTAAAGAAATTCCATATTTCTCTAGCCCCTTCTCAAATAACATAAGAGTAGGGAAGCTTTTTGGAATAAACCACTTTAATACTATACTTTTTGATAAAGTCTAAATATAAATATTTATTAGGTTTCAAAGGAAGACTTATTATATAAGGGTTAAAAACCTAACTTGCTATATAATTCAACAGAGTAACTCCGCAAACATCAAACTTTTCAGGCCAGAATATAAAATAAACATTTACCTGATTGTGTTTGTGGGATTCTTGGACGTGGAGATGTTTTTGGTTTAGGAGGAGTTCGTGGTATCTGCTTGGAAGCTAAAAGAAAGGATACAGGTTCGGAGCTCTTGAGCTTCTCAAGAATAACAGTACCTAACCTTCTAGGAGCTCAAAGATGTTTGTTGAGTGACTGAAGATGTAAATATACAGCAATTAACATAATTAAAGCTGGCAAAGAGCAATAGAATATAAGAAGATAATTTTCTTATTATAATAGAAAACAAAACAAGAAGGCACATTAATATCTAAGATACTCAGCTGGCAAATGAAACTGTTGAAATTTTGGGATTATCTTCTCCAAATACCTATTAAATAGGCTAAAAATAAATTTCACAACAAAATAATTCATTCTTATTATAAGTTCACATTGCAGTATCAGAGTATCCCAGTATAATATTTTAAGTACAGAAAGAAACAATTTCTTCTAAATAAAAAGCATGTTACATTCCACATATACCTAGAAGGTGAATATGTCTTTATAAGAAAGTTATGGAAAAAAATTAATCTTGTTAAAGAAAAGATAATTTTTATTGGCCATATTGGGGAAGAAAAATTGAACAGAAATTGAAAGGATATATTATTGAAGGAAGTTATCCTTTTGCTGGGCAATTCTCAAAAGAGTTCTAGGACATTCAGTGTAAAAGTCAGTTTCTTCACTAAAAAAATTAAAGGTTTATCCTGCTTGAGGAAAATAATGATCAAATGCAAGGTCACAGCTTGTGGAAACACCTGTTTGGTTGGATGAAGTGTGTCTGAGATAAAGAGAAACAAGAAAAAACAGATGGTTTCCAAGGTCATGGAGTTTCAGACCCTTAAGAAAAGCTTGCTGAAAATAAGAGTTATTAGATAAAAGAAGTTGAGTCTGTAGATACTTCTTCCTGATAATTTAAATATACAAAGCATGCAATGGTTTCAGTGGAATCTTCTCGCCTGTAGAAAGAGGAACAAGATATGTTGGAGATTATACTGGTTTAGGAGCCAGAGATTAAGAACTCACTTTGCTGATCACTTGGTCTACAACCTCGGATTCTTCATCAAAGGTAAAAGGGTTTTTAAGAACCCTTCCAACCCTACAATTCTATACTTGTACAGTTTTCTTAGTCTTATGATATTGTGACTCTGAATTGCTTTGCTTGCTGAGATTCATAGTGATGGGTTATTTGCGTCCTTGGGGTATAAGAGACCATCTGTAGGTAAAGGTGTGTTATGAAGCAATTCTATAAAAAATAATTCAGAATGAGATTGGTATCACTGGTAGTATCTGCAATTAAATATTTAAATCATATTAATAACCACAGCTATTTAAAAAACTTGAAAACATTAGCGATAATAGACGCAGATCCAGTTAATACAGTCAGTGTGGAATTTTGGTAAAATTAAACTGTAGAGTTTAATAGTCAAAATTTAACGGGGTATTCTGAGGACAATGAATAAAATTAATATCCATATCTCCTTTGGAAATAGAGCCATATAAAATAGTTTCATGGCCATCAAAATACAAGTTTGAGCTTATATATGATAAACTGCTGTTCTGAGGGAGCCTGTAGACACTGAAAGACTTTTTTCCTTGTAAGAAGAAGTACATTTAGCTGTCTGCATTGATGCTTTGTTTTCCTACATTTCAAATTCTACCAAGGAAACCCTTATGACTTGCCAACCAACTGGTGTGATTTCAGTTTCTCTTATTTGTATCCAGTGAAGTGGCCAAGCTGCCACAGGAAGGAGTGGAAGAAAGTAGTCAGGTGATAAAGCATTTAAAATTGGGATAGAATATAAATGTTCTTCTCCAGAAATATTTCTATTTCCTATATGAAAGACTTGTGGAATAGCTGAGAGGTGTGTTTCAGTTAATCCTAAATGATATTCACAACGCTACTATGGGACTGGTTACAGATTATGGATAGAGAGAGGAATCGGGCATCAGAAAGGTAGGATCACCCATCAAAGACTGTGAGCAGCAATTATAGCTTCCAACAGCTAGTCATAGTGCCCAACCAGCATCTTCCTGTTCTTTAAGCTCTGTGAACATTCACCTTCTACATGAAATACAGAACAATACATTTACCCAGTGTGGTCTGAGGCTCATCTGGGTTGGGTAGAATTACAGTCTGGAGAGGCAGAGGTGATGTTTCTACAGTAAGTGAAGGAACGCAGTCAGGGTTACTACAGTGCTTCATGCACCTTTAATACAGAAAGGATGGTGACAAGTAGATTTTACAGAAAAAAAGAAAACTGCAGTAAATGCTGCTCTTACTTCTTAATAATGTATTTAGTTTAAAAACTGCTTAGAGATGCCAGTTTATAAAATACTTTCAAGGTAAGCAATATCCTTACTTTTTAAATCATCACTCCACACTAGTACCTCCCCCAGTGGTGCTAGAAAGATATGTTCAAGAATAACCATAAAACAAAGTAATAAAAATTATGAAAGCATAAGCCATTCAGCAGCATGGGATTTTGTTTAACAAAGGAAAAAAAAACAAGTAAATCAATGTGATGAAATAAATGACTGCTAATGAAGTGTGTTGCTAGGTCAGAAGGTATAAGTGGATCATCGTACAAAAATGTTATCTGAAACATTCAACATAATACCAAATTGGCAGAATGTTCAACCTTAGGAAAAAGATGCTTTAGATTTGACAGTTTCGGTGACTGAAATAGTGAGAGGCCAAGATCTAGATACAAAGCTCAATGAGAGAAGACACTTTTTGGGACAATGGTTATGAAGAGAAGTATCTAGAAAGAAAATTAACTGTGATGAGGAAGAATGATGTTGCAACATGGATTCACAATGAAGGAGAACCTGGGTTTTCTGGTGATGGTGACAGTGATGACAAAAGCTGCCGGGGTGTATCATTACCTAGTGTGGTCTCAGGTGGTTCAGACACATGTGTAATAGATTCCACAACTGTATCAAAACAAAGGAGAACAATTTTAAAAACTGTAAGATGTTAAGCTGCAGTCAAGTATTTCTTTCTTGAATATCAACCTCAGTCTCTTGGGAATCTGCATCACATTTTTACAGATAGGACAATGGGCTAGGATAAGAAAAAAAAACAGTCTGAGAGGGATGTCCTATTCTATAACCCTAAACCTCCAACTAAGATTTATGTTTTAACTGTCATTAACTGTCAAGTGTTATTATGCCTCAATACATAGACACCACAGAGAAACTGAAATTTATTTCTGTATTCAGAGAGTCAATTATCATTTTAATTTTAGGAATTCAAGGATTTTAGAAGCTATGGCTCTTCAAAGCTAGTGAACTGCAGAACAAGTACCCCAGCTTGGGCTTTCATTTTCTATGAAAAGTAATAGATACTGATTAAAATATTTTGAATAAAAGAATCAAAGCATGAAAACCTTTACCACTTTCTGTCTCTGGCTCCTCTGGCCTGAGTGGTGCTTTGGTGGTGGAATAGACATAATTACTATTTCAGTTGGTGCTAGAGAAGAAACCAAATGGTGGGTTAGCAGTGGGCAGCCCATAGTACCCACTGCCATGAAACACTGTTTAATTTGAAAACAGAGGTTAATTATCCTAATTAGATAATCTATCCTAGATAGGTTTGTGAGAATAAATAACATTTAGGGAGAATATGAAGATGACTACAATTTAAGAGGGTGGAAACGAAGGCAGTGTGCAGTGTGGAACGCACATACCAACACACACACGAACTAGCAGGATCTACAGCAGTTTCCACCTGGGGCAAAGCAGATAACTTCATCTCCTTACATATTTTTGTTTAAGGATTCCAGTGAGAAAAAGACATAGAGTGGGTTCTTTGAAAGCAAGAGGATGAATCCTAAAATGAACATGAAAAATAGGATGTGCATATTTGCATTAAAAGAGTGCTCAGAATATTAAAAAATGAACTTTTGCATTCAGAGCCAGAGGGAACTAGGTGAGGAGGTTGTGAAACTTGCAAGGCGACATAGCAGGCACTTGCACAGTGTGCTATAGATGACATTTAACTGTCAAGATGCACTGGATGAGCACACGCGAGATGTGAGAAGCCATGAAACGTTATGAAGCGTGAGGACATCCCAAGGTGACTTCCGCAATGTGATGGCAAAGCACATATATCTGACTTCCCATTGGGGAACATTATTACCTATCGCTTCCTTTGATGACTCAGTGCTAAATGTAAGCAATTCCAGGACTTCAGAAACTAGCAAAAAACACAAAATGATACAATTTATCAAGGATGACTTGTTGCAAGCATTGAATAAATTCAAAGTATTTAGACACGTGACTTGCACCTTAGTCAATGTGAGCAGTTATTATAATAACAACAGTACTATTAACACTAAAGTGCTACCAGTACTACTAGTACTAACAATAGCACTATTAACCCTAATAACTGAATTCATAATTTTATAAGTACTGTAGGTTATCATTAACAACCATGCCTTGTTCCATCAACATAAGCATCCAAATGCCATTTAGCTAATTAAGAGATATACAAAGAGGATGAAAAGAAATTATAATCCTGTTAGGAAAAAGTAAAGATCTGGTGTTTCAAAATAAATGTCAGAGGGTTGCAACAGCATTAATAAGCATAATCTTAAAAATTTGTTTTTAGTTTTGAAGGGCAATACTGTTTAGGTTCATACTATGTAAGGTGAAATTTTGTTATCTTCACTGAAGTGAGAACTTTCTTCTTTCTTAAGGGTCACAACTGAATGAGCATTCTTTTCACATAGCAGAACACAAATTTAGCTTACTACTAAAGAGAATCACAAGTTCGTAACTTAGTGAAAAATAAAGGTAAAGAATAGAATCAGTTCTTCTAAGTGGTTTTGTTGACTACTTAATCAGATATGTGATTATTCTGTTATAGAGTAAACCCAATGAAATGAAGGTAAGTATTTCTATACAGTTGAATAACAATTAATATGAAAATAATGTATTACTAATTTATACTTATTTGCAATCACGGAAAGAGCATGTACCATATATAGGGTTGTTAAATGTGTATTCTTTTGCATTTTTCAATGTGTGGAAATACAATACTCGGGGTGTGTTCCCTGAAGCTCAATGGTGTATCCAGACAGATTAAATAATTTATTTACCAGGCTGACTTTGTGTCATTTCTAGGCTTGCTGATGTCACTGGCTTCAAAATAAGAGTTTGCAGTTCAGTGGGAGCTGAAAGAAGAGGGTCTAAGTTGTCAAACTAATTATGGATAATTTATGTCACAGAACTTAGCCAAAGGTAGCAATACAAAGACCTTCAGAATCACAGTGTTATGAATAGGCATGCAGTTTGCATTATTTAAACCACAGATTGGCAAATTATGCCCCCCCCACAAGCCAACCCTCTTCCTGACCTGTGAACTAAGTGATTTTTACATTTTTAAACGATTGAAAAAAGTTAAAAGAAGAGTGATAATCTATGGCATGTAAAAAATGGTATGAAATTCAAATAAAGTTTTGTTGAAACACAGCCACACATACAAACTAAAATGACTCAAGGCCAAGATGTAAGTGATATACAAATATGCCTTGAATCATCTTAGTTTCTGTGTGTGGCTGTGTTTCAACAAAACTTCTATGGCTTCAAGCTACAACAGCAGAATTGAGAAGATATAATAGAGACCAAATGGCCTCCAAAGCCTAAAATATTCACTACCTAACTGTTCACAGAAAAAAAAAAATCACTGATTTACTGATCCCTGATGTTAATTATCCTTCTAGAAAAAGCAACAGTCTATTTGAAGAAGTGAGGGTCTTAAAGACTATTGTATGTGAATCTATATTTCCACAAGGGCTTTCTAAGAATTCCTTACAGCTGATTTTAAGACAGTATTATTAACAAAATATTCAGTATCATCTAGGAGTATTTTGTTCTATGTTCCAATTTGACCACCCCCTCAGGAACCATTAATATTATGTCAAAATGTTTTATTTTCTTGTTCTCACCATTCCAACCACCAATTTAAGTCCTAGTTATTTCAAATCTCAACTATTCCCTGTAAGACCACAGAGAACCTTGATTCCTTTAAATGTTTTCTTTCTATATTTTTAATCAAACAAGCTTATACTTTTGTATAAGCAAATTATCTTTCATCTAAGAAAAATTCAAGGCTCAATTCTTCACAATTATATTGTACTTTAAGAGATAAAACATGCCCTTACATTTTTATCTCTATCTCTGTTCCACACCCCTCTCTGCTCAACTACTAACATGGTGCTGGGACCACAGAGGGCAAGGAAATGGTTGTTTACCTAAGACAAAGAAGCAATGCTATTTTAAAAAGAAATTAATGAAACAGAATGCTAAGAGAACTGAATAAGATGCATCTTTTGTAAGAGACAACTCTTATGCATCTGGCTACCATATAGATCTCCAACCATGAGCATTCTGGTCCATGTGCAATGCTACTTCCTCTCTTAGACGGCACAGAGGTGGGAAAAGCAAGTTAGCAAGCCATATCACTGTCACTCTTGGGACCCAACTGCAATGGGCTGGAAGGACTTCTTGAACTAAAATCCATAGATTTTATTGGTTTCAACTGTGGAGCTTTGAGAAGTTTAAAGTTTGTAAGAAGGATGTTCCCCCTGCCCCATGTTTTGAAACTAAAGGAAGAAAATGTTGAGTTGCTATTGTATTTGTAGGTCTAAAAACCATCAACATTGAATGTGGACAAATGTTTTCTAAAACATTAGATTTTCTTGGCTTTACTGCCTAAGTTTGAAAATTTTACTTTACTGTCCAATTTGTTCCTTATCACTGAGGGTCTTTCAGAGATCAAAAACAAAATTTGTTAAAGATATATATTACTATATATAATTAGATACTCAGAGAGATTCCTACTTAATGATTAAGAATCAAAGCTAAACTGTGGTGGAGAATAAGGAATATTCAAGTTCATTAATGATGGGTAAGCCTGTGAATTACATTCACTAGAACTGTCTCTTCCAAGAAGCAACATTTTAAAAATAATAGGGAAATCATTCCTTGAAATAGGAAGAGAATAATGAGAATATCACAAAAGAATCTTATAGAGTGGTTCAGAGAAATTTCATGGTACTTAATTATCACCATTTTATAGATCTACATACCAAACAGAAGGGGAACAATTTGGGCTTCAGACTCTTCACTGAATCACATAATGAAATGCTAAAGGGGATTTCATGGCAGATAGATTTCCTCACCTGGATCCAGGGACATCTGTTACAAATAACAGGTAGCCCTTGAATTAAGAATCCTGACTACTTATAAGATGAAACATGAAACAGAATTACAGCAGCCGTCAAAGGAAGCAGGAGCAACTCTGGCCATGATAGTGATGGGGTGGGTTTTTAATGAGGTCACAAAAGTCATTACCTAATGTTGCTTCTGGAGCTTCCAGAGCTATGAATAACAGGTTCAAAGCTTGTAGCAGAAACTAACCAAAAGCAACAAGGGGAACATAAGAAAGTTTAAACACACACATAGAAAGCCTTAATTTTTCTTTCAAAACATTAGTTTCAAATGACGTTTTTTTTAACTTTTATAAATTCAGAGAAAGCAAATAGTCTCTGAGGCTAGGAGCAATTCCTCGCAGAAAGTAGGTACAACCTTTGAACTCTGCTATGAATCTTAGTATAGTCAACATGAGACTGGCCTAGGTGTTTGATTTTCTGATTCTAATATGGAAGCTTGCATTGGAAAATCTGTGTAGGCAATATATGTTAAAAATATGTGAAAGGAATTTGTTGCATTTCTTAGAAGTTGGGGAAAAAACCTATGGTTATGTACTATAATAGATCATGTGTGTTTAACTGTAGATATACCATGAGTAACTATGCAAGTATTGCTACAAGTAAAAGTGACCAAGAACTTCATCCAGGAAGCAACTGCTAACCATACTTCAATGCCTCAACTCTTAGGGAACAGGAAGTCTGTTACTTTCCATCAAAGGCACTGCTTTGGGACCCCACATGGACAGACTGCTAGGGTTTACCCCTCAAACTATGGAACAACAACGCATTTACCCAATTTGGTCTGAGGTGCTTCAGGGCTTGATGTGGTTTTGGGTCTGGGACGTGGACGACGAACTCGTGTTGTTTTATAAGCTGAAGGAAGAAATATTGGATTATTATTGGATTATTATTATTCCAGTGAAGGTGGTACTGGAAATAAGGTTCTAGGTTTTCTAAAATATGTTTCCTTGAAATTTAAGGCATATATTTTTAAGATCCAAATATTTTTGCCTATTTTATTCATTATTTTATCACGAAGAGTCTTGAGGTGAAACTTACACATAAAATTAAGTCAAGAAGAGGAGTTTTATAAATCCCTAACTTTAAAAAAGGTAAGGACTATCATCAAACCACAGATAGTTCACAGTAAGAAATTTAAATATTCCCCCAAGCCATGGAACTACACATTGAAATGTTTTAGCTCATCTAGAGAAGATACAGACATTCCTGACTGCATTTGAAGCTCAGCTTTAAAAATGAGCCCCATTTAGACAAAAGTAGTACATGATACAAATTCAATTAAGATTACACAGCAGAAAAATACCCTGACCTAATCCCATGCATATCTTTTAAAACAACAGGCAACTTCTTTTAGAGTCTTCAATACTCTTATTGAGAAGAATATCAAGTTGCAGAACAGCAGAGGATGACAAGATAGTCTTAAGAAGCTAGTGATAATGTGATGACGATGAGGATGATAATGATAGAATGTGTTGATAATGGGCAGGAAAAAAATGTTGTGGAACACAGAATATCATTACCTAATGTTGTTTCTGGAGCCTTGGTTGTACGAGTGACAGGTTCGATGACTGTAGGAAGAACTAGCCAAAAACAATAAAATAAACCAAAGAGATTTCAAAAATGTGCTTGAAGACTAAATTCAGAAGCTAATTTTTAAGCTTCAGGACAGAGAGAAAAGAGACACATACTTGTTCTTTGCAGGTCTGACCAAATTATGGCCAATATCCATTAACCTCATAAATCAGGTTATGCACTCTGTTCAATATCACTGTGGTCAACAAGAAGTTCTAGATGTTTGGTTATCTGACCCTTGCTAGTATGGAAGATTTTGCTAGATGAGCTTTTTACAAATTTATGAATATAAACATGTTAGACTTTTCTAACTACTGGAAATAGCATTTGTCAGTCTATTTGCACTTCTATACAAGTTCACATATAAATGTCTACTATTTTGTTCACTATTTCAATAATCATGGGTATAATAATGAATTCACATGTTCAAAAGTATAAGGATCAACATAAAAAATGGGGTATGCTCATCAAAATTTCAAAGAGGTTCTTCATTCAGTAAAAGACAAGAAACTCTTAAACCCTGTTAAAGAAGGAGAAAGAATCAGCCTATTCTGTCATAAAAGCCCATCATTTAAACTTTTAAGATTTAGGCATGTTCAAAAATTTGACCATTATCTAAAAGCATTATTCCTTGAAACAACAGATTCACCAGTACAATCACAGAGATCCTAATTCAATAAAAAGTAACAATAAAAAACATGGCATTTCTACAATTGATGAGGAAAAAGCAAGTGAGAAGAATAGTGATAAATGGGAATTCACGTCTGAAAGAAAGCTTAATAGTCAACACTGTTTAAACAAATGTACATGATCACATCACAACGTTGAGTAGATACACAGCAATTAGTATATACACAGTTCTCTTAGAGTCAACAGATGACATAGAGCTTAGCATAATTACAGGATAAAGATTGTAGTAGAATGACAATAGAGGGGTTAGAAATGGCTTTAAGATACAGGAGAACCTGTATCTTATACTATCATGGTATGGCTATAATGGTATGACAATGAACAGGAAGACTGCCATTTGAAGGACACACATGCTCATTACCCACGATTTCTGGAGCTTCAGTTCTAAGAGTACCAGGTTCAAGATCTGTAGTAGGAACTAGTCAAAAACAATGAAACAAACACTTGTGAAAAGTCAGCAAATTAAATCTTAGCAGTATAATATTGCTTCAGAAGGTACATAACAATTTGAAAAATTTTTTGAAATCACATACTTGTTATTTAATGATTTGGTCAGCTAAAGCCAGGTAGATATTCTTTTATGAGATAGTCATAGCATACACAATCTGGTAAATATCTTCATAAAGTCAACATGAGTTTCTCCTAGGTATCTAAGTACCTAATTCCAATCATTGTAGAATACTGATCTAGGAAAATTATCTAAACATTTTACCAAATATGTACTTATGTAACTGTTCTGACAACTGTTGACTTTTCTGTGGAAGCTTTGAGAAAAACAACATGTCTAAGGTCTCATCACCAGGAAAAATATTTTTCTACTGCTTTCATCTGTCTATATGAGGTGATGGATTAAACTAAACAACTAAAGCTACTGTGGGAATCATCTCATGACACACGCAAGTCAAGTCATTATGCTGTATGCCTTAAACTTATACAGTGGCGCATGTCAATTTTCTCTCAATAAAATTGGAAGAAAAGAGTGTGTCTATATAAACATGTATACAATAAGTAGATTTTGTGTTTATAGACATGGAAAAGAATTAAGCCAAGTGAAGCATACAGATCTTGTTGAGAACAGCTATTTGGAAGTAGGCTGAGACCTTGTTTGAGGCAAGAGCACTCAGTAAATCAGGATATAAGAGCGAATGGCGTGTGGGGCCCAGCAGAACACTTGACGTGGTCTGTTCTAATCATAAAAATGTTGTTGCCTGTAAAGGGGGAAGAGACCACTGCAGGAGAGACTGCTGATGCTTCTGGGTCAGATCCAGACTTCTGAGTCATACTTGCCAGGACTTTCTTCAACTGCTCTGATGGACCCTTCCAAACGCAGCACTCTTCATTACCCCTGAATAGCAGAACCCCCTTCACTCAGAAGCCTGTGCTCACGGGTTGGTCTCTTCACCTTTCTTTTTGTCTCAGTCTCCATGATTTTAAGACTTCTTACTTCTGTCCTTCACAGACTTTTCTCCCTTTCAGCTGAGAGACGTTTAGAACCCCTGCATAAAAGAACTCTGTTTGCAGAGACACACTGCCTAGGTTCAACCTTTTCATGTTTCACACTGAGGCGGGCTCTGACTTTGACTCTACTGCAGACTGAGAAGTAAGAAGTCGCTGCCTTCTCTGATACCCTCACAGCTGTTGATGGGCTCTAAGGACAGGTAAGTTACTTCATGTGTGTTTCTTGAAATAAAAATGGTTTAAGACATTTTGTCTTTAAGTGAAGAATGGAGTGGAATGAGAAAACGCAAAATAAAGTACACAGTACATAAAAGAGTAGATCCTTATGCAGAAGACACAGAGAATTCAGCTATCGCAGAGTCCCTCCCACCCCCTCATCACGTTTTCCTCCACTGACTCAATAGGGGGAAGCATCGGCAGGTCATTTCGGGCCTTTACCCACACAAGGCTCCCACGGCACTGCTACTACTAGATCAATCCCAGACTCTCCAGAGCTGCCAGGACGCAGTCCTTTAATGAGAAACCCACATTTACCCGGTTTGGTTTGAGGCGCCTCAGGAGTTGTTGTAGTTTTAAGTTTGGGACGTGGACGACGGGTCCGTTTTGATGTTTTAGGAGCTGAAGAAAGAAAACCTTCAGTTACTTCAGAGTTCGTAGTTCAGCAGCTATGGGTAGCAGAACACAGGTCTTCAGATTTCCTACAACTTACTAGATTTCCTCATATTTTAGGAAGTGCGTCTTTTAAACTTTTTAATTTGAAGCTTTCACCTTTATTATAATAGTACTTTTTTACATGTGGAAGTTTACTGGGAATAAGTCATATATGAAAGTAAGTTATTCATTTAAAAAGAAGAATCATTCAAAGGACTATTTTTTGAATTAAAAAGGACAAGAACCATTGCTAAAATATTATGGTGGTGGTGATGGTACAAACTCTTCGATGATTTACTAAAATAAGACCATGTCACTAACTTTTCAGTTAAAGAACAAGTATCATATAGATAGCTAAAAAAAAAAAAAAAACACTTTAGATCCACAAAGAACCCTCTTTTCTAACTTTTGTTAGGGTTACAAGAATTGCTTTTTAAACTCAACTTAAAACATTGGTTAAAAAACATATGCAATGACAAGAACAATTTCAGATGATCACATGTATAACAATTGATTTGAGTTAGGTTCATGCATAAGCTCTCTTAGAAACAAGGGATAACTTGTTTTAAGAATCAGAGTCTTCTGTACTTTTAGGATGAAGAATATCATGGAGTGATAATAGAGGATGATGATACAGCTTTATGAAGCAAAAGAACCTGTAGCTGTGATGTTGATGGAATGCGTTTGACAATGAGAAGCAAAAGCACTTACTGAGGATCACGTGTTATTACCTTTTGTTGTTACCCAAGCATCAGTTCTGAATGTAACAGGTTCAAAGTCTGCAGTAGGAACTGACCAAAAGTATTAAAAATAAAACAATAACTCTTCAATGATTTACTAAAATAAGACCATGTCACTAACTTTTCAGTTAAAGAATAAGTATCATATAGATAGCTAAAAAAAAAAAAAAAAAAACTTTAGATCCACAAAGAACCCCCTTTTCTAACTTTTGTTAGGGTTACAAGAATTGCTTTTTAAACTCAACTTAAAACATTGGTTAAAAAAACATATGCAATGGCAAGAACAATTTCAGATGATTACATGTATAACAATTGATCTGAGTTAGGTTCATGCATAAGCTCTCTTAGAAACAAGGGATAACTTGTTTTAAGAATCAGAGTCTTCTGTACTTTCAGGATGAAGAATATCATGGAGTGATAATAGAGGATGATGATATAGCTTTATGAAGCAAAAGAACCTGTAGCTGTGATATTGATGGAATGAGTTTGACAATGAGAAGCAAAAGCACTTATTATTACCTTTTGTTGTTACCCAAGCATCAGTTCTGAATGTAACAGGTTCAAAGTCTGCAGTAGGAACTGACCAAAAGTATTAAAAATAAAACAAAGGATTGTTTTAAATAAAACTTAAAACATTGACTGCAAAAAGGATCTTACTAGTGTAACTTGCAAGTTTTAAAAACTCTTAAAATAGAAGGGTAAACAATTGGTTTTCTAAAAATTGGCCATACCTAAGTCAGGTACCTATTCCCTAGTCCTCCTTTTATTATCTGATTCTAAATTAATAAGCCAAAGTAGGATGTTTAGGTATTGGTAAGGACATATCTTTGGAAAGAGACTGAGGCCTCAGCATGATGAATCAGATTGAGTACCTCTCCATATTAAGCAAAGAAAGAACATGTCTTCATGAACAAAGAGGAACTTTGATAAATACTTGATCAAATCTCAATGACTTCATCGGGTGCCTAAAGATCTGCACCTTGGGAGTCTGACGTGGATCAAGCAAGATCTAGAAAAGCGTTGAGTAACACCTTGAAATCAGATATCCTTTGTATTATATTACAGTTATACTTTCTCCTTTGATTGGTCTCTACTTATATCCACTCTTTCTGATTTTATTCTTTTTCATCTTTCTACTCATCTGTGTCCCACGATGATTTCAAGGCTCCACTTTATTTATTTTGGGCACATTCCAGCTTTCATTGTCAATGCCCCTGAACTATAATGTTATCCTACAAAATCAGCAATACTGAGAAAATTGTTTCTTTTCCCAATAGAGAAGAAACAGTGACTGCTTGGAAACTTTCAAAACCAGGGTAAATTTTGAAATAACTAAAATAAATTTTTATATAATTTTTCAATCCACATAAAACTTTTATTAACCTCTCTGTAAACTGCAGAGGAAAATAGTTAATATGAAGTTTCCCACAATCAGATTTCAACCTTCAGCTCATGTTTTCCACAATCACAAGTCCCTAAATTTCATCTGTAACAAGAATGAGATAGTTATACATCAATGGCGCAGTCTAAATCTGATGAGTGAAAGTGCTTTGCCTGACCTATTTGGTGTTTGAAAATTGGGATATTTTACTGAAAAAACTAAAACTTTGGAAACACCCGAAAAAAATTGGAAGGTCTAGAAATAGTCTGCATGGCAATAATTAGCAAAACTAAGTCATAGCTGAACTGCATGGATGAGGAGGGAATTTTCTTGTTTGCCCCAGTCTCTACTCTATACTGTCTCATTTTTAGTCCTTTTTTCTCATTTACAATATACACTTAGTCATTATAGACATTTGAATTTTCCCATCATGTACTTTTTTACTTTCTTGTCTTTGACCCTCCTTTCTGCTGTTCTCTTTTTTCCTCTCTAATGAATGCTTTCTTAAGTTACCTCCTTTTTTCAAAGGTTACCTCTTGTTTTTATTTTTTATGTTTTAATTATTTATTAAATTATACATATAACTTTTATAATCATTAGTAAATATATATGATTCATGCATTTTTTCCTATATTTGCTATTTTCATAATAAAAAGAACAGTAAGAAAACAAATATTTATAGATAATATATAATATATTAAAAAGTATAATATGGATAATATAAATGGTAGAAACTGACATGAAAAACTTCGTAACATTGACTACATACATATTTAAAATTATTTATAATATATATGTATTATTCAGGAGACCCGGTTTTGATCCCTGGGTTGGGAATATCCCTTGGAGAAGGAAATGGCAACCCACTCCAGTACTCTTGCCTGGAAAATCCCATGGATGGAGGAGCCTGGTGGGCTACAGCCCATGGGGTCACAAAGAGTTGGACATGACTGACTGACTTCCCTTTCTTTCTTTCATAATATATACATATAATGATTGCTAATGTATATACATATATATATGAATATATGATTGTTAAGCTCAAGGCAACAAATATCACCACTTTTAATTTTTTTGCAGAGAAGAATGCATTTAAATAAATTAATATCAAAATGAGAAATTTATATTAAACATAGTTTTAAAACTCCAAATATTTGGAAACTAAATGTCCACTTAAAAATGATGGCTGTATCTAAGATGCCATAACAAGGAAAAGTAGAAAACATTTTTAACAGAATAAAAATGAAAAGAGAATTTATCGGAATTTGTTGCATGCAGCTGAAGCTGCTCAATGCAACTAAATACAATGTGGAAAGTTGAATAAGGTATGAAAACAAATATTAGACACTAGCATAAAATTCTGTGAAACTGGAACAAAATCTGTACTTTGTAATATTGCTTCACATATTAATTTCTGTTTTTTTTTTTAACAACAGTATCATAGTATTTCTTTATATTCTCAGAATTGGATTAGAAGTTTCAAGTCTGAATTTTTTTTAAAATCACTAAAACAATAAGCTCTCTAGACTTTAAGCAGTAACCTAATAGTAATACTAGATTCCAGAGTAAATGGAGCTATATCAAAGTTTTAAGTGAATATAAATCAGAAATCTAGCATTATGTTCATTCTTAGTCAAATAAGTAAGGCTTCATTCTTTCTAAATTTATCTTTCTCTGCCCCGAAGATTTATGTACCTAGCACATCTTGTTGATAGCACCCAAATATCAATCTTATATTTTCATAGATGTGTATACTGCCAACTTCTATTTTATTTACCAAGGAAAGGATTTTGTTCTTAACTGTCTTGCAGGTTTTAGGACGAAAACACATCTTCCACATCTGATACAACAGCACCTTTGGAGGCTACTGAAGGCAGTTAATGTTTATTAGTTTGAACTGAATATGCCTACTTTTTCTAGAGAAGCTTTCTTTTCCAAAGATAAGTGGAAGTTAACAGGGTGTACAGCAACAGAGATTTTTACAGAGGGAGTATGAGGCATTCGGCTGCCCGACAAATCTCCCCCCACTGTGCTCTTCTCACCAACCCTGCAGTAGGAACTGCAAATCAACAGAGTTGTGTCTTTACTCTCTTGGGGCATACCTGTTACTCCCAACAACTGAGATTACTCGGGACCCTGTTGTGTTAGGTTGTTGGAACTCTAAGCCAGCAAAACTTTTACCTGGTTTGGACTCAGGAGCTTCAGTACTTGGTGTGGTTTTTGGTCTGGGATGTGGATGAATTGTCTGTTGTGATGTTTTAGAAGCTGAAGGAAGAAATTCTTGGGTTATTACATAACAACATTACCCAGGGTTCTGGAACCTATGGGAAGCAAAAACATGACTCTAGGTTTTCTACATCTTATCAGATATTAGATATCATTAGATATTTACCTTTTTAGTTTGAGATTTTTGTCACATATATAAATTCCTTTTGTATCTTCTTTTATCATAGAAGATTTTTTGAAGACAAAAATCAATTTTAATATAGGAAATAAAGATTAGTAAATATAATCAAACTCTCCTAGAGCAGTGTGGTTGGGCAACAAAAAGGTTAAGGACTGTTGCTCAATTTTAATAGGTAATGAAGGACAGTCAAACTAAATGTGAGGTTTATAATTTAATTTTTCAATCTCTGGTACATGTTCTATGTAACTATTAAAAAAAGAACACATTACTACCTAAATAGAAACAAAACAACAAAATACTATGCAAATAGAGAAAGGGTAGAAATGTAGATGTGCAAAGAATGGATCCTCTTGGCCCTGTGAGAGCAGTTGTTGATGGCTTTATCTGTTTAGACAAGAAACAGATCTGTGATGTGTTTGCAAACCAGTTTTTACCATAAGCACCGCTTGAACAAAACACAAAATGACACAATTTCAAACAGGTTACCCAGCAAATATCTTAAAGCAGGCTCACCTAGGGTGAATTCTATTAAAAACAACTGATAATTTAAGAGTTTTCAATAATTTTAAGAAGAATGTAGATAAAGAATAAAACTACTGTGACATGGAGCAAGATGAAACTCTGAGTCCAACAATAAGCAGGTTAAGCCTTGTTGAAAACGCAATGTATCATTACCTAATGTTGTTCCAGGGGCCTCTGTTCTAAGAGTGACAGGTTCAAGGGTTGTAGCAGGAACTGACCAAAAAATAATACAGTAAAGCAAAGAGATTTAAAAATATATGAAAAGTTAGAACAATTGCACCCCAACAAGATTTGCTTGTATATCATTCCTTCCACAAACAAACAAAAAATAACAGAGAAAGAGCAGATGACTGTTCTTTGGCCAAGCAATAGTTATGGTCAGTCTTAGGCTAAGCCTTGAACTATCTTGAGTCAACATGAAATTCTCCTAGGTTTTAACTAATGGATTCTAACCAGTATGGAAAACTGCACTGGAAAATATCTTCAGGCATTTACCTAATATACAATGAGAAAAAAAAAACCACCTGTCTTTAAAGTAATCTGATCAACCTGTACTTCAAAAGAAGCTGAAGAGGAGCATGTACGATGTTTAGGTTAACATGGATATAATAGTGTGTATGTTTGAAGTAGATATTAAAATTAACCATGGACGTGGATGGTGTTGGTACTGCCAAGAGCTCAGCTATGGAAAGAGTCAGAAATCTTTGTTCAAATCATGACACATAAAAGAGCAGGATAAAGTGGTCACTCAGTCTTTAATATTCAGCAGAGCATCTTTCTGGCCTAAGCCTGGAAAAAATGGAAATCAAAGACTGTTGACATCTTTCAAATCTAAGCTCCTGAATCAATGTCTCACAATCCTCTTTCAATTGGCTGATGGATCCATCCTAATGTAGCGTCACCAGTCGCCCTGTTTTGACCACTAGAAGTAGGACATTCTGTCCTAGGAAGCTCCCCACCCACCTCTGCCTCCACCACCACACGCCTGGTCCTTCTGCCTTGGTTCATGGTTCCCTCCACATATACAAGTCCCGTAGTGGGCCCAAAACTCAAGAGCCAAGGGCCAAGTCCAGCCTACCTTGATTTTTCTCTTTGTCTCATGAAGTCTCATATGCTCAACTTTACTGTTTTACAAGTAAAATAAGTCTCCCACAACTGGCATATCACCCACAGTTGCTAATATTGGTCCAGGAATTTGCAAGTGACTTTTAATTTGTTTATTTTCTTGAATGGAGTATATTGGCTGTGCTAAAGAAGTTTTAAGATCTGAGTGGAATTTTATAGTAAAAACTTACTAAATGTATATCAAAGATGACTCTCACATAGAAAGAACTAGGGATGCTGGCACCAGCCGTATGTTTCACAGTCCTGTTCTCGACACCAGGTAGAGATATTACCAATGCTGTCTCATAACTTCACACTTAGAAAGAGTGAGAGTTCCGGGTCCCCACTGGGACAGGCTACTAGGGCTCACCCTTAAACCAACAAATTGCACATTTACCCAGTTTGGTCTGAGGTACTTGAGGGCCTCGTGTGGTTTTAGGTCTGGGACGTGGACGACGAGGTCTTTTTGATGTTTTGGTAGTAGCTAAAGAAAGAAAAGACTTATGTTATTTTATATCTTATGGGTCTGGGTACTGAGGAGAGGTTTTTCCAAAACCTGTTAGATTTTTAAAAGTTCTATGAAACTGCAGTCTAAAATTTTCACTCTTTTTATGCAAACACATCATTGATGGTTAAGTTACTTATTCAAGGCATGAAAATTAGCACTTGTAATCCGATACTCACAGAAGTCCCTCTCTGAGGGAGAAATGGGAAGAAGACTCAATTCTGGTGCAAGGGGAGGGGAGGTGAGGGTCACACTAAGGAAAAGGTTTGCAATCAAAATTTCAGATTTGGAAAACTTCCTATTTGTCAAATTGGTAATAAAACACATCATTACTTAAAACATCAGCAAAGAAGCAAACATACCATGCAAATAGTTTTGTTTTGTTTTGTTTTTTAAATCTAGAAATGTAGAAGATGTGCAAAGGAACTTAAGAGTAGTTTTATTGCTCATCAGCCAGGAGAAAAAAAGAGATCCAAATTTGTTTTCAACTCAACTTTAACACAGAACACTGTTCAACAAAGCACAAATCAATGTGATAATTTCAAATGCACCACATGGCAGGTAAATCTTCTGAACTAAAGCACATGACTGCTCTCATAAAAACAACAGGACACTTTTTTAAAGAGGCCTCAGCACTCTTCAGATGCAGGAAGTGATTGAATAGCAGTAGAGGATGATGATGTCATTTTGTGAAAGAAGAAAAGCACATGATGAGGATGGAGACTGAATGGACTGCACCAGGAGCAACAAAAGCGCTAGGAGAAAGGCACAGAGTCATTACCTAGTGTGGTCCCAGATGTCTCAGGTGGAAAAGTGACAGGTTCAAGGTCTGTAGCAGGAACTGAATAAACAAGAGAGAGGTGTTTTTTTTTTTTTTTTTTTTTAATAAAGTATGAATAGCTACAACATTCATGTCAAAATGAATCTTGTCAGTATAATACTACTTCTAGAATACTTTTTAAAATTTCTGAATGAAGGATGTTATGGACTGAATTGCATCCTCTCAAAATTCATATGTTGAGGTCCTAAATCCCAGTGTGACTGTGTTTGGAGCTAGGGCCTTTAAGATGCAGTTAAGCTTAAATGAGGTCTTAAGAATGGGACCAGAAGCCAGTAGGACTGCTGTCCTTATAAGAAGAGGGAGAGACACAGGGAAGCTTTCACACACAGAGAAGCCCATATGAAGACACAAACCAAGGAGGGAGGCTCCGGGACATATTAAACCCTCTGATTCCTTGACCTTAGACTTCCAGCCTCAAGAGCTTTTGTCTAAGCCACCCAGTCTGTGGTATTTTGTTGTGGCAGCCCTGGCAGACTAACAGAAAGGGAAACCAATTGTTGTGCTCACACTTGGCCAAACTGTAGTTAGGGACTTCTTCATCTCATGAGATAGCCATTACCTTTGGTCTCTGTTTAGCCGCCCAAGAGGGAAACAGTTCTTGTAATTAGTGCTTGATTATCTGCATCTGCTCTGGTAGACTTTAGGATGTTCTTAGGTATTTAGTAAATATGTTTCTAACAACCTTCAAAAAGCATGTGAAAAACTAACTTGTACTTTTGTGGATGCTGAATAAAGAAACTATCTACTAAGTTATCAAATTATGGTTGCAGAAAAAGTTCCTAAATAACCAAGCAACCATTACACAAATAACCCAAAATGGCTCTGATAATATTGCTGAGAACTCAGTTCTGGAAAGATCTTGTGACTTCTGTCCAGAGAAGAAAACTGGATAAGGGGCAGCCACTTAGTCCATGGATCCAGTAAAGCACCTGTCCACTCTCAGCACAGGGAAAACTATCCAAGTGTGAGAAGAAGAGATATTATGATGCTCATTAAGAAGAATACTAGTTTTATCCAACCTCGCATGGTGTTGTTCAAATGCATCATCCCCAACAAAAATGCTTTATTTGTCATATAGTAAAAGCAGGATCTATGCTCCCTCTGGTTGCCTCCACACATATCTTTTTTTTCATCTTTGTTCACTCTCACTTACCCACTTGTGCAAATTCTAATGTGACATCAAGACCCTTCTCTGCTCTACTGAAGCCCACATTGATTTTCAAATTTTTAAAGATCAGCCATGCAAGTATGAGATGAAAGAATTTGGGTTCCCTCCACCAACAACTAGAGAAGAACTATAGATCCAAAGTACCCATTTTGGATTATGCACTGCCCATTAAAAAAGCCTCGCTATAACAAATCTATACTTAACATTTGTGTACCTAAGAAAAATCTTGAATTTGCAAAAACACTCTGCACTGTTCTCATTCTCTAGGATGTTCACATAGGAAAAATGTGCTCAACTAGTCTGTAGACTGAGAAGCAAACCCGTCTTTTACTACCCAGACTTGGAAAGATTATGTATCTTCCAAACAAGAAATCCTCGCCAGCTCTAAAGTCACAAGGATTCTTAGTTTCCTCACTAGGAGGTAAATAGGTTTCCATTTTCAACCAGTGGCAGGCTACCATGCTCCTTAAGTCAAGAACCCTTTTGTTTTGCTTTTTGTCTGGTATAACCTCCACTGCATCTGGACATGAAGCAGTTTTAAGTTTGTATTGTGAATGATGTGTCTATTGGGATGTTTTGGGAAGTAGAAAAAGATAAACTTGTTACTTTAAAGCTTATGCTTCTGAAAATCACAGGTTTTTGAAAAAACCTTCAAGTTTTCCAAAGCTTGATAGATTTTCTTCAGTTTCAAGAAATGGATCTGTCTATGGTGAAAATTTTGCCCTGACTATGTGATTATATCTTCCTTTGTTATTGATGATACTTTGGGGAAAAAGCTGATACATAAAATGAAGGTAACAATTCAGATGGTCAAGATAGGTATTTCTATCACATTCTGCTAGACTGCATTAAAACGATTGAGTCATTTCTAAACTATGGTGGAGAGTAAGGGGGTGTCAGATTCAACTTAAGGATGAGGCTTACTATTTAAACTTACTAGCCTTGATCACGTTACCTGGTAGACAATTCACTACAAACATATCACAGAAATGTTAAAACAATAACAACAGCAGCAAAGCAGGCAGATAAAAGAGGCAGGTGTACAAAGGATGTATAAAGGAACTTTGGTGTCACAGCCTGGTTAGCAAAGATCAGGATCAGGCGCTCTAATAAATACATGAAATTTACCTAAACAGAGAACTCTGGTTGAGCTAAAAACATAAACTGGCATGAAAAAATTTTTTAAATATGTTACAGGATAGGAAGATATCCCAAGCTAGATCCAGGCATGGCTCTCTTCAGAACCAGAGGTAACTTGTTTTATGCATGTTTTTCTCACAAGATAAAGAATGTAACTAAATGGCAACAGAGTAGAATGAGCAGAAGTTGGACAATGAGAGGGAAAGCTCTTGCTAAAGGTCAGAAAGTGACATTACCGAATGCTGTCTCCGGAGCATCTTTTATAGGAGTAACTGGTTCAAAGACTATAGCAGGAACTGACCAAAAATAACAATGAAAAAGAAATGTTAAACATTTATACAGTCTCCGAGGGGTATGATTTATCTGAACTCAGTTCAGTTCAGTCGCTCTGTCGAGTCTGACTCTTTGAGACCCCGTGGACTGCAGCATGCCAGGCCTCCCTGTCCATCACCAACTCCCGAAGCTTGCTCAAACTCATGTCCATCGAGTCGGTGATGCCATCCAACCATCTCATCCTCTGTGGTCCCCTTCTTCTCCTGCCTTCAGTCTTTCCCAGCACTGAGGTACCAGTTTATCACTCAGGAAGGATTGTCTTTGTAATCAGATAACTGTCCCTAAAAAGTGCCTGTGAAATTTCTCATTCTGTGATGATCCTAGTCTAGGTACCAAAGTAGACCGTACCCACCTTGCTAAAACTGATCTTTGGAAAGAAACCGCAAGCTTTGCCCAACTGGAGTACCTCAGAGAGCAAGATAAAGGGCAGCCATTCAGTCTGTGGTTTAGCTGTAGGCTTTGTCACGTGCGTGGGGAAAGCCTGCCATACTGATTTCTTACATGAAACTCAAACTCCTAAGTCCAGCGGTGAAAAACCCTTTTCAACTGGCCCTATGAGCCCATTCAGTATAATAGCAGCTTCAGTATAATGTTCTGATCAGCACTTAGAAGCCTGACAGAGAAGCCTCTGTCTCCTCTCACTGGTCTCTAGACATTCTGCCTTTCTGAACTTCTTCGTTCCCTGCTCCCTAGCCATCCAAATCTATCACAGTTTGAACGCTCAAGTCCTTCTTAACTACTCTGGTCCGCTCTGATTGTTTCTTTAAATTACACGTTGACAAACTATGGCCCATAGGCCAAATCTTGCCCATAGCTTGCTTTCATACAGCCCGTTTCCATTTTTAAGTGGTTGTAAGAAAAAGGGAGATAGATATCAGAGACTACCAGGGTCACAAAGCGCGCAGTATTTACTAAATTGTTCTTTATAGAAAATACCACCAACTCCTACCTGGATCTGTACTATGACTTATACAAGCTAGACAGTTACCAAGAAATAATCTATTTGCCCAAGTATATGTTTGTGGCACAGCTGTTTCAGTCCACTACACACATTCAATATATAAAGGATGAATAGCATTGAATGATAAGCCAATGAAAAAGACATTTAGAGAGAAAACTCTAATTCACAAAGGGGAAGGGATTTAGATACCACCTAAGACCCATCCAGCTATGCTCTGCCTGCCTACTGTGGGGTGAAAGTGGCTGCTGATCCCGACTTGCCCCTTCACTTTCTCTAGACTCCACAGGGATGGGCTCCAAGATTGCTTCAGGACTCAGTGTGGTTTTAGATTTGGGATGGGGATGATGAATTCACTGAGGCACTCTGGGAGCTAAAGGAAGAAAACTTCAGGTTAATAGAGTGGTTTGAGTTCCAGAAGCTGTGGATAGGATTATACTTGCTATAATTTCTTGAGTTTCAGGAAATTTTTCTTTTGACTTTGAAATATTTGTCACTGTTTTTGATTATCGCCTCTATTTATCAATTATATTACTATGAAAAACAAAAATCACATAGAAATATTAGTTGATATATCAAGGAGATCCTCAAAAGTGATTTCTAAATGAAAAAAAGTTCCAAAAACCTACTGTGTTATGGTGATGGTGGGAGAGGGGTAGGGTGACTTTATACTAATGATGAGACACATAATTTCAATTTACTGGCATTGGGCATATTTTCTATTTCACTCCTTACTGAAAAAAAGACCATATAATTGCCTAAAGTGACAACATAAAATCACACAGGTTGTAAAAATGTAAAAATTTAGATCTGGGCAAGAATTACATCAGGCCATAACAGTTGTGACAATGTACTCGCTTGGATCAAGGACAGACACCCTACTTGCAACCCCATTGATTGTGTTTGAAACTCAGTAACACAGAATGTGATTAGAAGGTTACATGGGGATGAGATGCTACAAATTCAAACCCATTGCCTTAAGCATATATATACTAATCTAAGTTCATACTTGACTGTCTCAGTAACAAATGAGTTGTTTTAAGACTCCAATATATTAAGAAATAATTGAATGACAATAGAGAATGACAAGAGTCTTGTGAAGCAGGAGAAGCTGAGGTTATGATGGTGATGAAATGGGCTTCAAATGAGCAGAAGCAGATGCTGATGGACATAGTGGATCATTACCTACTGTTGTTCCTGGAGCTTCGGTCCTAAGACTGATTGGTTCAGGGATTGTGGCAGGAACTGATCAAAAGTAATAAAAGAAATCAAAGAGATTTTTGTGAATGCATGAAATGTCAGAAAGTTCATCTTACCAGTAAAAATAATGCTTTGAAGGGGGGAGAGGGAGGGAAAGGATGGATTACACAGAAAGTTAACATAAAAGGCAGGAATTATAGGGATGGGAGGTGAGAGGTGGAGGCAATGTGGAGTAGGGGGTCACACCAGGGTCTGTCCACCACACACAGAACAGACAGCCAAAAAGAAGTTGAGACCATATCCCCTAAGAGACTAAGTCCTTAATGAAAACAGTGGCATTTAATAAACAAAGGAACAACCTCTCAGCTTGTGATATCATATTAAATTAGGTTATCTTCAGTTCTAAGAACAGAAAAAGCATGGTCCTATGTAGAAATATGGATCACTGAAGCCCACTGAATCAAATTTCAGCTCTTGAGTAGACATCCTAGTCCCCTTTAGTTCATTCTATGGGTACAGTCAAGGGAATGTGTGAATAAGTCATCTTCTATCTGGTCACCAGTTTCATTCAGCACATTTCCTATTTTCAGCCTCTGTCTCCTCAACCTTCCACTCATCCAAATTCTGTTCTGATATTTCTCCTAATTATCCTGGATCTCTTTCTGTTCCAAATATTTACATTTCCAGCACATAGCATTTGTACTATTTGAGAAATTATTTTACATTTGTATACACACTGCCTTATGCTATTTTCTATCTTTTTATGCAGGAACAGCTTTTGTTTACATATATACAAACAGCTTTTGTTTAAAAAATAATTGGGAAATAAAACAGAATTACTATTCTGATGTATCTCACAGTTGCTAATACAGTTACAGGGATGTGGAAGGGATTAATAATAAGAGTAGCTTTCACTCTTAAGAGATATGTAAGACCTGTACTAATTATGTGCACAGAATTCAGGGTTCCAACTAGGGTAGAATGTTTGGACTCCTTAAGCCAGAAATCACATATTTACCCAGTTTAGTCTGAGGTACTTCTGGATGGGGCGTGGTTTTAGGTTTGGGACGCAGACGACGGGGTCTCTTAGTTGTTGGAGCTGAAGGAAGAAAATCTAGGATTAATATAGTGCTGATGGCTCCGTTAACTCTGAATAGAATGATATAACCAGACTCTATGCTTTCTAAAATTTATCAGTTTCTTTGAGTGGAGACAACTTTGTTACCTTAGTTTGAAATTTTCTCCTTTAACAGATTAGCAGGTTTCCTTTTATGACTAAGAATTCTCTAGAGATTAAAAATTGTATTACAGTTATGTTTAAGAAATGAAGATGAGGAATTATCATTTCTTTGAAACCATCTCTAATGAGAAATCAGGCTAAACTGTGATGGTATGCAAGAAGTTCAAACCATCCTGTATTATCCTCTTATAATTTAAAACAATTAGGTTTGGGCAAGTTTTCCACTTGATAATTTACTAGAATAATGACACAAAATTAGATGAAACATTAATAAAACAAAAGTCATGTAAATCTTGAACTATAGAAAGTAAAATGCTTAAAGAAACTTCATGGTACAATAATTGACACTCTGTTGGTGGTCTAAATAAAGGATACATGGAAAATCACATTTGGACCCCAGTTCTAACAATCAGCAGTGTAAACACAGACTCAGATAGATGTGATGCAATTACAAGCTGGGAGATGGAGTCCATAGCTGTCTCAAAGTTTATACACATTAACATTAGAAAGAAGGCCTTTTCTATCTTAAGATGAATACAGCAATAGGATGACAACAAATTATGACATCATCATCTCTATAGCACCACAGATAAGTGTGAAAACGAGTAAAGAAAATACATCCTGAAGGGTATAAAGGATCATTACCTAAAGATGTCCCAGGAGTAATAGGTTCAAAGTCTGTAGCAAGAAATGATCAAAATAATAATTAAAAAAGAAATGTTAAATGCATAAGAAAAGTCACCAAGCTCTCTTGAAAATGAACTTTACCAGAGTAGCATTGGTTCTACTGCCAGAAAGCAAAATTTTTAAAGTTCTGAGGTGAGGGTACAAAGGTACACGATGTTATAAAACTCCATATAGTTACCTACAAGTGTTGCTTTTATACTACCTTACAATACAGTAGAAGACTCTGCTTAGAGAATCTTTAGGTATCTGTCTAATAACATTATGGGTAACAATTACGAGAAAATAATGTGAAAGTATAATTTTAAACACTATATATTGGAAAACAATTAGAATCTATGTCATGATAGATCCAATTGTGGATATATTGGTAATGAATAACTAAAATAGGCAAGGCTCTTGTTTGTTGAGAGTCCACTTTGGAAAAAGGCCAAGACCTCTGTCCAAACAGAGGACTATAAAAGAGCAAGATACAAAGGGTCATTCAGTCTGAAAAACATGGCAATGCATCTCTCTGCTATCAGGACAGAAAAGAGCTGACCCAGGGAGGATAGGGGAGTATCCTGCAGCTAAGCAGCTCAGATGCAGTCACTGAAGTCAGGCATTCAAGGTCGTCTTCATGGACCCACTAAAAAGTAGCATCACTGTCCATAGTTTCTGAGCATTGCTTTCCTCCTTTCTCACAATCAAGTTCTCCTGTAAGTCCTATCTTTCTTCTGTCACCCACATATAAGGCACCTTCTTTCTTGTGTTTATGGTATTCCTCCTCATTCCTCCAACAAATCTGCAAACTACACACATTTCAAGGTCCACACTACACTCATCGGCCCATGGATCTTTCACTTCTCTAAGAATAAACTATGTGTCTAACAGTTGGTAAAACTCAGTAAGTAAGTTGCTTTGCCCATATTCCTTTCTACCCATTTATGAACAATTTCACACAAGAGCTGAATCCTCACTCAATGAAGCCAAGTCGTTTGTTTTTTCTTAACTATTCTTCACGATGCTAATGTGGCAGTTTATCAAATAAGAGATTAACTGGACTAAATAGGTTAGATACTCAACTAGCTAAGTTTTTGCAGAGTCAAAGAGAAAACATAATCGAATGGTGAGAGAAGCAAATAAAATACAAGGTACCAAGAAGGTCCTAAGAAGCATGAGCAAGTGACTCATCCTGACTAAAGCATTTGCAACTTGGGCACCATCCTGAAGGGTCACAGGGTTACTAGGCGTCGAGTAATTACACTCCTACCACAGTATCACATCTGACAGAGGTCCATAGGCACCAGGAACCACATATTTACCTAGTTTGGTCTGAGGTGTCTCGGGTCTTGGTGTGGTTTTATGTTTGGGACGTGGACGTGGGCGACGTGTTCTTGTTCTTTGTGATGTTTTTGGAGCTGAAGAAAAGAAACTGGTTAATGCTGTCTTATGACTTCAGAGGAAAAGGATTATTCATGGCTGTAGGTTTTCTAAAATTGTGCTAGATTTTCTTGGGTTTTGAGAAATTTGTTTCTCTGGTTTGAAATTTTTTCATCTACATGCAAAAAAATTTGTGGGGGTGTCTGCTGACAGTTCATTTGAGAAAGAACATATAACCTTATTTTAATTATCTGAAAACTTTACTATTATTGCTGGTACCAAATTTTCAAAAAGGACCCTGATCCAAGGGAAATCAGAAGTATAACATTCTGTATCACATTAGAGAGGGGCCCAGACTCTCCTGCTTTGTGTTATATTTAGAAATTAGCTGGTTTAGAAATTAATTTGGATTATACTTAGAAATTACTTGGTTTAGGCATATATATCATATCTTAAAACAACTTTCCATTGCTGGCCATAGAATTATATCTGATGTTTATAAGGCATACATGCTCAGTCACATTCAACTCTTTGTGACACCATGGACTGAAGTCTGCCAGGCTCCTCTGTCCATGGAATTCTCCAGGCAAGAATATTGGAGTGGATGCCATTTCCTTCTCCAGGGGATCTTCCCGACCCAGGGATTGAACCCGTGTATCCTGCATCCCCTGCACTGCAGACAAATTCTTTACCCCTGAGCCACCTGGGAAGCCCTGTTTATAGGGAAGAGACTCCTAACTGTATCTGGAATCCACAGGCTCTGTAAAGTTTTAGGAAAGCTGGATAATATCGGTGATAGATATTTTGCACTAGCTTCATACAGGCTTATATTCTAAGCAAGTGACCAATTTTAAACATCTTCAGTACCTTAAAAATGAAGAATATAGTTGAGTGACAAAAAAGGATGATGAAAGAAACTTGTAAAAGAGAAAACGCTTTGATTAAGATGATAATGGAATAGAGTGGACAATGAGCAGAAAATGTTCTTGCTTAAAAGACACAAAAGATCATTACCTAAAGTTGTCCGAGGAGCCTCAGTTCTCAGAGTTACAGGTTCAATGTCTGTGGCAGGAACTGACCAAAAGCAATTCAATAAACAATGGAGATTTAGGAAATGTGGGAAAAGAAAGAAAATCATCTTGAACATGAATCCTTTTAATCCTATAATGTTTAAAAAGGATTTATGAAAAACAGTATTTTTTCTGTAATAACTAGCTGTACTCTGGTACCCATTTATCTCACAAATAGCTGTAGCCCCTTGCACTTTGCTTCTCTATGAGGTCAATGAAAAGTGTTTTTTTTGTGGGAGGTTTAATTATATGATTACAGCTATACTGGAAACTTGGCTCCAAAAAATCTTTTGTCTGATACAAAATTTTTAAATTACTTATTTTTTAATTTTTAAATTACATATTTCAAATTACTCTTAAAAATCATTATGAAAACTTGTGTTAGTATTCGACAGTTTTCACCACCATTACTAACTTTTTTTTGAGAAGTAGTGGCAGCAGTGAGAATTTTTTAAAATGTTCATAACCAGTCTGTTTATTGGATATTCATGACACACAGGCTAAGATAAGCTTATGCCTTTTCTCCACAATAAAGGTGATACTCTTTCTTGCAACTTGTCCTTATTTATTCTTTTATTTCAAAAGGATATTTGGGAGATAACTATTCAAGTGAGGAACAGAGATAATTAAGAAAAAGTCTGGAAAGTAATAGCTCAACATTTTGTCTGAATAAACAGGATTCCTATAATTCTATAATATTCTGTAATGATTGAATTATGCATTGAAACAAAATTTATATTTCTGACTCCCTTGTTTTAAATTAGTGTCTCTATTTTTTAATTAAGTCCAGAAAATTAAACATAAAATTAGAAAATATCTTATCACCAACTCTCTGTAACACAGCATAGAGTAATCTTAAGCCACATTTGAAAACATCTGAGCTAACGGAAAACACGGTATCCAGAAGTGAAGGAAAGGGAGGACTACAAGGCAAAACAATATTCAAAGCTGATTGCCCTCAAACAAAAAAGGAAAATCCCTGTTTTGTTTGGAATTCAACACCACAAGATGAACTTATCAAAAGAAAGGTCCAGTTACAATGGAACAGTATGAAATCACGAAAGAAAGGACTTCTGCAAGAAAGAGATGATTACATATTCTTTTTCAAGCCCCAATCAACTTTTTCATTGCTTCCCTCCCACATCACAAATTATACACATAAAAAAGCAGAGATTTCAACAATGTCCTGGTTTGAAGGATGCACAGGAAGAGCATCTGTGACTCTTGCCAACATCAAGTGCTGCAAGCAGTCTATCTCTAAAGGTGATCAAAGAACGATTCGCATTCAGGAGTAACGAGCTGAGCTGCAGATATAATACCTAATGATAGGAAGAAGGTTCCTGTTGAAAACAGCACACAGTTTTAGGGACTGAATGAAAATGGGGATGAATGACCACTGTTTACACAAGACACTACAGATAGTGACAGAGATGAGGGGGTGAGTTCAGAGAAACGATGACCAAAAGGGAAGACATCCATCGTTACCTATGCTTGTGGACGGCGCTTCGGTCGCAGGTGTAACAGGCTCAAAAACTGCACCATAAAAAAAATAAACAGATATAAGTAACAAAAGTAAGGAAGGCTAGACTTTTAGGTTCTCAATGATGCTTAATTCATAGGATACAGAAATTGGTTTATTCTAAGTGGATATAAGTTGCCTTCTTGATAGACTTATTTATTATGAGAGATGTTCTCTTAGGAAATTAGAATTTTCTGCTAACTGGAATCTTAGGAGAAAACTTCAATTGAAAAACAATTGAATTTTCAGAACTGTTATACAGTATCTTTTTATTTAGTAGAAAATCAACTAGTAGGTACCATTTAAAATGCAATGTATTTTAGAGAAAATCAATCTCCATGTGACTATAAAGGAAGAACAGAGGATCAGCCTCGCTAGTGGTTGCTGCTGAAACCACTCTCAAAAACGTTCCACATAAAGAAAAACAAGTTTTCATTACAAACACAAACTAAAAAAAAAAGCCTGAAAATGCTTTAAGAAAAATGCAATCTGTTAGATAATTCAGATATCAAATTTTGTCTGTTGTTTAGTCACTAAGTCATAGAGTCCTATTCTTTTGCAACCTCATAGACTGTAGCCTGCCAGGCTCCTCTGTCCAGAGGATTTCCCAGGCAAGAATACTGGAGTGGGTTGCCATTTCCTTTTCCAGGGGATCTTCCCAACTCAGGGATTGAACCCAAGTCTCTTGCTTGGCAAGTGGATTCTTTACCACCACTGAGCCATGGGGGAAGCCCAGACAATCTGTTATAAAATCTACTAATTTCCCAAACATTGATTTGTTCATTTAACATATGAAATGAACAAGGTAGCCACATCAGTGTGGCTACTTTGAGAAGAATGAACAAAGAAATCATGGTATTTAGGTTGCTATGCTTTACGACATGACAAGTCGTGAGCATTCTCAGCAACATCCCCAAAGAGAAAGCATCTTTAGTCAAAGCATTGGAAATTATGTTTACCGGATGTAGGTGGTGGCGTATCTGGTTTTGCTGTGGGTTTAGAAAGTAATTGCTTTGCTGGTTTTGAATCTGAAGAAAAAAGGGCTATAATTAGAGTCACGGCAGCGCTGTGAGTGTGATCAGTGTTACTTACACGTTGTTTTCCTAGTGATAGATCAAAGTACTGAAAGTAGGGGTTACCCAGGCTGGATTTGAGGTACATCTGGTCTGCGTGTAGTTTTAGGCCTTTTGGGTCATTATGATGCTTAAGAGAAAGGTATTAAAAATTAGCATAATGGTTGTGACTGTAACTGTCATAATTAAGGACACATGCTCAAGCAGAGAGATTATATAAATTTAGTTACTATACAACAAAATTAATTCCTCGGGTGGAGAGGGTGAGAAATGTGTCCATTTTTACTGATTCTTCTGAAACCAAAAAGTCTTCAGGAAATGTTCAAAATATGTCTTTCAGCAAAAGTAAGGAGAACTACAATTACTTTTTTTGTATAAGTAATTTTTAAAATGACAAGTATAATAGTTATGTTTCTCAACTGATAGTTTTTTTTTTTTTTCAGTATAAAAACAGTAAGGTAGAAACTTGCTTAGTAGGAAATCAGGAAAATTATCCATAAATACTTGAAACACTTATACATAGTGTTACATGGTTATTGATTTCTGGAATTTTCCAAAGTAAGTCAGTGACAAATTTATTGTGAATGCTGAGAAATTATAATAATTATAATCAACATTAGGACTGAAAACAGTAAAATCAACTTGAGACTTCTAATATTCTCAAGTTACAAAGACTATACTACTTTTATCTTGGACCCGAGACCAAGAACAATGCATGTGCCTTTGGTTACCAAAACATACTCAAAAAAATTCTTCAAAGAAATAGAAAAGCTGAAGAAGACATTATTTCATGCAGCTTTCGGAAAGGGATAAAGTCTTACAAGTTCAACAAATAAAGCAATGAAATGGTAATCACAACACTGGAATAAAACATTGCCATTTGTTAAGTCCAGGATGAGCACAGAAGTCCCTGAGAAAGAGTAGATGGTTTTCTCAACACAGGGACACGTGATGGAAAGACAGAGGGTTTGTGGAAAACCAGGAAGTTGTGACCAAAACCACAGACCTTCCCTGAAAAAGTACACAGAATTATTTTAGAAGTCTCCTTTCTTCAGGCTCTTCAGACCCAGAGAGGAAAGGGGAGGGAATGCATGGAACAAAACTGCGACACAGTGTAGAACTTCAGTCATGCCTGGGTGGAGAGCAGGAAAAGCAAAAGTGACAACCCAGGAAAGGAATTGGGGGAGAGCAGAATTACCAATTGTGGGCACCAAGCGTTCCGGTGGTACCGTTGCAGGTTCCAGAGCTACAGAGGCAAAAAACCAAAAATACTAATTATGTCAAGAAGCAGCATCTTGAGAAGGAAGTATGACTCTTCCATCTTTACTTAAACTGTGTACTTTTTTAAGTGTAATTTTCCGTTTGATTTCTCCCATTTGCCCCTCTTCTCCCTATTGCTTTCCCACACCTCATCTGCCATGAATATACATCTCATATAATATTTTTCTGGTGCCCTACTTTAATGATCCACTTAGAAGCCCAACTTATTGCTCTGTATACTCAATAACTACAAATAAAAATATAAATGTATTCATAAAATGTGAATGTAGAAGGCACAGATGCTTAAATATAGAAATAAACTACACTGACTCCTGCAGCCCAGCTATTTAGGTGGTGAGTGAAGGATGGTTGCTCAGTCAGGTCTGACTCTGCAACCCCATGGACTTTATAGCCTGGACTGTATTCCATGGACTCTATAGCCTGCCAGGCTCCTCTGTCCATGGAATTCTCCAGGCAAGAATAATGGGATGGGCTGCCATTTCCTTCTCCATTTAGGCGGTAGGTAGCTACTATGTCAGAAACCACCATATTCCATCTTTTGTGTTAACTGGAATCCTGAATGGCACATTTACCAGGTTTGGACTTGGGCACATCTGGACTAGGTGTAGTTTTAGGGCGGGGACGACGACCTGGCCGTTTGGTCTTTGGTGGAGCTGAAGAAAGAAAATCAGCTGGTTAATATATGAACAGTGACCCTACAAACCGACCATCAATACTATGTGCATCTTAGAAGCATATTTAAGCCCTCTGTTTTATTGCAGACATATATCCTTCTGTTTTTCATTATTTACCTAGTTGAATGAGGTCTTGAAAAATGGAGTTGTGGGATTTTTTTTTTCCAAATATTAATAAATAACTCTTTAAGAGAGCTCTCTATTTTTCTATTTTGACTTGAAAAACTAAGAACTTTATACAGCTTGGAGAAGACAGTCTCATAAAATTTTTGAAGATATATTATGTTCAACAGGAATATGAGAAATTTTACTTTTATTAATAGAAGCTGCTAGGGATAAAAACTAAAGTTTATTTGGCCTAAGATTCAAAACAAAGCTTTTTCACTTAGCATTTAAAAATCTGCAAATCAGTAACATGTGTAAAATGGATTTGAATTCTGAAATTATTTCAAGTTAGGCAAGTTTTTAAGAACAAGATATAGTTTTTGAACTACAAGAATTAAAATCCGACCCCCCCCCAAAGAATCAGGAACTCTCACACACAAATGAACATTAATGAACAAATCTATTACTGTGAGCCTGTTTAATAAAGACGCCAGCAGTCAGGAAGAGAGGAAACCAAGGTAGGTCACTCACTGCATTACCTAATGTTGTTGAAGATTTAGTTTCCAGCGTTCCAGGTTTTAAGACTGCATGAAAAATGACCAAGAAGGAATCAAAATCAAAGGAAAAATGATGAACTTTATTAAATGCTAAAAATTAAATGCTTAATTTTAAAGTACTAAGTTGAGCAAACATAAATGGTGAAACTTTTATTCATATAAGAAATTGCCTTTTTTATGTAAATAGATTACTGTGTTTTTAGACAAAATGAACAAAAATGCAGCTGGTCATTTAAGTTTGGAAAGAGAAGTGGAAAAAAAAAAAGCATGACTCTCATTTGGAAGATGTGAATGCAATAAAGTAACCAACAGCTCATATTATGAAGGAAAATGTGGATAATTTGGTAAGATGGCACCAGCAGAATAGTTTTGCTCTCTTGAAGAAAAAAAGCTATAAAGATTGGGGGTGAGTTTTTCTCTTTCTCTTATTTAATAAATTTCCTAGTGAAATATCAGGATATTGAGAGCTGAAAAGACCATAATGCTTTTAAAGAAAATCTACAAATGTTAAGAGTTTTGAAAGCAAACAAAAACCACCTCTAAAAATGAAAGCATAAATATGTCCTGGGGAAGCCATGGTCCTCTGTGGGGAATAACCAGGTTAAAACAAGCTCAGGACACAGTCCTCAGATATAAGAAGGGACAAAAAGGAATGTGGCAAATCAAAATCAGTATGGCTGTCTCAGAGCTTCCGCTTAGTCAAGGCAGCAGAGAGCTTATCTTCTGGCAGAAACAGCTGAAATCAAGATCTGAAGGACAATGAAGAAGCAATTTTTTAAAAAAATCCAAAGCTAAGGACAAACTTGAACATAGTAAGTGTGAAAATAAGTGAATTGTTTTTCACTCACTAGAGGAAACTTCATTACCTATTGGCGGCTGTGATGGTAGGAGAACCTCCGGTTCTGGGGCTGCAATAAAAGCAAGTATTACATCAAGGGAGATGCTGACAGCACCATCTAAGGTAGAAATGAAAGGTCTTTTACCATAACAAGTTTCTCTCAGTGGAAAGCCATCAGGCGCTATTGGCTTACAAAATAAAACTCCATCACCCCACGGCCTCTACACAGACTACAACAGAAGAAAGAATTGAGAATTCTCATTTTTCTTGCTGATCTTTAGCCATTTTCCCCACTACAACTCCTAGTGCCGGAGGAGATATTACTTTAAAGGGAGGTCAGTGTAGCCTTTCAGAGGTCATTCACCCGCCATTTTATTTCCTTCAGGACAGTCAGATGGAAAATGGCGACAGATCCATCGGACCTGTAACCATGTCTGATCTCTGTTAGCTTTGGGTCATTTTCAGCCTGATTGGAGCTGATATTGGTTCACACACACACACACAAAACCAGGAATTGAACTTACAGTCTAAAAAGGCCACAGGTGTTCATATGGTATCCATCATATTTACTACTACTTATTGCTGGTGAACAAATTGATTTACACATGAAACTTATTCCATTTAAATTAGCAGATCAGCAGAAGTTAGAAAGTAGTCTCCACATTTCATGAAATGCTGAATAAATTCATTAATAATATTATCTAAATATTCTGACAGATAAACTCTCCAAGGCCATTCAGATTGGCAGTAAGTAAATGCTGAATATAAAAAAAGCTGAGCGCTGAAGAAATGATGCTTTTGAACTGTGGTGTTGGAGAAGACTCTTGAGAGTTCCTGGGACTGCAAGGAGATTCGACCAGTCCATCTTAAAGAAAATCAGTCCTGAATATTCACTGGAAGGACTGATGCTGAAGCTGAAATTACAATACTTTGGCCACCTGATGCGAAGAACTGACTCATTTGGAAAGACCCTGCTGCTGGGAAAGATTGAAGGCGGGAGGAGAAGGGGACAACAGAGGATGAGATGGTTGGATGGCATCACTGACTCAATGGACAGGCATTTGAGTAAGCTCTGGGAGTTGGTGATGGACAGGGAAGCCTGGCGTGCTGCAGTCCATGAGGTGGCAAAGAGTCAGACACAACTGAGCGACTGAACTGAACTAAAATGTTAAATATAGTTTGGTACAAAGACTTTTTTTTTTTAAAAAAAGAAGATGATCCAATAGCTTTCCTATTCTATAGAACAAAAAGAGTTGATTTCTTTCAAGAAGAAAATAAAAAGGAAATAAATTTTTGAAGTAGAAAACAATGTAAAGATTCTTTGACATTTTTTTCCTTACAGAAAGAAATTAATTAATCTAGTCCCTACTGAACAACTTAACAGAACTTAAATCACTGTGTACTTAGATATTTCTTAAATTACATTTACCAGGAATTATCTCTGATATTTCTGGGTGTGGGAAGTTTTGTAGAAGCAAGTAGTGATGTTTTAGCAACTAAAAAGGAAAATATAATAATAAACAATTTGGATAGAGAATATTCATTTATCTGAAAGCAAGGCATAATAGGACAAGGTGTTATTGAAATGTAGCATCATTCATCAGAATGTCTGTGGCCAAAAAAAGAATTCTGATTTCTCATGAACTTGTCATAAATAGAATATAACAGATGAATGGCAAAGCTGTAATACTGTATCAGAAAGAAGTACACTAAGCAAAGTAAAAGGTATGTGTGTGGGAGGGTGGAGGGCAGTGGCAGTTGAATGCCTCAGATTCTACAGGAAAAAAGGAAAAGAAATAGGAAATATCAGTAATCAAATATGATAAATATCACAAAAACATTCACATATGAAAATAGTAAAAACCAAAAATTCTCTTGAAACTTCAAGGTTATAATGAATGTTTTAATTTCCACAAAGTTGACTTCTAAAAGTATGAAAAAGTTAAGATTTGCTACTTTTAGCATCTTTAGATTTAACAAAGATGAAAGAATGCTGCTGCTTGAATTTTATAAAGAAAAATCAGCATTTTTCATTTCCTGAGACTGAGGCCAAATAGATATGGCATCCCATCAACTAAGTATCCAATTCACCTCCATAAGAAAATATTATAGTCAGTGGTTATTAAGAAATCTATCTTCTAATAAGATTTCCTCTATCTCAGCCTTAACGTGTTATGGATAAAGATACAAAAATGTTCCACAAAAAAGCTGAGTGACATGCAAATAACCACACCAATCAGCTCAGCCTGAAACAAAAAGTCACTGATGCATTTGCAGCTAGAGAACCATTTACTGTCCCGTCCGCCGTGTCAGCTCCGAGCACAATAAACACCCATGACTGGAGGGCTCTCCCTTTCTTCAGATCTTTAAAAGCTTGAAGAGCCAAATGTCATTACAATCATAATGATTAACTATGAAGGAAAGAATTCTTATTGGATGAGGCAGACAAGCTGGGACATAGTAGATGGCTGAGATTTTTAAGAAAGCGTTGGATTTGTCTTGCAAGCCAAAACCAATGTGGGTTTTTACTCATTAACTTAACCACAAAGGAAAGCCAAAGGAAAAGCAGCCTTCATGGAAAGTGAAAAAGGAAAAATACGAGTGTGATGAGAAAAGTCAAGTGTGATGGGAAAGTCAAGGAGTTGCTCAAATCAAAAAGCTTTTGGTGGTTTATTTGCTCTCCTGAACCTTACAAAAGAAATCTCTAACAGAGCTATAAAGGTGGTTGCCATAAAATGAATACATTTTTAAAAACTAACATCCAAACAATGGTTTATGGAGAGCTAGTCATTACTCTGTGTTGCCTCAGGCCACTCAAAGTCAACTTGAGCTGGCTTAAGTTTAGGCACAGATTATGAAGTAGTGATACTTGCTGTTAGGGGAAAAGAGTGAATATTTTTAGGTTAATTTTATAAAGAAAAATCAGCATTTTTCATTTCCTGAGACTGAGGCCAAATAGATATGGCATCCCATCAACTAAGTATCCAATTCACCTCCATAAGAAAATATTATAGTCAGTGGTTATTAAGAAATCTATCTTCTAATAAGATTTCCTCTATCTCAGCCTTAACGTGTTATGGATAAAGATACAAAAATGTTCCACAAAAAAGCTGAGTGACATGCAAATAACCACACCAATCAGCTCAGCCCGAAACAAAAAGTCACTGATGGATTTGCAGCTAGAGAACCATTTACTGTCCCGTCCGCCGTGTCAGCTCCGAGCACAATAAACACCCATGACTGGAGGGCTCTCCCTTTCTTCAGATCTTTAAAAGCTTGAAGAGCCAAATGTCATTACAATCATAATGATTAACTATGAAGGAAAGAATTCTTATTGGATGAGGCAGACAAGCTGGGACATAGTAGATGGCTGAGATTTTTAAGAAAGCGTTGGATTTGTCTTGCAAGCCAAAACCAATGTGGGTTTTTACTCATTAACTTAACCACAAAGGAAAGCCAAAGGAAAAGCAGCCTTCATGGAAAGTGAAAAAGGAAAAATACGAGTGTGATGAGAAAAGTCAAGTGTGATGGGAAAGTCAAGGAGTTGCTCAAATCAAAAAGCTTTTGGTGGTTTATTTGCTCTCCTGAACCTTACAAAAGAAATCTCTAACAGAGCTATAAAGGTGGTTGCCATAAAATGAATACATTTTTAAAAACTAACATCCAAACAATGGTTTATGGAGAGCTAGTCATTACTCTGTGTTGCCTCAGGCCACTCAAAGTCAACTTGAGCTGGCTTAAGTTTAGGCACAGATTATGAAGTAGTGATACTTGCTGTTAGGGGAAAAGAGTGAATATTTTTAGGTGATTAGAAGGTAGAAATAAAGCAATATAAGCCTGTTAGCTTCCAAATAATTTCTCACATTTTTAAAAGGAAATGGCAAATTAAGAAATCTTTTTGTTCAAATACGTTAGAGTGATAAGAACATTCTCTCGCCCTAATTTGAATTAACGAATTTCCTCTCAGAAATGCTTTTATTTCCAGAAACCACTAACATTGATAATATAACTTATCATGAGCAAATGATAATTAACATTTGGAGACATTTTTTCGATGTTTTCGTAACAACAGAAATAATTAGAGAAATATTTAAAGTTGGTGACCCAAACATAATGTAATATTTCTTGGTCTGCCTGGTGAGAGGACCCTATTCAAAATACAGCCTAAATGTAACAGTTACTACCTTATTCCAAAGTCCTCTGGGCATAATTTTTAAATAAATGTACAGGAAACCCTTCTCTCAGCTGTCAGAGTTCTTTGAATTAAACCACTAGAACTCTTGAGTTTATTAGCTATGTTTCTTTCTCCTAACAACCTCTTTTAGTAAGAGTACTTCATTCAATTTCTCTGACTTGGAAACCTCGCTCATGGGCATGGCATCAACCATATTCCCTTTGCCTAATCCCTAATTTCTTTCCTTCTGATGCCTACAATACCTGGAAATCTCTCTGCCTCTTTTAAAGAAGTCATGAGAATTCTCTTTCTGAGCAGTTCTATTTTTCTTCCTTACCCATGTCTTTGCAAAAAGACAAATCATGCCCACTTAAGCAATCCTTTGCTTTAATAATCCTACTCTGTAAATACGCATTAATGAAAAATCCATATTACAGTGAGAAATATATTCTTCCCAAAGCTAAGGCACTAAATTTTTTATGACAATAATGAGTTGTGACAAAGTTCCCCTTATATAATCTCATAAATCAACATTTCAGACTGTTGTATAGGTTTTTGTATAGAGAAAAACAAAGATTTAATTGTTTAACATGTCCTGCAATCCTTATGCAAGAAATTATGCTTTTGATTATATACATAGAATGAGCCCTCACTGCAAAAAAAAAAAAAAAAACCACAACAAAAAACAAAACACCTACTTTTCTTCAGNATTTAATTGTTTAACATGTCCTGCAATCCTTATGCAAGAAATTATGCTTTTGATTATATACATAGAATGAGCCCTCACTGCAAAAAAAAAAAAAAAAACCACAACAAAAAACAAAACACCTACTTTTCTTCAGCAAATTAATGTCTCCTGAGAAGTAAACAAAAGTCAGTGTTCAGAAATCAGCCCCAGTTTAGAAAGAAGTCATGGAACATTAGGAGACTACAACCCTTACTAGTCATGCGCCCTGAGAACTGGGGCCCCAAACAAGGCAGAGTTCTGAGGGGATGGAAAGACTTCTCCACTTCTCAGCTGGAAGGCTGCTGATCTGAACTCCAAGCAATCCTCCTAGACAAAGGAGTTCTCAATCATTCCCTTCACTCTCCCTCTGTGCATTCTCTGTGGTGGTCATGCACATAATGAAACCCCACACAGCTCAAAGAGATGCTATGATAATATCAGAGGAGCTGGCTCTAATGACATCATGTCATCACATTTTTGCTCTTTTCATGGAAAGAAGAATCAAATACCAAAGTGTGAATCAGAAGGTTTTGCTCCAAAGAGTGGCATAAAACACTTTTTCAACCCTACATGTGAAATATCAAAACAAAGCTCGGGTAATTACCAGGTTTGCTGTCTGTCACTTCTGGACTGAGAGGGATTTTAGGTTTCAAAGAAATAAATTGTGTTTTACTGGGAGCTGGAAAAATAAAGAAACAAAATAATCATCAAATCAGTATTTAGACATTTCAATGTCTGAAACTACAAAAGGAAAACCTATACTTCACCTGCTATAAACCCATCTTCTTGGATGATTTTGGAAACATTCCATTAGAAAATAAACTTTAAAAAAATAATATTTCACAGAGCAGTATTTAATGAAAATATACTAATAAATTTTCATCTTTTTGAAAAAGCATTTCAAGAAAAAAGGCATTGCCATCAGTCACCATTACTGTACAAAGTATGACAGTGATTTTAACCCAGGATTAAAAAATGAAAATTAGCATAATGATTTTGCACCTTATTTCACATTTCTCAGCCATGTCTAAGTTTCTAAGCACTCAAAAAAAGAAATGTTTTAAAAGTAATATTCACTGATATGTACAACGTGATCTGTGGCGTAAAGAAATGTTACTAACACCATAGCAGAAAGCTGTTTTTCTAAATGAAGTTTGAAATTGAACTTGAAGGCCTTACCCCCCAAAATGGAGAAGTGTATATAAGACACAACTTTAAAAAACAATGATTGTGTAGAAGATGGAAAAGCATCAGCGATTTAACAGCTTTCCAAGGTACAAATGCTGAGTTCACATCCACCAACCACAGTGCCAGCTATCCAAAATCATGAAAGTCATGGAGTTGATGTACTCTATGAGATATTGAGTACTGTTGAAATGATCCAGTTAGAACAGTGATTGAGACAGTACATAAAAGCTGGCATACTGGACTTCCCGTGGTGAAATGAACTAACCCATCTACTAAGGACATATCGTTACCCATTGTTGTCCGTCTAGGTTCAGGGCTTTTAGAAATTTTAGATGTAATTGTTCCAGGACTTGTGGTTCTTTCTGGTGATGGAAAGGAAAAAAAAATTAACATATTCTAGAAACAATAAAAAAAAAAATCCTCCAAAGAGGAACTGAATGACCCTTTTAAAATCCTGTCATATTTAGTCACTGTTTACAAAGTATGCAGTGAGTAAAAGTTTGGGGAAAGAATTTTAAAATTCAGTCATAATAGTATAGGCTATAAAAAAACCTGGAATAAGCAATGGAATAATCAAAGCCTGGTTATTGAGCATGAGTCTGAGTGTACCCTTTTACAATGAAGGCTAGCACCTCCAGATTGATAAATTACCTCCACCTCCAACTCTGTGCCATAATATATGCTGTTCCCTTTTCCTTTTCCTCTGCCTAAACCTGACACATATTCTGATATTTATATCCTCAACTCTTACTTTGCTTTTCTGAGCTTCTACTCTAATAGAGTCTTACAAGCAGGTTATATCATCTTACGCTGCTCTCATCATTCATGATGTATTATCTTTTTAAGATTATGAGCAATTGGATAGCCAGAGTCACATTCTCTGCATCTCAGCCACTGCCCTTGTGAAAAACTGAAAACATAGTAGGCAACAAATATGGGAACTGTCAGCCTGATAAACACTTAAATATAGATGCTTGCCAGGAAAATAAATGACATTATGTATCACCGTGACCATATAAATCACTATATATGACTGTTTCTATATTTATATCAAAATTCACATGTAAAAACATCATTCACTAAAACTGATCTAAAAAGAAATAGCAGCAGAAGCATTGTTACTTAGAAATGTGGAGTTAAATACAAAAGAAACATTAAAGAATTGGAGAAATAAAGAAATGTTACTAACACCATAGCAGAAAGCTGTTTTTCTAAATGAAGTTTGAAATTGAACTTGAAGGCCTTACCCCCCAAAATGGAGAAGTGTATATAAGACACAACTTTAAAAAACAATGATTGTGTAGAAGATGGAAAAGCATCAGCGATTTAACAGCTTTCCAAGGTACAAATGCTGAGTTCACATCCACCAACCACAGTGCCAGCTATCCAAAATCATGAAAGTCATGGAGTTGATGTACTCTATGAGATATTGAGTACTGTTGAAATGATCCAGTTAGAACAGTGATTGAGACAGTACATAAAAGCTGGCATACTGGACTTCCCGTGGTGAAATGAACTAACCCATCTACTAAGGACATATCGTTACCCATTGTTGTCCGTCTAGGTTCAGGGCTTTTAGAAATTTTAGATGTAATTGTTCCAGGACTTGTGGTTCTTTCTGGTGATGGAAAGGAAAAAAAAATTAACATATTCTAGAAACAATAAAAAAAAAAATCCTCCAAAGAGGAACTGAATGACCCTTTTAAAATCCTGTCATATTTAGTCACTGTTTACAAAGTATGCAGTGAGTAAAAGTTTGGGGAAAGAATTTTAAAATTCAGTCATAATAGTATAGGCTATAAAAAAACCTGGAATAAGCAATGGAATAATCAAAGCCTGGTTATTGAGCATGAGTCTGAGTGTACCCTTTTACAATGAAGGCTAGCACCTCCAGATTGATAAATTACCTCCACCTCCAACTCTGTGCCATAATATATGCTGTTCCCTTTTCCTTTTCCTCTGCCTAAACCTGACACATATTCTGATATTTATATCCTCAACTCTTACTTTGCTTTTCTGAGCTTCTACTCTAATAGAGTCTTACAAGCAGGTTATATCATCTTACGTTGCTCTCATCATTCATGATGTATTATCTTTTTAAGATTATGAGCAATTGGATAGCCAGAGTCACATTCTCTGCATCTCAGCCACTGCCCTTGTGCAAAACTGAAAACATAGTAGGCAACACATATGGGAACTGTCAGCCTGATGAACACTTAAATATAGATGCTTGCCAGGAAAATAAATGACATTATGTATCACTGTGACCATATAAATCACTATATATGACTGTTTCTATATTTATATCAAAATTCACATGTAAAAACATCATTCACTAAAACTGATCTAAAAAGAAATAGCAGCAGAAGCATTGTTACTTAGAAATGTGGAGTTAAATACAAAAGAAACATTAAAGAATTGGAGAATGGGTCTCAGGGGCAGAAGAAGGTGGGCAGTAGATTCTCTTTTTCAGTCTAAGGCTTGAAGTACCTAAAAAAAACTCTATGTATTATTTTGATTTAAAAAGACTATTTCCCAGAAAAAAGAATATCATACACATAATTTTCAGTAAAATCTTACTGAAAATGTTTGACTTTTGTTATTTTTAATTATTCATCTTCAGTTAATTCCAGATTTTATAGAGCATCTTTAATCTACAGAATCATTTCTCTTTCTAATAAGTACACGGATATCATCTACTTGGAATTAGATATCCTGAAAAGTTAAATAGACAGTTATTTACCAGGCTTAGTTCTTGGTGTTTTGGGCCTGAGGCGTCGTTTAGGTGTAGAAGGGACAGATGTAGTTTGCAGGGGAGCTGAAAGAAGATTTAATATAGCTTTGGTAAATATTTCCCAGGGGGTCAATGAGATTGTAACCATACACTTACAAACTTCTTGAGGGCAAGAACTGCTTTCTATTTCTTTGTAGCCCTAGAATGCCCAGCATAGGTGTTCAATAAGTAAGTACTGATTGAGCCAAAAGAAATTAAATGTCTGTATGAGAAGATACATTTTTCAGTTAAGTGTACTGGAAAGGGAGGACCCTTCAAGGATTTATGAACACAAGGTACAGTTAATTACTCAAAAGATGGTTTATCCAATAGCATGGGAGAAGCACAGATATTCCAGATTTAGAGAATAGAACATTCAGAACTCTTTAATTCTATAGCTCACTACTAACATCACCAGGAGTTAATGAACTTCATCATTTCATTAATTTTCTATTATAGATTGAAAGCTATTTTACTCTCTTTTACTCATCTCTCTTCATCATATCCAGGATTGTAGAGCCCACTTGGTGCTCCTTAGACTATTTTGAGAAAAATAGTCTGATCAAGTGGTATCTAAAATGCTAATTGAAGGGAACATATTTTAAAATAATTATCATCTATAATTTTGCTGCTATTTTCTGGTTGGTAAATTTGAAAGAACTATAGAAAGGGAGTTATCCTTCAAAATAACATATACAAAGACAGAACTGTTACATCATACTGAAACTAACATAATGTTATATATTAATTTTACCTCAGTTAAAAAATAGATATCAAGATTATAGAAATTCTTCAAGGATTATCACAAAACTAAGAATGACAGATAACCAAGTTCTTTGAAGAGTTTCATCATAGAGAATGAAGGGAAATGTTTACTACTGAAAATATTCTGAGAAGGCCAGCATGACTTCTGCTTTTTGTCTCTTCATCTATTCTTTCAAAGTACGTAACTATACAGAGGTCATTAATTACCAGGTGTTGTAGGCTGCAATTCAGGACTGGTAAAGATTTCCAGTTTTTGAGAAATAAATGGTGTTTCACTCGGAGCTGAAAACACAAACACCCCATCCCACCAAGTAATTTCAGTTAAAATGAGGTATTTTAAGAGCTTCAACATGCTTTTAGATGGTGATACAAAGCACATGCTAAAAGGACATGATGAAGGATGAAAAATGCACGTTGTCTTGGAAAGCTACTGGATGAAATGATAATTTAAAGTGCGGAAAAGGTCAGGATGAAACTGTTCAGTAGCTGACTCCAGGCAGACTGAGCGCATGGAAGAGACGTGATACAGGCCACAAACATGAGATGGATGGGATGAAATGATGATGAAGATGTCCATGCAATTTTCAAAGCTTTTCATTCCTTTAATGATGGAAAAAATATCATTCATTACAGTTCAAAAATGAGAGAGAGAAAGAGAGAGCCCAAATGGAACATAAGATGCCTGCATTGTAGGGAAAAATATATATTATATTCAGAAAAAGGAAAGAAATAAATGATTAGATGTGATGGAATGAAATGGTCATTTGGAAGAAAGGCATTCACATGGATTTTCTTTTGATGGAAAACAAAGTAGAATTTTTCTGTTAAAAACATTACCCAGTGTTGCCCTTGGCTGTTCAAGAGTTCTAGAAGTTTTAGGTGGGACAGAGTCCAGAAGTGGATCGCTTGTTGCTGTTGGAATAAATGTCAACATTTATAAAAGCAGTAGAAGGCCCCAGGAATAAAATACAAAATTCCTGAGTAATAAATTATGCCTCAAATGGGGAAAAATATCAAGAACACTTGAGAGATGGCTGACCAACATTTTAAAACTAGTGATTCATTAGGAGTTGAAGATGAGCTCATGTTTAAAAACATACACACTTCAAACGTTAGAAACCATGATAAAATGGTGCTTCACACATTCAACAGTTTTCTACTGTTTTTTCTGGTTCCTTCCCTCTGTTTCTGAATTGCTAGCTGAATCTGCTCATAACATTCTGTTTCATCTTTTAAAAATTTCTGCTGCTTTTTAAAATTATTTGCCTGTATTTATCATGGTGCCCATATATGGCTACACACACCCCCCAAAATACCAGACATATGTCCTTGTGTGGCAGAGACCAGTGTTATTTACTTTGAATTTCCTGCAGTACCTAATTTAGTAAGTGTATAATAAAATACTTGCTAAAAGAAACCATCAGACTAAGTTAAACTCACATAGGTAGAGCAGTAAGTGAATGCCAAAGTTAGACCCAACTGAACGTCTGCAGACAAATGAGTGACGTGACTGCTCTAGAGCAGGATTTGTCACCTTGGCACTACTGCCCTTTAGGGCTGGATAATTCTTTATTGTGGGGATTTTCCTGTACCTCGCAGGGGTTTAGCAGCATCCATGGGCTCAATCCACTAGATGTCAGCAACACGTTCCCCACTGGTGACAACCGAAAATACCTCTAGCCATGGCTGACTAGTTCCTCAGTGGGAAAAAAACAAAATCACCCCCTACTGGAGAACCACTACTCCAGGGAAAACTCCGAATTCTAAAACCTTTTCAGAATGATTCTTATCACTAGAGCACTAGGCTGTTATTTAGTGCGCCTGAGAGGCAACCTAATCTTTCTGCATGTCCCACATATGCAGAGTTTATTTACTGGAGGACGTGGAGACATTATCGTTCGGTGGGAGAAGGGGGCAGAATTCATCTCCCTGACAGAGACTGCCACATTTCTCCTGTGGAACTCTAGAGAGTATACATTTTCACTCTGCAAAAATTGTCACAATACCTGGCATCCAAAAAAAAAAAAAGAATTGAGAGGCTGGGTGTACCTGTGTGGGGCTCTGATATCTCAGGCTCATCTGATGTTGTAGGGCTTGAGAAAACATCATAAGTGGCTTTTAAAAGAAAAAAGTAAAACAAAAGAGAAGATGTTAATTTTGGTTGATTTTAAAAGACTTCATGACATATTTTAATGCTGGCTGAAGGAGGACAGTTGATGTAGGTGCTAGAACTTGGGCCGTGGGCTGCTGGTCTTGTCGGTAAGATTGAAGCAATCACTAAAAGACTGGCCCCTAGTCCTTCTTGCTCTGAACTGAAGGACTGGCCCCTAGGGTGTTTGTTTACAATGGATCAGTGCCAGCTGTAAATCACAGAGCTTCAAAGAGTACATACATAAATGAAGTCAGATGGCAACTTTAGGAGACATTTCCAAAGAAGAACAGTCACACTGAGGTAATTTGCACAAAGACCACAGCTTAGCTTTTCTATTGAGTAAAAGTTACCATCATGATGTCTGGACGGTACTTTACAGTTTGCGTAGTACTTTAGAGTTTGACAGCACTTTCTCACATATCAACTTGTTTAACGCTCTCAATATCCTTGAGAAATAGGTGAGGTAGACATTAACCCCATGTTACAGTCAATGGGGTGGTAACTCCATTTTCTAGATATTAAAATTGAGATTCACTGGGGTGAAGACATTTGTCAGTGGTCAAATTCTACCTATTTCTAACTCTATTGAGCATGGGCCCACCTTCTTTCTCCTTTGGTAACCACTGGTTTCTTTTTGATCTCTGTGAGTCTATTTATGTTTTGTAAATAAATCCATTTGTATCATTTTTTATAGTCCATATAATGCTCATAACATTCTGTTTCATCTTTTAAAAATTTCTGCTGCTTTTTAAAATTATTTGCCTGTATTTATCATGGTGCCCATATATGGCTACACACACCCCCCAAAATACCAGACATATGTCCTTGTGTGGCAGAGACCAGTGTTATTTACTTTGAATTTCCTGCAGTACCTAATTTAGTAAGTGTATAATAAAATACTTGCTAAAAGAAACCATCAGACTAAGTTAAACTCACATAGGTAGAGCAGTAAGTGAATGCCAAAGTTAGACCCAACTGAACGTCTGCAGACAAATGAGTGACGTGACTGCTCTAGAGCAGGATTTGTCACCTTGGCACTACTGCCTTTTAGGGCTGGATAATTCTTTATTGTGGGGATTTTCCTGTACCTCGCAGGGGTTTAGCAGCATCCATGGGCTCAATCCACTAGATGTCAGCAACACGTTCCCCACTGGTGACAGCCGAAAATACCTCTAGCCATGGCTGACTAGTTCCTCAGTGGGAAAAGAACAAAATCACCCCCTACTGGAGAACCACTACTCCAGGGAAAACTCCGAATTCTAAAACCTTTTCAGAATGATTCTTATCACTAGAGCACTAGGCTGTTATTTAGTGCGCCTGAGAGGCAACCTAATCTTTCTGCATGTCCCACATATGCAGAGTTTATTTACTGGAGGACGTGGAGACATTATCGTTCGGTGGGAGAAGGGGGCAGAATTCATCTCCCTGACAGAGACTGCCACATTTCTCCTGTGGAACTCTAGAGAGTATACTTTTTCACTCTGCAAAAATTGTCACAATACCTGGCATCCAAAAAAAAAAAAAGAATTGAGAGGCTGGGTGTACCTGTGTGGGGCTCTGATATCTCAGGCTCATCTGATGTTGTAGGGCTTGAGAAAACATCATAAGTGGCTTTTAAAAGAAAAAAGTAAAACAAAAGAGAAGATGTTAATTTTGGTTGATTTTAAAAGACTTCATGACATATTTTAATGCTGGCTGAAGGAGGACAGTTGATGTAGGTGCTAGAACTTGGGCCGTGGGCTGCTGGTCTTGTCGGTAAGATTGAAGCAATCACTAAAAGACTGGCCCCTAGTCCTTCTTGCTCTGAACTGAAGGACTGGCCCCTAGGGTGTTTGTTTACAATGGATCAGTGCCAGCTGTAAATCACAGAGCTTCAAAGAGTACATACATAAATGAAGTCAGATGGCAACTTTAGGAGACATTTCCAAAGAAGAACAGTCACACTGAGGTAATTTGCACAAAGACCACAGCTTAGTTTTTCTATTGAGTAAAAGTTACCATCATGATGTCTGGACGGTACTTTACAGTTTGCGTAGTACTTTAGAGTTTGACAGCACTTTCTCACATATCAGCTTGTTTAACGCTCTCAATATCCTTGAGAAATAGGTGAGGTAGACATTAACCCCATGTTACAGTCAGTGGGGTGGTAACTCCATTTTCTAGATATTAAAATTGAGATTCACTGGGGTGAAGACATTTGTCAGTGGTCAAATTCTACCTATTTCTAACTCTATTGAGCATGGGCCCACCTTCTTTCTCCTTTGGTAACCACTGGTTTCTTTTTGATCTCTGTGAGTCTATTTATGTTTTGTAAATAAATCCATTTGTATCATTTTTTATAGTCCATATATAAGGATATCATATGATATTTGTCTTTCTCTGTCTGATCTACTTCACTTAGTATGATAATCTCCAGATCTATCTATGTTGCCACAAATGACACTATTCCATTCTTTTTATGACTGAGTGCTATTCCATTGCATATATATTAAGACTTCTTTTTAAACATAAGTTCATATATGAAAAACCTTACAACCTCATTAGGACAGAAATTGTGCTTGTTACACTCTTTACATACTTCAAGGTTGTGCTTCCAGAGCCTTGTACACAGGAAGACTCAATGAAATTAATCTGCAAGATTTCCATTACTGTGAACAAATAGCAATGAGTTTAACAATTAGGTGGTTTATGCTTTTAGTAAGGATACACGAGAATAAATGAACAGATTCTTTATTTTTAGAGCATACATATGTGTGCACACAAATCTCTTCCTCTACTATACAATTACCTTTCATATGTTTGGGTGGTCATACCCTGCCATGGAAATAGAACCCTGAACATAAACAGGAAGACACAAGGGGAAAATACAACAGGCCAGCAGTACGTAGCTGGATGAGCAAAGCATCTATAACCACCACATGCAGAGTTCTGAGTACCATTTAAGGACATAAAGCTCTCTTACATTTCTTAGAAAAATAAAATACCTTTCTAGTTGGCCTTGAAATTTGTGAAAATCTTGCCTACGAGAAAATTCTCATGAAGCCAAACCAACGGCTCTGGCTGTAAATCTCTAAGAGGGCACTGTAAATATATAGACCATTCAGTACACTTAAATTTTATTTTCCTGATCACAAGGCATCAAACCACCATTTGTTCCTATGTTTTCTCTTCTCTAGGGTTTAATCCAGTTGGGTGGGCCAGATTTATGCTAATCAATACCCCACAGGCAAACAATAAGGTCCAAAAGTAGTGTTCAGCCTCTCTTCAACCACTGTGAGCAAACCACCTGTGGCCCAAACTTCCAGACCAGTATACCACTCCTCGAACATGCTGATCACTTCAGCTCTCAAGTCTTTAAATAATTTTTAGAGCTTAACTGCAGACAGCAATTTACTAAAGCTCTATAACATACTGAAAGAACAAAACACTGAATATAGTAGTAAACTCCTAAAGGGAATTCCCAAACTGGATTCTAATGAAGACTGAGGTAGACTGTTCTCTAGGGAGTGTTGTCAAGGGAGGTCTCTAAAGAGAATTGTTTACTGCTCAAGGGGAAATAATTAGGCCAGAGGTTGTCAAGGGAGGTCTCTAAAGAGAATTGTTTACTGCTCAAGGGGAAATAATTAGGCCAGAAGGAACAGTCATCTTAGTAATAAGCTGCAGAACAGTTAAAGGGAAAAGTTAGTTTGTCAGGACATGTTGGGGGAAGAACAGACAGGAGAATTTTCTAAGGATGCAAATAAACACATTGGATCATCTTGGGTTATATAAAAAAAGCCATTTTCATTATATGATTAAGGTTTCAAATCCCTCCTGGTCCTAAATGATGGTCTTTTAAGGGGATGACCAAGTAAATTAAGGCGGCTTAACACTGAGAGGATTAGCAAGCCAGAAACAAGACTGACTTCTATCCTCCTTCTCCAACCACATATGGGCTTTAGAAATCATGTATCTGCTCCATCTTTAGGATAAGATATCTATCTATCTGTCTGCCCATCTGTGTATCTATCTATCTATCTCTCCCACTTCTGATGCCCATGGAAAACACATCGCGTTGGTCATGGTCACCTTTTACTCTTTGCCCTAGGCAGGGGCTGGGAGCCCAGTTAATAGCATGATTCAGGCTTCCCACTCAACCCAATCAGTGTGGTCATGTGATATCTACCATCAGTGCCATGGGGTTAATAGGACATCAGGCCATTTCCGTGGGGTTGCAGGATCTCTTCAAAGTACACTCTATACGTCCGGGTCAATTCTCCTTAGACACGTGTCCACAAAGAGTTGAACATGACTGAGCGACTGAGCTGATTCTCCTTAGACATTTTTAGACAAGTGAAATGAAGACCCAAGAATCATTGGGCATACTTCTACTCTTCGTTGCTCCTTTTCTTTCTTTTTATTAATTAAATTGGGAGTTTAGGATTAACAGATACACACTACTGTATATAAAATAGGTAAACAACAAGGATCTACTGCATGGCACAGGGAACTACACTCAGTATCTTATAGTGACCTATAATGGAAAAGAATCTGAAAAAGAATATATATTACATATATATAACTGAATATGTATATATAACTGAATCAATTGCTATACACTTGAAACTAACACAACAGTGCAAATTAACTACATTTCAATAAAATGCAAAAAAAAAACAGAAACAAAAATACAAGAAAAGAAAATGGTGATGTTGGACCATAAAGGTGGCTGAATGCTGAAGAACTGATGCTTTTGAACTGTGGTATTGGAGAAGACTCTTGAGAACCCCTTGGACTGCAAGGAGATCCCACCAGTCAGTCCTAAAGGAAACCAGTCCTGAATATTCACTGGAAGAACTGATGCTGAAGCTGAAGCTCCAATACTTTGGCCACCTGATGCAAAGAACTGACTCACTGCAAAAGACTGATGCTGGGAAAGATTGAAGGCAGGAGGAGAAGGGGACAACAGAGGACGAGACAGTTAGATGGCATCACCGACTCAGTGGACATGAGTTTGAGTGAACTCTAGGAGATGGTGAAGGACAGGGAAGCCTGGCGTGCTGCAGTCCATGTGGTTGCAAAGAGTTGGACATGACCAAGGAACTGAACAAAACTCCCTTTGCTTCCAGGGACTTCTGGAAGATTGATATGCTGGTGTACGTACAACCCTTTGAATCTCTTAACATAAGACTGTTATGCAAATACAAAATCATATTATTCCAGTGAAGAAGTACTCCAACAAGCATGCACACATGCATGCAGATGCACAACTCATGGGGGGGGTGGGGCGCGGTACTGAGAGCTTTCCCAGAACTCACTCTATAGTAATAGAAATCATAGTCAACTGGCCACTCTCCAATAGAACATAAGACCAATTCTATTGCATCATCAGAGAGACTGACTTTTCTAAATGATTGTTACAAGCACGTAAGTATCTCTAAAATGTGGCCAACTTTTTTATAATATAGAATTTATACATAAGTTTACATTTTGGCATATAGCGAAAGAGCAGATCTTTATAATTTCCTTTTTGTATTTTAAGAAAAGTTGGATTTTGCCAAGGAAGTCAAAATCAATCAACCCTACTTCAACATACTTTAGAGGAGGTTTAAACAAAATAAAATTCCAAATAATGAGATCACAAAATGCTGTGCTAATGAAGCTCTGGGGCCAATAGGCTCAAAGTGGCGAAGAATATGTTTGATGACTACACTTCTCAGATTTCCTAGGACAGTCCAAATTCCAAATACCCTGTCCCACTCTTGCCATCAACTATTGAAATGATTTCAATATTCAACATGCAAGTTAGAATTTCCATATAGGTTTTTATAGCCAAAAGTAATATAGAAATCTTTATGAGAGCATGCACTTGGATCATTTGATACAGAGTATGAAGTAAATGTGGAAAACAAATCTAGCAAATTCCGAAGCAAAATGAATTTCACAAATGGTATTGATAAATGTTTAATGGTTGATGAAGAGACAATCAGCCTCTGGCACCCAAGTGCCAGCCAGGCACTCATAGCTTGGCTGTGGCGTTTGCCTATTGGACATCAACAGTTGAGAACACCAATATCAGACAAGTTCAGCTATGACCAAGATGGACCAAGGCAAAAACAAGACCATTCGGTAATTGTGTGGAGCACAAATGTAAGAACACAAAAATTACTGTCCTCATATCCTGGCTATTTTTATCAATCACAACTATAGTCTCACTCCTCTTTTCTTGCCTTCTAGTTAAGAATCATTAAAACTTTCTATCAGATTTTTCGCATTTTCAGACAATATCCAGTTCAGAGCAAAGCTTCACTTTCTTAAACCCTCCCCAGAATTACCTAACACAAGACTAAATCCCATAAGACATCCTTCCCAACATCCTCTTACTAAGAAATCCACAGTTCCTCATGGTCTACAATCTCATTGTTACAATAAGTAAATAAACTTAACTTTGTTCAAATACAGCTGAAGGTAACTGACAGAGTAAATACAGATGCATTGTATTTCAACATAGAAAACAAAATGTGTTCATTTCACTGTAATAATATGATTAATACCAGCTGAAATATAGTCTCACTCCTCTTTTCTTGCCTTCTAGTTAAGAATCATTAAAACTTTCTATCAGATTTTTCCCATTTTCAGACAATATCCAGTTCAGAGCAAAGCTTCACTTTCTTAAACCCTCCCCAGAATTACCTAACACAAGACTAAATCCCATAAAACATCCTTCCCAACATCCTCTTACTAAGAAATCCACAGTTCCTCATGGTCTACAATCTCATTGTTACAATAAGTAAATAAACTTAACATTGTTCAAATATAGCTGAAAGTAACTGACAGAGTAAATACAGATGCATTGTATTTCAACATAGAAAACAAAATGTGTTCATTTCACTGTAATAATATGATTAATACCAGCTGAAATATATAATTTCTTCAAAAGATGTAACAACTAAAAACAAGACAAATGTTTTTTATGGACCAGCATTCAAGAACTATCTCTGCCCCTCTCTCTCTTCTTAATTCTCAACTAATTGCATTAGGAAGCCATGTGAGTAACTGGAAAAAACAATAATCATATATGTTGAAACTAAACAGGAAATAGAAACTTAGTGCATGTATAAATTCACAAAACCAATCAAGAAACAAAGACTGAAATGAATGAAAGGATTGTGTGACTATATCAACTTTTTAAATCACAAATAACACGTATTATAATCTGAAATTGAACATGTTAGGAAGATCCCATGGAACACTTAAATAAGAGTGAGCGTTAAAAGCCTTAGCAGAAACAACAAATACTTAACCACCCACTTTGAGAAATCAACTTCACATTGATTTCTCCAGCCCACTGTCCTGTAATTGACCACATTTGATGCTTCTTATCTGCACCATGTGAAATATTACAGACTACAGTGAAAAGGTAGTGCTTCTTTAACTTTAATGCTCGTACAAATCACCTGGAGATCTTGTTAAACAGCAGTTCTCAATTCATTAGATTTGAAGTAGAGCCCAAGACTCAGCCTTTCTAACGAGTTCCCTGGTGATTCTAATGCTGCCTGTCCAAACATCACACCAAGTAGCCCAGGCTTAACAATTCAATATTCCAAGGGCAGACTAGGGAGTTTCTATGGCTGATTCTTATGCCTGCAGCCATATCTACTGAACTCTTAGAGCCCATGACAAGCTCCAGCACTTCATCTAGACACGGCTGGCAGTTGACAGATTTTGAAAGTTCTCTGGCATGCTAAAGTGGACCTGGCAGGAGTGAGGCAGCTGAATAATAAACTGCTTCCTGCTGCATTAGCCTCTATTCAGGGCAAAACCAGAATTAAAGGAACCTTTCTTTTATTGGGATTTCCAGTCTCATCTATCTGTATCCTCTTTGTAACTTCACAATCTTCACTTCCCAGCATATTCTCCCTATTCCCCAAAGCTCACTTCAATTCAGGCTTTATATATAATTCGTATCCTAGGCATTAAAATCACAGAAAGGGTTTCCTGGAGGTTTTGGTCAGTTTGCTCTTATATAATCATAGACACCAAAAATCTAGAGGCTGGTCAAGTGAAGCCCAGGAAAATCTATGTCCCTATGTTTATAGCCTAAAAGTTAAGAGATAAAAGGGACCTAAGTGGCTGCAGTCCATGGGGTCTCTAAGAGTTGGACATGACTGAGCAACTTCCCTTTCACTTTTTCCTTTCATGCATTGGAGAAGGAAATGGCAACCCACTCCAGTGTTCTTGCCTGGAGAATCCCAGGGACGGCGGAGCCTGGTGGGCTGCCGTCTATGGGGTCGCACAGAGTCGGCCACGATTGAAGCGACTTAGCAGCAGCAGCGGCAGCTAGTGGTGTGTTAGTTCAGTGGGCCCTAACAGTCCTCGGTTGGGTAGCTGTGATGCTTGTATAGGCTGGGGGGTTGGAGGCGGGTCAGGTAAGCTCTGCTGAATGGAGCAGATACACCAGCACACACGCCCACAGATGAGCCTTGCTCCAGAATCAGTGCCGTGGTGGAGTGTGAAACTCCACCCGATTTTACACTCAAGTGACTCAGGTTCTGAAGGTAGTCTTGCACCAACAATTAGTTAATTGCAGTAGAATTTTAAGGGCAGGGACATGGGGAATTAAGGCTTAGAAAGACCCAGTTTAAGGCTTCTCTAGATTGGCTGACAACCACAGCCAACTTAGAGATGTTTTCCCACTTGAGAAAACTAGGGGAGACTGTAACAGACACACTCAGTTCATTTGTGCCATCCTTGTGTCTTTTGCTAAGATCTGAATGCATCACACTCACCAGAGAAAGATAATTTGACTAAGATCTATGTGTCCATAAGCCCATGCTCATTCTTTCTCAAACCAGTCATACGCTGAACTCCTTTCTGAAGAATATCACAGAATGGTGGTGTGTTTAATGTCATTACATGAATGTCTAACTACATTACATGCTAGTTATATGTGCTAAAAGAATCACAACTAGAAGGTTCACAAAATTAAAAACAAGTGAAACAAAAATCATGGAAGTAATCACACAAAGTGGTTTGTGAGGTTTTCTTACAGTTCTCACATGCTAAATAATTTCTTTCGTTCACTGCTAGACATCAGAGAAAAGATGTAAATGTAAAAGCTTTTTGAGGAAAAAAAAATCTGTTTTTTGAAGAGGAAAGCTATTTCCCTCATTTTTAGTGTTAGAATACAAGAATTCTCAGGAGAAAAAAGCTGATTGCTACAGTTTACAAAAGAGCGAACTAAGATCCAGAAAAGTAGAGAAAACAGCTAAAATATGTGGTTGGTAGTAAAGCCAGAAATGGAACCAAGGTCCAGTATTAGTGCTAAGACCTGTGGTCTCTCCTCTAAATTACAATATGTTTACAGATTTTAGGACTCAGTAATAATATCTTGCATGTAGTAAACACTCAAATGTTCACTGAATATTTTATTGAAAAAAGAAGCAAATGTCTACCTGCAAGGGAAATATTAAATTCACATTGTTAAATATGACTACCATAGAGCTTATTTTTGTTACTGTTCTCATGTCACAAAAGAGATGTCTAGAAATTCAGTGAGCCAACTTGCAGTTCATCTTCTAGCCAGACTTCTAACTATATATCCAGACATTAAAACACAGATCTTTAGAACAAATGCAAAAACATTTTGCTTTTGTATTGAGAAAAATGAAATTAATCTAAGCACCAACGATAGATTGTAGCTTTACCATTTACTACAAATATATGGATAATCAATTAAAGAACCTATAGAAATAAAAATAAGAGAAGTTATTCAATACTGTTGCTCCAATCTATTTTTTTTTAAAAAAGAATGTAATTACCAGTTTGAGGCAGTAGAATTTTGGAATCTTCAGATATTTTACTTGTAGGCACAATCCCTGGCTTTTCACTTGAAGCTACAGCAAAAAAAGAAATGGAATTCACTGAGAATTTTTTTTTTTTGGAGAGGATAGAGAGATAGAAATAGATTGCTCGTGTCATTAAATGGCTACCAGTAGCCTGAAATAAAAAACACACACTGATCCAACTAAACATCATTATATACCAAGAAGCAATCAATACACTACACTCATTCAGAGAGCATTTGAACACAGTCTAGACGGTGACCAGTAAATGGTTTGGTGTCATACTCTTAATGTTTCTGAGGACAGAAAACTAACAGTTGGCTCTCTGGAATTAACAGACTAATAACTGTTATTGAATTTGTAGAAAACTCAGAGAAAAAAATGTTTTAAATCAAGTCAACCACTTGTTTGGCTGAGTCAGACTGAAATCATCAGCTCATTGAGGTTTGCACAGCTAGGATCCTGTCAACGTGTCCTACAGGATTAAGCAGTCACCACCCACAATTTAACAGCAGATTCAAGGTATTGTTATTACCCAAGGTGCCCCCAGCTTTCTCAAAAGGGAAAGGTGTTTTTGCCTGAGGAAATTCTGGAAGCCTTTTCGGAGCTGCAACAAAATACACAAGAGATGTTATGACTTGAAATGCAAGTAAGATAAAAGGTCTTTAAAATCTCAAGCTTGCAGAAACAAAAAAACAAACACAAAAATGCAAATAACTCAGGAAAGGTAAGGGACTGTTACTAGTACATAATTTTTCTCCTGTGTTTCAATGATGGATGATATAAGACAGCGTCTTTTTTCTAATTTTTATAATCAGGCCACTAAATTTAAGGAGTTTGGGTTCTTCTTCTCACCTTTATTAAACTAGTGTTCTAATTTGTTCAGCAATACATATGTGTGCTCTCAGATATATTTTGCTTCAATTCAAATCAAGCACATCTAAACTAGACAATGTTCCCCCAATAGCTTTTAAAAACAGAATTGCAGTAATTACATGTCTTTATACTTAAGTTTTCCCCAAAACTTCCTTGATATCACATTCAAATTCTAAGAATTCTAAGAAGCAGTCTATAGGAATATCATAAATATATCTTCTCTTTCAAGAGAAACATTTGAGTAAAAAGCTATTTTGGAAAAATACAGAAAATAATTTATTCAGTCACAATGATTTTGAATTGAGTCAAATATAATATCAAAATATGACTACTCCCAAGGAAAACAGCCAAAGGATTTATATACAGAACGACTAGTAAGTATCCTAAATTATAAAATAATTTATAGCATCTAAGAGTTGGTCATTCAGGCATTTATTGTTCTGTAAGCCATGTGTCCCTTCTTTTCTGTGAGAAGATAAATTTGAATGAGTTAGCCTAAGGGTTTCTTTCAGGCATGCATAAAATTTCCAAGGAAATAATAAGCTATAGTGTTTAATAATTTTTACCTAGAGTGCTCAGTGGCAATTCAAACCTAGGTATTAAAATAGTTTGTGATGTTCCGGGGGTCCTTCCCCTGAGAACTGCAATAAAGAAGAATTCAGTTAGAAACACTCCGAGTCAGGATTTGACACTGTGACTTAATCGTATCGTGTGAGGCATGCTCATAATGGAGGGTACATTGGGCAACTGATACCTTTCATCTAAATAGCTGGCTTCCCCTGGAAAGTTTTTACACAGTTGTATTAATTTGAAGGTCTACCTTTGAATGGCCATGGTGTGACACGGAAGATCAACATCACAAGGACAGAACAATATATGTACATGCTGCTCCTTTTTAAAATTTTTTTTAGGAGAAGAGAATAAAGCAACTTAGATTCTCTCAGCCCAATAAACAGCTAACTTGCATGACATGAAATTCTTAGTAAAAAGCATTACACTTTTGAGTAGTCTCCTTAAGCTTACTACACATCAGCCTAGGAAAAGCCAACGGAAATGGGAAGCATAGACACAGTCACGACTCTCACCGCTCCAAGCTTTGTAGACTAGAGGGCTGGCATTCTGGTGTTCTATGCCTCCCAAGAGGCTGGTAAAAAGGGTGTGCAGTTAGCATCTAACATCCAGAGCTGCCTAAAATATTAGTCACCAGGATCAAGGCATGTTGTTAACTCTTTAAAGGAACTGATCCAAGAAATAGGAAGATGAACTACTGCCTGTAAGGGAGGAAAGAAAGTGGGGAGGATGGGAAGCCAAGGCACTGAGGTTATTTTTCTATGAGGATTGGGGTGGTTTTTGTTTTTAAAGGAAAAAAAGTTCTTAGAATTACCCAGTGTTGTTTCTGAAATGTCTAATGCACTAGACACAGTGGGCTTAGTGGTTCTTGGAACTGATTCAGGAGTCACTGGAAGGGAAAAAAGACGACTTTATGAATTAAGATAAAATGAAACAACTCAGGACCATAAGGTACTGTTGTTGCCCTTTAGAATTAGAACTGACATGTACACAGACCAATTCTTTTCAAGTTAATTATGGTAAGGGTTCCCTGGCTCAGCCCAGTGTCTGAACTGACACTTCCTTCCAACCATTCCCTTCTGGGTTTGTCCACTCTCCAGGTATTTCAAAAAGCACATGGAATTGACCCTCATGGAAGCACTTAACAGATTATTCATAATTTCTTGTGTGTCTTTTTTTCTCTTTATCTCCAGAACTTAGCACAAACTCTGGAGAATAGTAAGCAAGCACATGATAAATATTTATTAAATGAGTTAATAAATGGGCAGCTAAAAGAATGACCCAGGGCAAAAAGATTTATTTAGAACTATTACATTATAAGAATTCTCTTTTCCAAACTGCAATCAACATGAAAAGCTTAGAAGAGGGTTGAAATTATAAGGATTCAAGTGCTCAGTCACAGAGTTATTTCAAGTACTAGATCAAAGGTAAAGATGACCCTCAGGTAAATCGTTTTTAAGAAATAAGAACCAGGATCACTGAAATCTGGCATGAATTGTGAGCTACACAATTCCAGAATTTTGTAGGGTAAGGATATGAAATAAACACAATAACAGTGAATAATAAATTACGAAGTTTGTCTAAGCATTTCTGAAGTGGAAAGTCTCAAAGAAGTTTTGGCAGAGAACTAAGAAATCTATAGACGCCCTCACCATATACTATGCCAAGAGAAGAAGTATAATTGGGAGAAGTCGATAGAATCTCCACTGGGTCATGCCTATCCATTTTTGGTATTTACCAATTAGACTGAAGTCAGAAAACTACCTAGGAATTTTATTCAAATAGATTACTCCAGCATCAGATTATACCTTTTCCTCAATTTCTATGAAGGTAGGGAGGGGATGGAAGGTCCATCTCTCACCTTCAGTCAGGACCAAATACTTCTTACTCTGTCAGAAATATTTTTACTTGAATAGGTTTACTGAAATCAGGTCATTTTATTTCTCCGCCAATCTTTATCTTCTCTGTACAAGTCTTGAGTCAGAGTTTAGTACAAGGTAAATATCACTGATTTTTCAATTTACAGCAATTTTATGGATTAAAAACTCACTTTAGATTGGAGTTACTTTGCTAAATGAAGATTTAGGGGAATCCTTGCTAGGTATTTGTTTCACAGAGTCCTGAGTGAGGTGGTATTGCTCTGGCAAATACTCTGCAGTTCAGAGAATAATGTGTCCCTGATGGGCTGGACTTGGGCAGTTTGTCCACAGAAAAAATGCTGAATGTTTGTTTGTTAGTAAAGGTTGATAAACTGGGGAAAACGCACACTGAATTTATTCTTTAAAGGATTTTTTAAAATGAACTATTATGTATTTTCTTCATGAAGGTTTTTAATCTTCAAGAGCCATTTACTAAATTATTCCAGGGTACTTTCATAGATATCAAAGTATGGATAATGGTATTTTTTTTAAACCAATCACTTGTGAAAGTGAAGAACTGAAACATGCTCTCATGTCTTCTTATAAATGGAAAGCACCAAAACCATGGTATTATGTCTTGGTATAAAAATATTTCAGAGTGTTGAGGTAACAACTTTCACCTGGAGTGGATAATGCAGGTCCTATTGTTACATATCAGTTATATAATTCAACTGCTCATTTTGCATCTGTTGTTTCCCTGAACATTAAAGACCCAGAGTCTCCTATTGTTGTGTGCTTATGATCAAAATGAACTTCCTACTGGCTCTTCACTGAAAAAAAAACATGAAGGCTTATCAATCACTTAATATTTGAAAATATATATTATGTATTTTCTCAAAGTTAATAAACATAGGGATCTCATTACCTGTTATGGGCAGTGCTGGAATTTTTTCTACCTCTGGTGTTTTAGATTCAGCAGGCAATGCCAAGGTTTCATTCTTAGCTAAAAAATCAGAGAACAAACAATTTACCTCACTTCCACATAATAGTGTCCAAATATAATTCCCTCAATCAACCAACAGACTATTTCAAGACTATTCTGCTCATATCCCTTCCCACCAGGCAGTCAATACAATTATTGTGAATTTCTACCAGTGATTAGTATTAGTAGTGACCGTCTTCAGAATTCCTTCTCATTAACCCTAGGTAATACTTTAAGATCTAAGTTGGCACTGGAAGGAAGAAAAAAGTGACAACCCAGTATTTGGCTAGCTGTCAAGTCATTCTGATTCATAAACAGAGTTTCTTGAAGACATAGGTTGTATAGCAAAATGCTCCCTGGAACTTTATACTCAATTACTCCTAATTTTTTAAAAAAATCAATGAAAAGAAATTATCCATTTTTATAAAAAAATGTAATAGGTTACGGCAATACAGTTTTAGAAAAACAATAATGTACATAGGAAGTGAAGATATTTGAAGATATTTGTGGTTAAAAAATTGCAAATGGTTATTTATTTGAGCCACATATTAACATAGATCTTTTCTTTGGGTCTGTGTGGGAATTCAGTGTAAACAAATGAAATTTGTTTTTTTTTTTTTTCTCTTCTGACAACTATTCAGGAAACTTCTAAAATTCAGGTATTCTTCTTCAACGAAAGTACGTTTCTGTGCCAGAGTTGCCCAATGATTAAGATATTCTCCATTTCAAAAAATGCATGTAGGATTAACTCGATTCATCGATTTGGTACACTGAATCAATGACCTACTTATAATATTTTGAAAGTCTAGTAGCATGAAAGAATTCATTTTTCTTTGAGATATGCTGATCATGTCACCTTGAACTGATTATATTCAGATGGGACTTTAAGTCTTAAGGCCATAAGGAACTCCTTGGGTTTCTCAACTTTGGCACTATTGACGTTTGTGACTGTATATTTTCTTTTTTTTAATTATGGGGGCCTTATGTGAAATGTAGGATATTCCACAGTATTTCTGGGCTTTATGCCCTGGATTCCACAGCTGTGACAACTGAAATGTCTCTACTATGCTTAGCCGCTCAGATTCTGTCTCTGTAACCCCAAGGACCGCAGCCCAGCAGGCTCCTCTGTCCGCGGGGATTCTCCAGGAAAGAGTACTGGAGTGGGTACCATGCCCTCCTCCAGGGGATGTGCCCAACCCAACCCAGGGATTGAACCCAGGTCTCCTGCATTGCAGGCATATTCTCTACCATCTGTGCCACCAGGGAAGTCCAAGAATACTGGAGGGGGTAGCCCATCCCTTCTCCAGGGGAACTTCCTGACCCAGGAATCGAACCAGAGTCTCCTGCACTGCAGGAGGATTCTTTTCCATCTGAGCTACCCGGGAAGCCCAAAATGTCTTTGCTGCTGCTGCTAAGCCGCTTCAGTCGTGCCCGACTCTTAGCGACCCCATGGACTGCAGCCCACCAGGCTCCCCCGTCCGTGGGCTTCTCCAGGCAAGAGCCCTGGAGTGGGCTGCCAGACGAGGGGGAGGGAGGAGGTAAAATCTCCCTCTGTTGAAAACTACTGATCTAATCTGTTCTCTCAAAGTTCTTTAAGGATGCAAATTTTGTAACTTCCTCCTGCAGTTTACATCACTGCCATAAAGATCATTTTCTTCTTTTCAGTTAACATGGGCACAAAATACTTATTTTCTGATGATCTTAAAGACAATTATACAGTCATCCCTTTCACAAAGACCATGGAAGCAAATCAATTTTCAGTCTGTATCATGGAAGCGTACAATAGATTCCTAGAGTTAATGATTCTCAGGAGTGGTTTAAACTGCTAGAAACAGGCGTCACAAGTGCTTGTGTCCTCCCCTTGGTTATCCGTCAAGTGTACATTCTCTATTTTTGTGCACGTGAAGATTCATCGATTTGGTACACTGAATCAATGACCTACTTATAATATTTTGAAAGTCTAGTAGCATGAAAGAATTCATTTTTCTTTGAGATATGCTGATCATGTCACCTTGAACTGATTATATTCAGATGGGACTTTAAGTCTTAAGGCCATAAGGAACTCCTTGGGTTTCTAAACTTTGGCACTATTGACATTTGTGACTGTATATTTTCTTCTTTTTAATTATGGGGGCCTTATGTGAAATGTAGGATATTCAACAGTATTTCTGGGCTTTATGCCCTGGATTCCACAGCTGTGACAACCAAAATGTCTCTACTATGCTTAGCCGCTCAGATTCTGACTCTGCAACCCCAAGGACCGCAGCCCAGCAGGCTCCTCTGTCCGCGGGGATTCTCCAGGAAAGAGTACTGGAGTGGGTACCATGCCCTCCTCCAGGGGATGTGCCCAACCCAACCCAGGGATTGAACCCAGGTCTCCTGCATTGCAGGCATATTCTCTACCATCTGTGCCACCAGGGAAGTCCAAGAATACTGGAGGGGGTAGCCCATCCCTTCTCCAGGGGAACTTCCTGACCCAGGAATCGAACCAGAGTCTCCTGCACTGCAGGAGGATTCTTTTCCATCTGAGCTACCCGGGAAGCCCAAAATGTCTTTGCTGCTGCTGCTAAGCCGCTTCAGTCGTGCCCGACTCTTAGCGACCCCATGGACTGCAGCCCACCAGGCTCCCCCGTCCGTGGGCTTCTCCAGGCAAGAGCCCTGGAGTGGGCTGCCAGACGAGGGGGAGGGAGGAGGTAAAATCTCCCTCTGTTGAAAACTACTGATCTAATCTGTTCTCTCAAAGTTCTTTAAGGATGCAAATTTTGTAACTTCCTCCTGCAGTTTACATCACTGCCATAAAGATCATTTTCTTCTTTTCAGTTAACAGGGGCACAAAATACTTATTTTCTGATGATCTTAAAGACAATTATACAGTCATCCCTTTCACAAAGACCATGGAAGCAAATCAATTTTCAGTCTGTATCATGGAAGCGTACAATAGATTCCTAGAGTTAATGATTCTCAGGAGTGGTTTAAACTGCTAGAAACAGGCGTCACAAGTGCTTGTGTCCTCCCCTTGGTTATCCGTCAAGTGTACATTCTCTATTTTTGTGCACGTGAAGCTGCACAATATTTATACAACAGAAATGTTTAATGCCACTGTTCAATTAATGTAGCAGGGCATAACGAGAAGGGACTTTTTTTCTGGAATAACTAGAAAACTAAACAGATTCAGCATAATTTTATGATAAATTCTTTTTAGATTTCTAAATCTCATCAACATGTCTTTTCTGCTTCTTTTGTAGTCAGGACTTTGGTTTAGAACCACTGTGATTGTTGGCACAGGAAAAAAACCTTCAGATTACAATTTTTTAAATTTATTTTTTAATTGAAGGAAAACTGCTTTTCAATGCTGTGTTTTCTGCTGTACAATGATGCAAATCAGCTATAATTACACATATATCCCCTCCCTCTTGAGTCCAAACATTGATGAGCTCTAGTTTTGTTATTTTCAGCATGTAACAAAGGAAGGTTTTTTTTTTTTTTTATGTAAGATTATAAGGTTTATCTTCAATGTTCTTCTTTTTCAGTGTCCTCTTCTCCTTCAGGATGATTTTTGCTAATCTCTTCCTTCTTGTGTAATATCCTATGCTCTTGGTGATTCCTTAGCTAAATAGGACTATGTATTTATTTATTAAAAAAAATTATTTATTTTAACCTCCAGATCCTAGATTTCCAGGCAATGCTCTGAGCTGCTTTGTTTTAGCTCTTTATGCATGCCCTTACAGGGCAATTACATTAAACTAAAATTAGGCTGTTAATGAAGAAAAATGGTTAACTACCTTCCCAAGAGGTATCTGTATTCTCTACACATCACTGATTCCTTATAGAGGCATGTGTGCATGTGCGCAGCCATCTCCTAATCTTTGCTACCCCATAGACTGCAGTCCACCAGGCTCCTCTGTCATGGAATTTTCCAGGCAAGAATACCAGAGTGGGCTGCCATTTCCTCCTCCAGGGAATCTTCCCAACCCAGGGAACGAACTCATGTCTCTTGCATCTACTGCATGGGCAGGTAGATTCTTTACCCACTGCACCACCTGGGAATATTGTATTTCTAAATATGGGACTACAGACATAAGAGAAACTGGCTGAAGGGAAAGATGCTTGGGTGGAGACTCTTTATGACTCCTATCAAGCCATGAGTATTCACCCACACTATGCCTGTACAACCAGTCTTGGCAACAGCAGAGTAAAAATGCCGTGAGAGCGTGGCCTAAAACCCGGGAAACTTTTCCTCTCTGATTCTTCTGTATCTTTTTTCAACACAGTCGTTTCCTTTCATCCTTGGCAAGCCAAGTCTTGGCTTTGGCAAACCATTTCTATATCCCTGGGAAGTGTGTATATCACTAGTTTTTATTTCTCTCATTATTTACATCATGTATTCCCAGAACAAAAGCTATTAATTTCTTGATGTCCCTTGTTGGGATCTGCTAGATTGAGGATATTATTTTTAGGATTTGCCCCTCACACAGTATGATTTTTCTGAATGACAGTGATAAATAACTTCAGGAAAGTTTATTTCTCCCTCACTGGTATAAAGAAATGTTTATGCTCACTCTTCATTAAAAAAAAACAGTAAATCTAAAATGTTATTTGTGAACATAGTCTAAGATTGTACATTTGATGGATTTATTGGACATTTTCAAACATATTGCCTATCAGTCTCTTCAATGTGTCAAAAATCTGCCATGCATTAAAGATAGGTGTTTCCCTAGAAATAAGTTTTAAAAGGCATCTTCTATTTGCATAGAATTTTCTCCACTAAAATCACACGTAATCCTGAAGCCTTGGTGATTTGTATCAGAATAAAAAAAGCAAATAATAAAGCAAACAAAAAAATCAAATGTTTAATTCTCTAAGCTAGAGAAAGCAAAAGACTGAATTGATATTAAGGTAGCAGGTGGAAATTTGCAAAAATGAAACAAAAAAATTAGGAGATAGATATTATCAAAACTAAGAGCTAAAACACCTCCCAGTTCAAAAATGACAGCAGGAGTCTGGGGAAAAATCCTGTTCGTTTTCAATCTCCTTCACAAATCCTGATTTTTGTATTTTGATGAACAGATTAGGGGCTGAATCCGTAAGAAATCAGTCAGCTCCTTCCTTTTCTTTTCCTTCTAAACAAATCTTTCTCAGGCACAGGGCTAAGTCCACAGGCTCTGGGCAGAGAACTGGTGAGTGCAAGAGTTCTGAGCTCCGGTTCTAAACACAGCTTCACTGAGGGAATTTACTTTGGAATCCTCTTGGCTTTAGCACAGCATTTAGAGGATGTGGAGTTGAGTCTCAGGTTTTATAGCTAATCAGGAGGTGATCAACTCTGATGTACAAATTAAAGAAAGGAAGCCTAGAATCGCTCATCTACATTCTTGTAAGTAACTCACCATAAGACTAACAGATATGAATATTTTTGCAGTAAAAATGTAAGGACTACACAAAATCACAAAGATCTATTGGCAAATATATTTACATCTTAATAAAATGGTGATGCATCAATTCTGAAAATTTTTCTAAAATTATAAGAGTAATAGTCCTCTGATTAATCCTCTCTACTCACTTAAGGCTTTGATCCTCTTTCTGCCAGGAAATTCTCAAATTATAGCTAAGGAGAACTTAAGACTTTGCCTTTTAAAACTGTTACATTCTGATTGCCTCACATCAAATAAGTGAATAGGTCAAACTTCTAGTGAGGGAGGAGAAATTAAGTCTGAGGTCCCTGCGTGTGTAGGTACCATGTCTGTGTAAATCACCATCATGTCTCTTCCCCTGCCACTTGTAGTTCTGGTATCGAGTTATCTTTACTAAATATTTGCTGAAGAAACGTTGCTTAACAGGGGCTTGGACCTGTTTCAAACTCGTAATACGTGAAGATTCAATTATAACAAGTGCTAAAGTTCTTAGCTAGTTCAAGAAGAATCTTCTACATTTTAAAGTCTTATTCAATTTCTACTACATCATGCCATCTTCCTCCATATTCATCAGTGGCCCAGGACATTTACCAGAGACACATTTTCCAGAGACTTTAGAGGTTCTCAAATCGTGGTTTCCAGACCAACAGCATCAGTGTCACCTGGGTACCAGGCAGAAATGCAACTTCTCAGGCATCACCCCAGAAACAACAGAATCATTGGTCTGAATTCTCTCTATAGCAGCGGATCTCAACCTTGATGAGGCATGGTGAATCCCAGCAGTGTAACAAATCCATCAGAGCTTCTCATGTTTCATCAGGGTTGAGAGCCTCTGCTATGGAGAGAATTCAGACCAATGTGATACTCAAATGCAGCAACTAGCTTAGCCAACTGGCTGCTCCAATTATTTCCTGGGTGCCATTTAAAGGAGTTTTGCTGTTTATTTCCCCAAATTGTTGTTTTATGTTTTTTAAACACTAAAATCATATCAGGTTTTTTCTGTGTGTGTGTGTGTGTGTTAAGTCGTATGAGTTGTGTCCAACTCTTTGCAACCCTATGGACTGTAGCCCACCTATGGGGCTCCTCTGTCCTTGGGATTCTCCAGGCAAATATATTGGAGTGAGTTGCCTGCCATGCCCTTCACCAGGGGATCTTCCCGACCCAGGGATCGAACCTGCATCTTTTACATCTCCTGCATTGGCAGGCAGGTTCTTTACCAATAGTGCCACCTGGGAAACCCTCAGGTTCTTCCTAAAGGCAGGAAACAGTATCAATCTCAAGTAAATAATAATTCAAACAAACCCGACCTTTACCTCAGTTCCCACTGAAAATATCTAGCGGTCCCTTGATAGTACAGCATGATAAGTACAATTTACTATATAAATGTGTATATTTTGGATAATTTGATCAATATTCACTCTTCTTTCAAAAATATAAAGTAACTATTTCCCTATAGAATGTGATTTATTTGAATACCTCCAACACTCCATTCTGTCTACTCTTTACTTCTTTTTCCAATTTTTTATGATAAAAGATACATAACAAAAATCTTACTCATTTTCAAGTATACAGTTCAACAGTATTAAATACATTTCCAATGTTGTACAACCATCACCACCATCCATGTCCAGAACTCTCCTTATCTTGTAACACTGAAACTCTGCACCATTAAACATTAATTCCTCATTCTTCTCCTCCAGTGTCTGGGAGCCACCATTCTACTCTGTCTCTATGAATCTGCCTGCTCTAGGTATCTCAAATAAGTGGAGTAACAGTCTTTTGTCTTTCGTGACTTCTTATCACTTAGCATCATGTTCTCAAGGTCTATTGATACTATAGTAAATGTCAGAATTTCCTTCCCTTTTAAGACTGAATAATTATCCATGGTGTGTATGTGTGTGTGTGTATATACACACACACACACATACATATACACACCACATTTTGCTTATCCATTCATCTGTTGATGGACACTTGAGTTGTTTCCACATTTTAGCTATTGTGAATAATGCTGCTGTGAATATGAATGTACCAGTATCTCTTTAAGACTGCTCCCAGTCCTTTTGGTTGTATAACCAAAAGTGAAATTGCTGGGTCAGGTAGTTTGATCCTTGATGCTCAGATGGTAGAACCTGCAAAGTGGGAGAGCCAGGTTCATGTTCGATCCCTGGATCAGAAAGATCCCCTGGAGAAGGGAATGACTACCCACTCCACTATTCTTGCCTGGAGAATTCTATGGAGAGAGAAGCCTGGCGGGTTACTGTCCATGGGGTCTCAAAGAGTCAGACACAACTGAACGACTAACACTTTCACTTTCTTTCATGGTAATTTTATTTGTAATTTTTTGAGGAATGGACATACCGTTTTCCACAGCAGTTGTACAGTCTTTTATTCCCATCCACATGCACATGCTTGTCCCTTACTTTTCCTTTCAAGATCTCCAAAGAGCTCATTTGCTAGATACCTTGGACATACTATGAATATCAGTGCTGGTATAGTCACTGCAAAGTTCACATATAAATCTTGGCTGCTTACCTAACTGTGTCTTGATTGCCTCTGAAATCTCGAACATTATGGAAGTGGGAAGTTTTACGGTGGTTTCATTAAGGCCTGGGATAACAAGGTGGACTGCAAGAAAACAGATGTAATAAAAGAAAATGCATCCTGAAACAAAGCTCAGAGCATTGGAACCATGACGCTTAGAGCTTATTTTGTTTAGTCAATTTCAACCCAAACTTTAAAAATCTGGGAAAAAATATGACAGTAAATTTTAAACATAATCTTTTTTCACATTCAGAACTGAACAACCAAAATATTGTGACTTAATCCACAGACTCAAGAATTGTAGAATGGCTCCTGAAGATTAAAAACACCATTACTAATAGTAACTTTTAAAGAGTTATCCGATATGACAAAGACTCTCTTACAATAGCAACAGGTAGGCAGGTAGGAAGGGAGCCAATAGGTACAGGCTAGAGTTGCTTCCCTAACACCGTCGGATCCTAACCTGGAATGGACACAAGCCAGGATGCTAAACAATGAAAGGAAATGAACCAACATCAATTTAACAGACCCGCACACAGTGCAAAATTCTGTAACAGCCTTGTTATCAAAACAAGAGCCTGATTTGCTTAAGTTAGGTGTAGATTTCAAGACAGACTCACCCAGTATTGTTCCTCCATAGGGAGTCTTATCTGGAGATTTAGTTGAGGCTCTGTGTGTAACATTCTGAATCACTGTTGAAAGACCAAAAGATAATAGTGTGAATGGAAAAAAAAAATTACAGTCAAGAAGCAGAATGAAGCTAATAACATAAAGCCATCTGCACTGGAGAAATCTGATGCTTTTTTAATTAATAGAAAGGAACTCACTGGGCTGGCTACACAACCAACAAAAGGGCTAGAAGGCACATCCTAACACCTATGCCTTTAAGTAGAGGAAGTGTTCCGTTCTAATTAGCTTAGAATTTCTTTCCTCAGCTCCACTCCCTGAAGCCTACCCAAGTTAAATAATTTGCACAAAATGAGGCAATGACATACTCAGTAAATAAAATGAATTAGAAAATGTATATCCTCAAAGCCAAGATTCTATGGATAAGTCCAATACTAACTGACCCCATTTTGAAAATACACTTGAGGCATTGTGTTTTCTTTAAATGAATTCGTATTTTAACTGCCCAATCTTTTCCACCACAAAACTTTCTGGAAATAATTGAGTCTTTTAAATAATTTGAAAAACTGAAAGTCAAAACAAAAATGACTAGATGCTAAAATAAGACGTAACTCTTGAAACCTGGATTTCTTTACAGTCCTTAAAATGAGCTCTAAATCATAGTTATCATTTCATTAATCCAAAATATCCTATTAATGACTTCCTACATCTAAATGATCTTAATCCTGAAGAAAGCCACATATATTTAATTGGTTTTATAAAATTTAATACTTGTTAGGGTTGTTCTTTGTCCAGATGTCCAACCAATATGCCCTGCCAAGACTTGGCCTATTTGTCGAGTCAAAATTATCTGTTAACTTCTAATTTACTACTGCAATTATTTTTCAAAAAAATAAGCATAAATATTTTTTAAAAATATGTGCTCTTTAATTATCTCAGTTTAAAAAGCATATTAAAATAGCTCTAAACATATAACCAGAGCGGACATGCAAATTACCTTGCTTGATGATTGTTACTGGGATTAGCTTTCTTGGGACATATGCTGGCTGAAAAGAGAGGAAGAGATACAGCTTTTGAGTTATGGTTAACAAAAAATAATTTAAAAACTGGAAGTAGTCCTTTCTTGCCTTCCATGAAGCTCTCCATGATACTGGTTTAACAGTTGCTGGAAAGATCTTTAGTACATATATCTGCCTCTGTTTTATTGTATTCACTTGTTTTTTCCCGTAAATGTCCAAAGAATTGACAGAAGCAGTACCTTCAAAATTCCCATTAGTTTAGTTTACTTAGAAACTGCAATGGAAAGAATTGAAATCCTCTGGGTTGAATCCTAGAGTATTTTCACTTTATTTGAACCAGTGAACCTCAAATTCTGTCTTTATATTCCCTCTCAAAAAAGGATTTTAAGCTACACATTCTTTTAAAACCAATCGGGATAGCACTGAAACATGTATATTGTCATATGTAAAATAGATGACCAGTACAGGTTCCAAGCATAAAGCAGGGCATCCAAAGCCAGTGCTCTGGGACAACCCAGAGGGATGGGGTGGGGAGGGAGGTGGGAGGGGATTCAGGACGGGGGAGACACGTGTATACCTGTGGTCATTCATGCTGATGTATGGCAAAAACCATCACCGCATTGTAAAGTAATTATCTTCCAATTAAACAAATATATAAATTTTAAAAACCAATCAACCAACCCTACAATTGTTACAGGGTGTCCCACGGCTGCTTCAGACACACAACCACTGTGAACTCCTGATGCTAAGCTTTTCCTTGCCCGGGAAGGCAGAGCTGGGACTCAGATCCAGACATTTGTACTTCTAAAGCTTGTAGTTTTAACAATTATTGTGTGTGTATTTATGTCCAGTGGACCTCAAAGGTGGAAGGGCAGGTGTCAGAGGACTGTGACTTCTCCCTTCTTCCAAATTCCCTCAGGTATCCCACGGTAAGTTTGGATGTCACGGAGAGAGCAACTTGAACTAGAGGCATTTTTAGTGTTACCCTCAGAGTGGAGTCCTCACTGGGGATAGTGAGCCAAGGATAAGACAGCCAAGAAAGAGGCATGGAAAAGGACGGAAGAACAGCAGGAAATATCCAGAGCAGAATTAGACTGAGGCAAAGGGCTAAGTAAGCACGACGTTGATTTTCTGAAGCTTGGTTTAATCTGGATGCATGGTATAGATATTCCCGGTACTAGACCTGCTGACAATCCAGGATGTAGTGAATGAGATACTTAACCACACAGGTGTTTAAAGTTGTGAACAAAGAAGATTTGTTAACATGCTCTCATTCTAATAAACAATATGCCCATGACAAAGAAGGGCCACAATACTATGCTTACTGTTGGCTATTTTTCTTCTTGTGTTAAAGTCCTTACGTTTAAAAAACACAGAAAATAAAAGTTTACTCTTAACGAACTATTTTAAAAGAAGTATCTGTATTTCTTGCATTGTGTTTGGACCCAGTGCTGTAGGCCAAATGCTTGCGTTGCCCCACAAATTTGTATATTAAAACTTAATCCCTAGTGTGATGGCATTTGGAGGTGGGGCCTTTGGAAGTAAATAACTCAGGTGGGTGGAGCCCGGATGAATGGGATTAGTGCTCTTGTGAAAGAAAAGCCAGAGAACTCCCTCCACCCTTCTGTCATGTGAGATAGTTGTGAGCCAGAAGTGAGCTCTCCCCAGACATTAAATCTGCCAGTGTCTTAACACTGACTTCCCAGGCCCCATAACTGTGAGGAATAATTTACTGTTTAAGCTATTCATCCACTGTGTGATATTTTTGTTATAGCAGCCCTGATGAACTGAGATATCCAGTAATTTCCTACTTAGCAATCTAGCTTAAGGAAGTAGTAGAAGATAAGAGTTATCGTTTTGTGTAAGAGTGTTTATTACCACAATGTGAAACAATCTCATCATTCCAAAGCAGAGGTTTTGTTAAATAAATTATGGTTAAAATTTCTGACATTTATTTAACAAAGTGGGAAGTGTGTATAGTATAAATGTAAAGGATACAAATTTATATTTATGTTATAACCTAATTGTAAAACAATATGTGTATAGACAAAAGACCAAAAGGAAATATATCATAGTCATTTTTTAAATGGTAGTCACTCCTTATAATCTGATATCTTATTTTATGTACCTTTCTATATTTTCCAAGTTCCTTACGGAGTGAATTACACTTGTAACTAGGAGAAGCTACTATAACCAGAAGTCTGTTAAGCTTCTGTAGTGCATGGCTCATATGCTATTGGTCAACAGAGGAATGATGTAAATATAATTTATACACAACTTTGCCCAAGGAAGGGGAGAGGAACAGCAGGAATACGAGTATAGCCATCAGTAGGAAAGAAAAAAAAAATAGTTCAACTTTGATGTCATACTGGCAGAGAACCTCCTGGCTTTCTCATAAGAAAACTAAATAAGTGCACTTGCCCACAGGATCCTTCTTCCCAGGCCCATGACCCTGTCTTGGTGTGCCCACCTTACCTCCACCTGTTCTGCTTCAGTGAAAGGGTTGCTATCCATAGTCTCTATCATTCCTGAGAATTTAAATCCTTGCTGTGGCAAACTCTAGTTCCATGGGAGAGGTTTGCCAGGGGAACCACAGTATCATTCTAGGTGCAACTAATTTCTTTTGATAGAGTTGTGCCTATAGTTCCAAAGATTTTTGAATGGCTGGTCCTCTTTTTGCCCCATGCGTCTTGCCCTTTAGTGTATGTTTTGCAGAGTGTGAAGTGTCCAGAGACACATCACATTACAGCAGAAACACCTATGTGTTGCTGTGTCTATGGCATTATCCCAATTTGTATTTCCTCTGCTGTGGATGATTTATTTCAAGGAAGTTTTTGACAAAAAGAGATAGAAAATATTTCATTCTTGACATAATGGAACACAGTTTCTGTTCGGGTTCTTATCTGAGTACAGACTAGTCTTCTATTAAGATGATGACAAGACTATATCTGTGCTGCCAGAGAATAAGGAAATCATTTGGTTGCAGAATCCAATTCTTTTTAGACCTTATAATTATTCTCTTGTCTAATTAGCAATCCAAAGATGCACCAAGACTAATGAGCAAGTAGTAACTCCTTCTCTGTAAGATGGTTTTTTTTAGTTGAAATATAGTTAATTTTACAGTGTTGTTGCATTAGTTTCAAGTGTACAGGAAAGTGATTTCCATTATAAGAATATATATATAAACACACACACACACACACACACACACATATATATATTCTTTTTCAGGTTCTTTTCCTTTATAGATTATTATATATTACTATATATAATATATTACATTTCCTGTGCTAGAGGAATAGGAATTATTAATGTATTTCCCTATGCTAACCAGGTTCTTGTTGGTTTTCTGTTTTATATAGTGGCACATATATGTTAATGGCAAACTCTCATTTACCTCTCCCCTCTCCTTCTCCCCTTTGGTAACCATAAATTTGTGTTCTATGTCTGTAGGTCTATCTCTGTTTCATGTATCATTTCATTTGTATCATTTTTTTTAGATTTCACATATAAGTGATATCAGATGATATTTGTCTGGCTTACTGCACTTCACTTGTGTGTGCACAAGTCATGTCTAACTCTTTGCAACCCTATGGACTGCGGCCTGCCAGGCCCCTTGAATTTTCCTGGCAAGAATACTGGAGTGGCTTGCCATTCCCTTCCCCAGGGGCTTTTCCCAACCCAGGAATGAACCTGGATCTCTTGCATTGCAGGCCGATTCTTTACCATCTGAGACACCAGGAAAGCCCTAAGGAAATTCACTTTTACCACTTTTCAGGGGACATTGTAGCTGAGTATCCAGTTGGTGAGACTCAATGGGAAGAGGATGCTGAAGTGGTAAAAGGCAATGTCCCTGATGGCGCACCCAGCTTCCTTTTCAGTCCTGGTTAGGCAAAACCCACTCAAATCTAGCAATGACCACAGCAGCAGTAACCAAACACTGTGGGGGACTTTAGATTCACTCTGCATTGCACTGCCTTTCCCCTGATATTGTTTTTAAAAAATTAAATTTAAGAAAAGCAATGATAACACAAGGATGTTATTCTTTGTAAGTCACTCTTTACAGGTTTGTCCATTTGGTATTTTTGTGACATCAGCACATCCACTGTTGATTTAACTTTTTCTTTAGGCCCCGGGGAGTGGCTAAGGGTTGCTCAAAATCGAATTTCAATGACTCAAGATCTAAACCACATGAGAAGAATTTGGGCCTGCTATATCCTGGTTTTAATTCATTTTTAGGATGTCCTGATGAAAGTTAGGAAAGATACTGATTCAATCTAACAGCTGACTAAAGGTGAATCTAACATCCTTCTTGTGATAATTGCTGCATTTCTGGCCAGCTAGGGAGGAATCAGACATCCACCTTTGGTGATACTGGTGGTGCAGATATAAAGTTTTTAAGTTTCTGCTTAGCTCAGTGATTGCTAAGAATGAAAGGACATCTATGTATTCACTGCACACAGTCTTCGGGTGTTTGGGGGAGAGACCAGACTGTCTTTCTCCTTATTTACTCATCTGCTAACTTACACTTTAAGAACTGATGCTGCTTCTCTTTCTGTCAATGATAGACATGGCCATTTTAAAAGACAGGTGGACCTCTGATGGAAAAATATGGAAGGGTGAAAATAGATGTCTATTTCAGGGGAATTTTGATTCGCAGGAGATTTGGATTAATTCAGTAATTAAACTTAAATTTTAAAACACCTGTTAATAAATACTACATACTTCAGAAATTCACTGTTTGGTTAGTGAACTAGTCAGATGACTAAGTTTTTTAAAACTTATTTAAGAACATATTAAAGTTAGCCATCATTCCTTTATAGTAATAAAGCTTAATGAACTTATTTACAATACAGTCTTACAGATATGGAAAAAGAAATCTTACGGTTACCAAAGAGAAAACACAAGGAGGAGGGATAAATCAGGAGCTTGGGATTAATATACACACACTATTGTATATAATCTAGATAATCAAGGTCCTACTGTATAGCACGGGGAACTCTATTCAATATTTCGTAATAACTTACACGAGAAAAGAATGTGAAAAAGAATGAATGAGTGTATATGTATAATTGAATCACTTTGCAGTACACCTGAAACTATTAACAGCACAGCATTGTAAATTGACAATAATCCAATAAAACTTTAAAAAAAGGACAGATAGTAGACATTAGATTTAACCTTGATAAAAACAGGGTTCTGGCTTCCCAATATGAAGAAAATAGCCCAATTATCATTTGGTTTTTGTACATGGATCTCAAGTGATGCAACTTACATAGGAAGAATCGGGGCTTTGTTTATGCATACATCTTTTCTCTCATTTTTCTAGAGATGGAGGCAGGGGTGATATTGAAAGTAATTAACAAGCAGTATAACAAAAGCACTAACCAATTAGAAGAGACCCCTGCTAAGTGTCCTCTGGCACAAATGTCCTGAGAGTTGCCTGCAGAACACAGGCTGAGGTACAGGAGTTACAGTATATAATGTAACAAGATGTTTAAGGTGGGGCTGTATTTGGGAGTTCCCTGGTGGTACAGAAGTTAGGGCATGGTGCTCTCACGGCGTGGCCCCAGGTTCCATCTCTGGTTGGAGAACTGAGAGCCTACAACTCACATGGCACAGTTGGGAGGGCAGAAGTTGAGATGGGGCTGCATTTGCTATTCAAATTTTAACCTGCATATTATTTATCTGTTAAAATGGATAGCCTCAAGTTCAAACTGTCTTTTCCATTACCAATCTCTTTCCAGAAGGTGTGAAGACGTTTCTGCTGTGCTTAAGTTTTAGGTGTAAGCATGCATATATGAATAAAAACATTTTTCAACATGTCTTAAAACTCTGGAATTAATTTCATATCTCTTGACATACTGCCTTCTTTCTGCAACCCTATGGACTGGAGCCCTCCAGGCTGCTCTGTCCATGGGATTCTCTAGGCAAGAACATGGAGTGGTTTGCCATGCCCTCCTGCAGGGCATCTTCCCGACCCAGGGACTGAACCCTCCTCTCTTACGTCTTCTGCACTGGCAGGCGGGTTCTTCACCACCAGCGCCACCTGGGAAGCCCCCAAATATATACCTCTATAAAGTATCAAATCAACTTTCAGAATCAGTTCTAAGTGGTCACGTGAGATGGTCAAAGGCTATCCCAAGTGGTTCTTTTACAACTTTCCCATGTTCCGGAGCTACCCAAAGGCACAGAGGGAAGTTTGTGAAACATTTTTTCTACTATCCAGACTGTAACAATGAAGAAAGCCTCACAGAGAATCCTCAAAATATCTTTTTAATTAGTTTGGGTTTTCCTTTGGAAATACCCAAGAGTTTCAAACCACAGCTCATTAAAGCTGGCTAGAGTTGGGGGTACTCCGCCTCACAGCTTGAATTGATCAAATATCTGGCTCTGTGTCATAGATGCAGGAAATTTCTTCCTGGACTTTCTTGTCATGGCTATTTATGATGTGGAAAAGATATAAAATTTCTTGGGAATAAAATGTCAATCATCTTTCCCAATCTTGCTGAGTAACTAACCCTAAATGAGATATTCTGCCAAAAGAAACATAAATTATTGGGATATGATTGCTGTGAAGAAGGAATGAAAGAAACAACACTGGGTCACATGTAAGCTAAAGTATGACATCCAAGAGGGTGGGAGATAAGACGTGCTTCCTAGGAAACCATTCACAACAGTGAGGATTGTTCTAGAAGGGAATGGAAGAGCAGCTCTATTCCTCGTGACTGGATTTGAAAGCCAAAGCCAAAGGGACCTTGGAGTGAAGTGAAAGAGTTTGTCGCTCAGTCTTATCCAACGCTTTGTGACCCCATGGACTGTAGCCCACCAGGCTCCTCTGTCCATGGGATTTCCCAGGCAAGAGTAGTGGAGTGGGTTGCCATTCCCTTCTCCAGGGGATCTTCCCAAGCCAGGGATTGAACCCGGGCCTTCTGCACTGCAGGTGGATTTTTTTACCACTGAGCCACCAGGGAAGGAACATTAACAATGGTCCCTTGAATGGCAGAATTCAATACTTGGTACTAAGCTGATTAGTTAAGTATTTGGGAAAAGTACATACCCTCAAATATGCAGGACCTTACTACATATAAGACAGCAAGATAAAACCCACATAGTTTAAATTATTACAAAATCAAACCACTAAAACTAAAAAAAAAAAGAGAGAATTATTTATCTCATCTCTGGATAAGGAAGAGCCTACTAAAATATCAGGCAATTGAAGATATGACAATGGAAAGACAAATAACTTCATTAAGCAAATTAAGACTTGCCTATTTCACAAATTCCCATAAACAAAATTGATAACAAATGTGACAATAATGTTTCTAGATGATATCACAAAGAATCTTTGTTCTTTAGTGTCTTTAAACAATTCAATAAAAAACCCACAAGATGCCCAATAAACAAGGAACTGAAACTAAAGGTCATTAAATGGAAAATACAAATGACTAATAAATGAGTGAAGAAAGTGCTGCTTCATCAGCTATCAGAAATAGAAGTTTACAAACCATTTTACATTATTACACTAGCCAAAAATTTAGTGATGGAGATACATAATGTTGAGAATCAGGGTACTATATCAAGATAACTCTGATCCATTGCCAGCAAGACTGAAAATTGGTAAAAAAAAAAAAAATTGACCAGACATATTAGAAAGTTTAAAAACTGTTAAAAATCTAAACAACTAATTCCTGGTCTAAGTATCTACAGATCTACTTTAAGGAAGAAATCAGAAATGTGAACAGGATTCTAGATGAGAAAATGGCAGGCACATGAAATAGACACACACCAACTGCACTGAACAGAGGCTGGGCATGTTACAAACCAAACCAGCTGCTTCTTCATTTTGAAAAGGATTGACCTGACCTGCCTCTTGAGAAACCTGTAAGCAGGTCAGGAAGCAACACTTAGAACTGGACATGGAACAACAGACTGGTTCCAAATAGGAAAAGGAGTATGTCAAGGCTGTATATTGTCACCCTGTCTGATGCTGGGAAAGATTGAAGGCAGGAGGAGAAGGGGACGACAGAGGATGAGATGGTTGGATGGCATCACCGACTTGATGGACATGGGTTTGGGTGGACTCTGGGAGTTGGTGATGGACAGGGAGGCCTGGCGTGCTTCAGTTCATGGGGTAACAAGGAGTAGGACACAACTGAGCGACTGAACTGAACTGAACTTTTAAGTAGGAAATGTTAGAAAATAGAGGAAAGATTTGAACAATGGCAGGGTAAGGAGAGCATCTACTGATTCACTCTTGAAACATCTTATGGTGGAAAACAACCCACGAACAGAAGATAATAAGAATAATCTCAAAATAAATGGAATACTGAAATACTAGGTTAACTATGTTGAATATCAGAATTTTAGAGCTTTAAAAAAATTAGAGATAATTTGGTCTCACGCTTCTACCTCCATTTTCTGAGAAACTAATTCCCAAAATGTCACATACCAATACTCAATAGCTAGGCAGGTAATCCAGTTTCAGTACCTCATAAAAGGACCACTTCCCTATTTAAATAAAAGTGTAATACAGACATTTTTAAAAGACCGTTCTTGAAAATAACGTGGTACATACCACAGAGTGGAGTTGGTCATAGGTACTTTGGATTTTCCCATTTACTTTGCTTTTACCTGACGAAAACAAAAAGAAAATGACATTCATTTCATTCTTTTTTATCCTAAATCAGTTCTTACTAGTCATTATGAAGACAACTACAGCTACTGCTGTAACTTGGGCATATTATTTTATTTGCTATCATTTCAACACTGACCCTAATGATGTTTGAAACAAAGGAAGATAGGAAACAAGCCTCAGGCCCCATAAAGTCTTTGCATGTTCATTTCCAGTGGCCCAGCTGTTTCACTGAATAGTCACACACAGTATTGTTTTTTGGCTCAGTTAGTGCTCAGAGATTGATTTAAAACAAACCAATGGCCAAATAAATTTTGAATGGTTTGTTACTGTCAAATGTTAATCATTTTTCAAAGGAACATTCACTATAGAAGATACTGAATCATTAATGCTCAAATTGTTTACTTTTATATTTTCATAAATACAGAAAGTGAGAATTAGCTCATATTACACATATTACACATATTATTTTTTTTAATAAAATAAAAATTTATAATTGGAAAAAAATAGTACAGAAAGCTCGCTCAAAGTTTCTAGTACTTACTTCCGACAATAGTCTTGTGATTAAAAATCTTACTCCAAATTCCACCTTCTACATTGTCTTTCACTCCGAATTCATAAACTGTGTCAGGCTTTAGATTTTCCACGATTGTTTCAGTGGCTGGACAGAGTTGAAAAATCCATTTCTTTTCCTTATCCTTTTCTCTATAGCGAATTGTGTAGTATCTGTCAAATAACCAAAATATGCTGTAAAACCACAGGGAGATTCAGAATATATTTCAAGTTTCTTAATATATCACAGACCCCCATCTACTCTTAAGATTTAATATCGGCTTCGGTTAAGATTTTTAATTTGCAAAGAACATGAAAAAAAATTGCTCAATGTATGCTTGAGCTTTTAATTTCTAACTGAGTTCAGGGACCAGGAAAGAGCACAATCATGGTCTGACAGAATTCCAGCTCTCTCATTTCTACTTGGAGAAGGAAATGGCAACCCACTCCAGTATTCTTGCTGAAGAATCAAATGGACAGAGGAGCCTGCCAGGCTACAGTCCATGGGGTCACAGAGTCGGACAAGGCTGAAGCAACTTAGCACATTGCACACACAGTTCTATTATTTGCTACTTTGCAAAGTGGAAGTCTGAGAACACTAAACATTCATCTGTTTTGAAATGAATAGAAAAGAATACAGACATATTTTTATAAATATTTAATATTATAGCTTTATAACTGTATGGGTTTAAGCCTTTTAATTCCATGAAGTTTTGTTAAAGGTTAATATTGTTCAATTTTGTAAAAGAGGAACCTCAGACTCTAATGCATCCAGGACTGCATTTCAGGGGGACAATTTTCTCATTATTAAAAAAAAACAACAACGCCAATAGTCAAGCGAAGAACACAGTGAGAAAGACCAAACAATGCAAATTCAAGATCACTGTTAAATATTTGCTTTGGGCTTCATAATGTTCAGAAACATGTATGGCAAAGTGATAATAATCCTCACTACTGTTTTTTTTTTTTTTTTTTTTTTTTTAAACATGGAT